ATTTTAAAAATTTATTTATTTATTTATACAAGAATCAGGGTACAGCCCAGATGTGAGGATTCACCAGAGACAGAGTGGGGAACAGAACAGGCAGACCGATGAAATACACTGCTGAGAGGAGCAGCGAGCGGGTGTGACAGGAGAGGTCTGTCGCGCCATGTGGGACCCTCACCAGTCGGCTGGGGTCGAACTGGCACTGCAGAGGCTGCAGACAGCTTCACAGCGCTGCGTTCAACCACTTGCGCCACCAGGGGAGACCCTGCTTATTCTTATTCTTTTTAATACTATGTAGTATTGCATCGAGCAAATATGCCACAGTAATGTTTCTGTATTCAATGGCGAGGAACACTTGGGCAGTTTTCAGTTTCTGGCAATTAATAGAACTGTTATTTAGGTTTTGTGTAAATGTAAGTTTTAATTACTCTGTGGGGGAGTAAGGAGAGGGACAGCTGTGTCATAATATAGGTGTATGTTTACTTTTATAATAGCCACAGGGTTTTCCACAGTGGCTGTGCCGTTTTGCACAACCAACACCAGTGAATGAAAGTGCCAGTTATACTTGTGTATGAACCCCCAAAGAACTGAATGTAGGCAGATATTTGCGCCCACATTCATAGCAGCATATTTGCAATAACCAAAGGAAATAACTCAAATGTCCATCAACATCAAGGGCTGGGGAAGGGGAGAATGAAGAGTCATTTATAGGGTAGAGTTTCAGTATGGGATGATAAAAAAAAAAAAAGTTCTGCAGGTGGGTAACTTCAATATGTGAATGCATGCGATGCCACTGAACTGTGCATTTAAAAATGGTTAAGAGAGTAAATTTTGGGACTGTTTGTACTACTATTTCTTTAAAAGGAAAAAAAAATCTATCGATGACTCAGTGCTTCTAGTGACAGTTATAAAATTGTGGCAATATGCTACTGGTTCATATACTTTATATAGGAGTTTTTTTGTTTGTGGGTTTTTTGTTTTTACATTTTAAAAGGACAGGTATATTAGGAAAAGGAGAAAAAGAGGCACCAGGTGGGCAGGAGAGTTGCTAAATGGAAGTTATAAGATCCATTCAAATTTTGAAGTTGTAGTTTTTTCTTTCTGGTCTACATTATTAGTTCCTCTCTCTTCATACAGTTCCCCTTTTCTTCTCTGGGGTTCTTTTTTAAACCCCTCATAGATGAGAATGTTCAGAGAGCCAAGTTTTTAAGATTTCCTGAATTCTGAAATTTTTCTTCTATTTTCAATAAAATGATTTATTTTTAATATTAAATTATCTTTAATATTTTAATTAGAATGTTTTTCCATGATCTGGAATAAGCATTTTATTAAATAAGTTTCTAATTTATTATACTTATTTTTCTCTTTAATCTTCTAACATGGTTTATTGCAGAAATGAGTTTTTTTAAGAAGTGGGGTACAGGTCATTGTCACAGGGGGTGAGAAGATTCGCTAGAGAGAGCTGGGAGCAGAACGGGCAGATGTACTGAAATACACTGCTGAGGGGAACAGCGGGCGAGACAGGAGAGGTCTGCTGTGCCATGTGGGTTGCTCCTCAGCCGGCCAGGAATCGAACTTGTGCTGCGAAGGCCACGGACAGCTTCACAATGCTGTGCTCAACCCCCTGCGCCACCAGGGAGGCCCCAGTAATGAGTTTTCAGGTAAACCATTCTTGCATTTCAGGATTACCTTACCTGATAACACTTAGTTGATTTTCTGTTTTATTTAGGATACTTGTATATTCAATTTAGCTTTTCCTATGCTATTTTGCGCAGTTTGGCAAAGGTCTGGGGTTTTACCCAACTTGGAAACTATCAGTTAGCCTATTACTGTTTTGTTAACAATGGGAGAAGACATGAGACTCTTTGGACACAAGACTGTTGCTCACGGCAGGGCAAGTAGCATAAGCATTATTTGGGTCAATGCCCACAGAAACAAAGTGAAACTTCTCAAGTGGTTGCTGCATAAACTGGGTTCATGGAGCAGTTGAGGCACAGTGAGCTTAGGATATGCACCTTTTATACAGACCCATTCTATTTCAGATCTCCTCTATTTTGTTCACTGATAAATGGTCCCTGCAAAGGAGTAGTAGTCAGGACCTTACATTCTTTTTTTCTTTTAAAGATTTATTTTGATTTTATGCAAACAAGAGCTGGGGTACAGGCCAGAGGTGTGGGGGGTGAGAGGATTCACCAGAGACAGAGCGGGAAACAGAACAGGCAGATCATCAAAGTACACTGCTGAGGGGAGCAGCAGGCAAAACAGGAGAGGTCTGCTGTGCCATGTGGGTTTCTCCCTGGCCGGCAGGGGATTGAACTCAGGCTGCAGAGGCAGCGGACAGCTTCACAGCACTGAGCTCTACACACTGCACCACCAGGGAGGCCCAGGACCTTACATTCTTGACATAGGTAGCCAAAATGTCTAGGGAGTCTGCAAGTCCAAGATAGATTGCTTTTGCTAGTATGGGTTTATATCAAGATTACACTAAGCTCAATTAATGTGATAAATGTTTTGTTTTGTTTTTCGATATTTGAGGAGCAGGTTTATTAGGGAAAGGGACAGAAGAGCAAAGGACACTTGTGTGAACACAAGCGGGCAGGAAGAGCTGCCCCAAAAGGGACAGGTTTGCTAAGAGAGGCCTGCATGGTTGCAGGTGGGCGGCCTTAAGAGCTGCCTCCTCTGAGGGAGATCAGTAAAGAAAAGGGCTGACATGGTACAGGTCACAGGCAAGCAGGAAGGCTGCTGCCCTGCGGAGGGAGAGAGTTGGCGAAAGGAAGTAGGTGGGCAAAAGGACTGCTGCCGATAAATGTTTTCTAATCCCAAGAACTCTTGGCATAAACGAGGGATTTATGTGTTGCTTGAAGTTTTGGTCACTATTGTTTTTCGGCCTTTTCGCTAAGATCAAGGGTAGAAATTTTGGTAACTCACAGCAAACAGGGCTTTGTTTTGGAGGAGGAAATGAACAATTATGATGTGGCAATCATTTTAACAGTCAATGAGTTTCAATTTTAAGACTTTTTCTATATGGAGCTAAGGGAACTAACTACTTAAATCTCCCACATACCCGCTATTGGGCTTGAACCATAGTGGGAGCCATGGTTCCTATTCATCTTGTATTGTGCAATGGTCCAATGTAACTTCTGCCTTCAGAATCTGTGAAAGAAGTAGGTACATATCTGTTTCCCAGACTCCTAGGGGAACATGCCCAGCTTCCTCATCTTTGACTTATTTAGCAGTGGCCTTAGGGTAGGTTTCCGAAACAGTAATTGTTGCAACAGGAAATTCCGCCATTCGGGACACAACAGTTGTGGAGCAGGTGTGCAAGGCAAGACTGCCATTTGAGCAGAAGTTCTCGTGCCATTTATTGAAAGCAAGTAAAGCTAGTAAAAGCTGGGGCCTCCCCTGGTGGTGCAGAGGTTGAGCGCTGGGCTGCAAAGCTGCCCGAAGCTGCCCGCAGCCTCGTTAGTGCCGGCTCGATCCCTGGCCCTCGGCGAGGGTCCCACATGGCGCACAGACTTCTCCTGCTAAGCTTGCTGCTCCCCTCAGCAGTGCATTTCATCCGTCTGCTTGTTCTGTTCCACGCTCTGGCACTGGTGAATTCTCTCACCCTCCCGCGCTTCTGACTGTACCCAGTGCTTGTATAAATAAATAAATAAATCTTTAAAAAAAAAAAAAAAAAAAGCTGATCATGCAACAATGGTATGAGGAAATAAGTCAGGGCTGGGGCGGGGGGTGAGGAGAGGAACAAAGATTTACGAGGACCAGAGAAAGGGACATCATGACCAAACATCAAGAGACATTTGCATTAGCGAAGTGTATGTGCTGATGTTATCATAGGTCCATAGTGAGACCACTATGGAGATAATCATGTAATCAGTTCAACAGTGGCCTAGGAGTTCCCAGGCCTGCCTCAAGATACAGGCTATTTTCCATAGGTAGTCAAGGAATGCTCTGCTGTGATTTGCAGATAGCAAATAAGTCACAGTTGCCCATGAGTGCTCAGCTCAGAGGAACCCACAAGTAATCACTGAAAAAAGGAGATGCTCCATGTCTTCCTCACATCCCTTTCAATTGATTTGGAGAATCGAAATACTAATCCAAATGTTTCTAAGTAGGGCCCTAGGTGAGATGTAGGGCCTTGTCCAGTTGTTTCTGATACTCTTTAGAATATGGGGTAGTAATGATTCTTCTTGAGCTTAAGGCTCTGGTTGTTTTTTTTTTTTTTAAAAAAAAAGCTAGGGATAACTTGGAACAAACCACGAATCAATATAATTTGAAGTATTCTTTGTGATAAAGAATTTAAAAAGTGAATAAGGCCACCCAATATAATAATATAGATAAATTTGTAGGTATATTATAATCTGGATTTTACTTAAGAAAATGAGATCTAATTCATAGACACAGAAAGTAGAATGGTGGTTATGGGGGCTATGAGGAAGAGGAAATGAGCTGTTATTTTATGGGTATAGAGTTTTACTTTTGCCAGGTGAAAAAGTTTTGGACCTTCACTGCACAGCAATGTGAATATACTTAAAATTACGGATTGTGCACTTTAAAAAATTGTTAAAATAATAATCATGGCTACAATTAATTTTTTTTTTTAACAGTCCTTTTTACTCTTTTTAAGATTTCTTTCTTTATTTTATACAAGCACTGGATACAGTCAGAAGCACGGGAGGGTGAGAGAATTCACCAGAGCCAGAGCAGGGAGCAAAATAGGCAGAAGGACCGAAGTACACTGCTGAGGGGAGCAGTGGGCGGCAGGAGAGGTCTGCGTGCCAAGTGGGACCCTCCTCTGGTGGCCGGGGAGCAGCTGGGGATTGAACCTGCCCTGCAGGGGCTGCCGGGCAGCTTCGCAACCCAGTGCTCAACCGCTGTGCCACCGGGGGCCCCTACAATTAAATTCTTATTAAAATATATAAATTAAACAAATTAACATCTTCCATACCTTAAATTTATAGTGCTGTTTGTTAAATACATTTCAATTTAAAAAATGGTTAGAATGGTAAAAAAAAAAAATCAGACATCTGTTATCAAGCTGACATGGGGAATTTATTTGGTAGAAAAGCAACATCTATAGAATGCCACAGACAGTCTTAGTATGTTTAAAGTACTACATATAAAAATGACAACTGATCATAGTGACAACACTGAAGCACTGAAAGATAGCAGAGTACTTTCTGAATGCATGAAATGAAATTATACTCAGTATGGTTTTTAATGTTATTATCTCTCTCCAAATTCTAATATGCTAACGTTTGATAAACTAGATAACCAGAATCTCTAATCATAGAACTTCTGGTGATACAGAACTTCTGGCAATACATAAACTTACTCATACTCATCTGGTGTTTATCTCCACACAAATATTTTAAAATTGCAAATTCTTGGTCAAATGATATATTGCTTGAATTCATTAAATAGAGACTTATCTATTATACAAAGTTAAATGTACAACTAAATTAGTAAAAAGTGCTTGCTGTGGTTTTTCAGGGACATTAATAGTCTGACAAAAATGTTTATGAATGATCTCTATACTAATATTGCCTTTTCTTTCATTAAAATCTAATTTTCCCCTAAATTTAACCAGTTTTGTGATTTTTTATAATATGAAATCTATGCCTTCTCTGTTCTTATCGAGTCTTCTTTTTTTTCTCATTCATTAGATTAAATTCAGTGTAAGTTTTATTGGTATCTTTCGCTTCATGCATATTCTTACTCCTAAGCACCAGCAGCTCTTCAGAGGCCTAAAATCCAGCATGGGAATTGCTGTATTACATTAGTTCTAAAAAGCATTAAAGACTTTTCCTGAAATATACAGAACATATCATGCCAAATCTCTTGTTTATACGATAAACTGATTATATTGGTAAATTGCACATATAGCTTATATTCCCAAAATAGAATAACTTAAATATTAAAACGTACCTTTGTTACCACCATATCTGAACTTATAAGCATAACAAATGGCAATATTCAATACAAAAAAATCACAAAATTCACTAACCTTAAATGCTGCATATCACAGCATAGAAACTCTCATCTCCCTATGACCTATTCAAACTATAGACAGCAATGTTTCAAGCACTCTAGCAGCTACACCCTAATTAGAAATTTATACGAAACACAATTCTATGTTCAAATATGGAAATAAGCAACATAATTCCAAAACCCAAAAGTATCCCAGCATTCTGTAAAAAAAAATATCCCCAGCGGCTACATCCATGGTCACTAGCATCATTGTGCAGCATCTCAGGTACCTTGAAGAAAAAAAAATAATCTTTAAGTTTTTAGGACCACAGATTAATTTTTAGGAGAATTTGCAGTATAGCATATTAGCTTTACATAGTTCGATATGAATCACTTCCTTAAAATACAACATACTAATTGACAAAACACATACATACTAATTGACTCTAGCCAATCATGCCATACGGCATTTCCTAGCAGGTTAGTTAATAATGTTTGTTCATGGTTTGCTCAGTTAGCCAAGATTTATATTGGGCAGTTTGTTCACTGTAAAATAGAGAGTTATATTGACTGCCCTGCTTCAGGTTACTGCCTGCATCTGAACTGAATATAACATGAGGTTTATCTGAACCTTATACTATATATAATATAATCTTAGCGAAAACACTGACTGGACTTGTTATATGGACTTTGGTGACAAAAAGATCTGACTCCTTTGTCTATTAATAGGAAACCTAAGTGTTATGAAATATACATAGTATGCCAACAATATGTGGCATGTATAAGGTTTTACAAATCTAGATAATTTAAAGCCTCATAACTGAGATACTACTCTCAAAAATACATCAGAAGGGGCATTTTTGTGTACCCGAATACACACTAGGCAGGATAAAGATGTACTTATAATCAGTAATTCCAAATAATAAATGCTCAAGGATGTGTATTTTTACATGCTACCTAGTTAAGTACAGAATTACTTGTTATCACCACCACATTTAAGCTAGACTTAAAAAAGATTAGTTGCACTGAATATTTCTCAATTTTATAGTTAGCCAATACTGTAATTTGATTTCTTTAAAAATAACTTACCATATCAACCAGAGCAACATACATGAACAAGCCAGCGGTAAGTGCAAAAATCCACATAGAAACATTTTCAGCATAATGGCCAATGAAGATTCCTGTTGCCATTCCAAGATATGCTAACATGGCTGACAAAGCATTATAAAGAACAGCCTGCTTAACAGTCATGCCAGCTTTTAGTAAAACAGCAAAGTCACCTTTAATAGAAAACAAAAAAGGAGAGGAAGTGATTGAAAAATCATTTTAATATACATATCTGAGTGAATTCCCAAAAAGTTGTCCAATTTATTTCAAGGGAAAAAAGGTAAAATTACCAGTTGCTCAGGGCTAACAGGGAAAATCACCACACAACTCTATAAGTGAACATATCATTTATCCAAAGTTTTTCTTAAGGTTTCCACTTTGTCATTGAATGACAAACATCATGAACCTACTGCTGTGCTCTTGCAATGTCTTGAAGGAGATTGTAAATGGCCACAAAGGAGGAAGAAGATGGTAGAGAACACACATGAAATGTGAGGCAAGTAATAAAGACAATATAGAGTTAAGAGTTAAAGAGCGTAGGAGAAAAATCTAGACTAAGATGGAATAGCTAAAAGAGACTTAAAGGAACATGAAGGCTCTAGAACATGGAACACAAACCATATGTTGAGGATTTAAGATTGAGGCAGTTGGGAAGCCTTCTGAAAAGCAGAACACAAGTCAAGGAAAGAAAGTGAAAATGACAGCATGGGTATATACGAAAAAGTGTCTATGAAAGATAAACAAAGACATAAACAGGGGTACTCAACAGCACTTGGAAAGCTTAAAGATTTGGTGACAGAGAAAAACAATACTCAAAATACAATTTATTAACTTCCTTTTTCTTTTGCTCCAGTGAGATTATCTTTGCCAATTTGGTATTGGAAGATGATGCCTTTATTTGAGTGGCCTTATTCATGTTGCGTGTATGAAGATAAGGGCTACTGATGTCACCAGCACATTGGGATAGGAAGAAATATGGTAGCGGGTGATGGGGCCCAGGTAACTCTTTGGCAAACCCACAGGTAATTGTGGATTAGTGTCAGAATTCTGACTGGGAGCAAACTTGTGTACAGTAAGAAAACAAATGCTAGCTGGGTTAGCAAGCTTAAGAAGGTGTGAAAGTCATGAGGAAGTTTGCTGGAACTACCATTAACAAAAGCCAGTGACACCAGGACACTTCACCCTCTTGGATATAATATTTATATGGTTCTCTTACCTAATTCATGAGGCAACTCGTGACAAAACACAGCAACAGAAGTACTTAAACCACTTGATAAGCCTTCAGTAAAAGCAGCACCTGTGTAAAATCATTCAGAGAAAATTTGGCTATATTATTTTGTGAGTATGCTTTCTAAATCTTACCAGTATATAAAATGAAGTAAAAGACATAAACTACATTCTGCTTGTGACTACAGAGCACTTTCTCCACTCCACTCTGTGTCTTCTTTATAAGCAATCTCAGATTATATTCAATTAGGTTTTTTTTTTGTGGGACCCTCGCCGGTGGCCGGGGAATGAACTGGCACTGCAGAGGCTGCAGGCAGCCTCGCAGCCCAGCACTCAACCGCTGTGCCACCAGGGGAGGCCCTTCTATTAGGTTTTAACTTCTCAAATGAACACATCAGTTTTGATTGAAAAGGGAAGGTTCTACTATGCCTTAGAAAGATAAGTGATTGTCAAAAAGACCATCCCTTTTGTTATTGAAACAAAAAAAATCAAATATTTGGGAATAAATCTAACAAAAGAGGTAAAGGACCTATACAAAGAAAACTATAAAACACTGTTAAAAGAAATAGAAGAAGACACAAAGAAATGGAGAGACATCCCCTGCTCATGGATTGGAAGAATAAACATTATTAAAATGGCCATCCTACCAAAAGCAATATACAGATTCAATGCTATTCCAATCAAAATTTCAATGTCATTCTTCAAAGAAATAGAACAATTATTGATGAAATTCATATGGAATCACCAAAAACCCCGAATAGCCAAAGCTCTCCTGAAAAAAAAAGAAGGGAATGGAGGCATCAGACTCCCAGACTTCAAACTATACTACAAAGCCATAATCATCAAAACTGCATGGTATTGGAACAAGAACAGACATACAGACCAATGGAATCGAATAGAAAATCCAGAAATAAACCCACAGATTTATGGTCAACTAATCTTTGACAAAGGAGCAAAGAATATGCATTGGAGCAAAGAAAGTTTGTTCAATAAATGGTGCTGGGAAAACTGGGTCGCTACATGCAAAAGAATGAAGCTTGACCACCACCTCACACCATACACAAAAATCAACTCAAAATGGATTAAAGAACTAGACATAAGACCTGAAACCATAAAATATATAGAAGGAAATATAGGCGAAACACTACGTGATTTGCACATCAAAGACATCTTTACAGACACATCACCCAAAGCAGTGATAGTGAAGGCAAAGATAAACAGCTGGGACTACATCAAATTAAAGAGCTTTTGCACAGCAAAAGAGACAATAACAAAAACAAAGAGAAACCCACCAACTGGGAGAACATTTTTGCACCCAACACTAATGATAAAGGACTGATCACAAAAATCTGCAAAGAGCTGATGAGACTCAACAACAACAAAGAAAATAATCCAGTCAAAAAATGGGCAGAAGAGCTTAAAAGAAACTTCTCTGAAGAGGAAATGCAAATGGCCAACAGGCATATGAAAAAATGTTCAACATCACTTGTCATCAGGGAAATGCAAATCAAAACTACCATGAGATACCATCTTACACCAGTGAGAATGGCACATATTAAAAAAACTAGCAACAACAAATGTTGGCGAGGGTGTGGAGAAAAAGGAACTCTTCTGCACTGTTGGTGGGAGTGCAAACTGGTCCAACCACTGTGGAAAGCTGTATGGAGATTTCTGGACCTACTAAACATAGAGCTTCCATATGATCCAGCAATTCCACTCCTAGGTATTTACCCAAAGGACACAGAAACATCAATTCCAAAGAACACCTGCACCCCTATGTTTATAGCAGCACTATTTACAATAGCTAAGCTTTGGAAACAACCCAAATGCCCAAAAATAGATGACTGGATCAAGAAGATGTGGTACATATATACCATGGAATATTACTCAGCATTCAAAAAAGATAAACACATGCAATTTGCAGCAACATGGATGGCGCTGGAAGGGATCATGCTCAGCGAAATAAGCCAAAAAGAAAAAGAAAAATACCGGATGGTCTCACTCATAGCAGGAATCTAGAAAACTTAAATAAGGGACCAGGAAAATGAATAACTACAAGAAAGTGAAAATCAAAATCAACAAAAAACTATGAACCAGAGACACTTTTAGGGGGGCGGGGGTGGGAGGGGAGGGATTGGGGTCAGAATGGGGGGCTGCAATTGTATGGGGAATATAACAATAAAATTTATTAAAAAAAAAAAAAATAAAAAAAAAAAAAAAAATAAAAAAAAAAAAAAAAAAGAAAGATAAGTGATTGGACCTCCCCTGGTGGCGCAGCGGTTGAGCACTGGGCTGCAAAGCTGCCTGCAGCCTCTGCAGGGCCGGTTCAATCCCCGGCTCCCGGTGAGAGTCCCACATGGCACGCAGACCTCTCCTGCAGTGCCCACTGCTCCCCTCAGCAGTGTATTTCATCAGTCTGCCTGCTCTGTTCCCCGCTCTGGCTCTGGTGAATTCTCTCACCCTCCCGTGCTTCTGACTGTACCCAGTGCTTGTATAAATAAATAAATCTTTAAAAAAAAAAAAGGTGATCTTCTACAAACCTAAGAAGTTACTGCTACTACACAAAGCACTTATTTAAACATATGAACTGATTTAAAAGGTTTAGAAAAAAATTAGCACTCAAGTTAGTACACTGGCTTCAGAGAAATTCTCTATACAATTAGATTTGTTTACATGCATTCCTTTGCCATTTCATGAGGAGAGTCTAAGACAAATGGCCTCCTGCATCTTAAAAGGTAACACATTATACAGCTGATCACTCATAAACTATGAACATTTGTACATCTTCCTTGTCCCTACTGTTCCCGCATATAAAGGAGGAAGAGACCACCTGGACTTGTCTCAACTAGTCTATAAAACAGCACTGCCTCCTTAGGTGGCTTTCTCTTGTCAGGCTTGTACTGCCTCATTTGTAATTATGTCCATAGTTCCTTCCAGCATTGCTATTAAACTTTGTAGTATTCTATTGCCTCTCAATTGTGGCATTAAAATTTAATGCCTTTAGGGGCCTCCCCAGTGGCGCAGCGGTTGAGCTCTGGGTTGCGAAGCTGCCTGCGGCCTCTGCAGTGCCGGTTCGATCCCCAGCTGCTACCCGGCCACCGAAGGAGGGTCCCACACGGTGCGCAGACCTCTCCTGCCGCCTGCTGCTCCCCTCAGCAGTGTGCTTCGGTCCTTCTGCCTGCTCTGCTCCCTGTTCTGGCTCTGGTGAATTCTCTCGCCCTCCTACGCTTCTGACTGTACCCAGTGCTTGTATAATAAATAAATAAAATATATCTTTAAAAAAAATTTAATGCCTTTAATACCTTAGAAATAGACTGATAACTGAACCTGTAGATACTAAAGATTTTTTTTTTTAAAGATTTATTTATTTATTTATTTATATAAGCACTGGGTATAATCAAAAGCGTGGGAGGGTGAGAGAATTCACCAGAGACAGAGTCGGGAACCGAACAGGCAGACTGACAAAATGCACTGCTGAGGGGAACAGCGGGCATGGCAGGAGAGGTCTGTGCGCCATGTGGGACCCTTGCTGGCGGCCGGGGATAGAATTGGCATTGCAGAGGATGTGGGCATCTTCACAGCCCAGCGCTCAACCGCTGCGCCACCAGGGGAGGCCCAGATACTAAAGATGCTATTGCACAAAGGAAGATGACAGAAAAAGTCCTTTTATCATAATAAATATGGTTTATATTGTTGGTAAGGGAACTTAATTGTGTGGGGGGGCACCTCACACATGTTCCATACTTATTAAAGCCTGATCTTCATGATCTTGAAAATTAAGACAACTTCGCTAGTTAACAATTTAGGTAATGGGTGAGACACAGTCCCTTGCAGTTAATCTTTTTTTTTTTTGGATAAGGTTTTCATTTCCTGGAGCTTTTTTTTTTTTTTTAAATAAAGATTTACTTATTTATACAAGAGCTGGGATACAGGCCAGAGGTGCAGGAGGGGATGAGAGGATTCACCAGAGACAGAGTGAGGAGTAGAAGAGGTGGACGGACTGAAAGCACTGCTGAGGGGGAGCAGTGGGTGAGACAGGAAAGGTCTGCTGCACCATGTGGGTATCTCCCTGGCCAGCCAGGAATCGAATCCACACTGCAGAGGCTGTGGAGAGCTTCACAGTGCTGCGCTCAACCCGCAGCACCTGAGTTGCTGGCCACCAGGGAGGCCTCCTGGCATTTATTTATTTATTTTAAAGATTTATTTATTTATGCATACAAGAGCTGGGGTACAGGCCAGAGATGTGGGGATCCACCAGAGACAGAGTGGGGAACAGAACAGGCAGCTGACTGAAATACTCTGCTGAGGGGAGAGTGGGCAAGACAGGAGAGGTCTGCTGCGCCATGTGGGTTGCTCCCTGGCCGGCTGGGGATCGAACTTGTGCTGCTGAGGCTTGCTTCATAATGTAGTGCTTAACCCCTTGCGCCACCAGGGAGGTCCCCCCCAGCATTTAATCTTATGTAACTTTTATCAGAACTTAATTATCAATATAGCCAAAGAAATAACATTTTCATAACCTTAGACGTTAATAGCCTTATCCAAAAAAACCCTATTCTTTTTTTTTTTTAAAATTCTTTTTTTTTTTTTTTTTTTTTTTTTTATAGAGGCATGCTTTATTTATTTGTTTGCTGGTTTGTTTGTTTGTTTTGTTTATACATGCACTGGGTACAGTCAGAAGCGCGGGAGGGTGAGAGAATTCACCAGAGCCAGAGCGGGGAGCAGAGCAGGCAGAAGGACCGAAGTACACTGCTGAGGGGAGCAGCGGGCGGCAGGAGAGGTCTGCACGCCATGTGGGACCCTCCTCTGGTGGCCGGGGAGCAGCCGGGGATCGAACCGGCGCCGCAGAGGCCGCGGGCAGCTTCGCAACCCAGCGCTCAACCGTTGCGCCACCGGGGAGGCCCAAAAAAAACCCTATTCTTTGTTAAAACTGGACTGGAAGTTTAATGTGACATTTTCAGGTCAACAAACAAGAAGCAAATATGTGGATGTTTACCAATTGCTAGGCCATCACTGAAATTGTGCAGGCCATCGCCCATTATCACCATCCAGGCCAACGTAGCAATGCCAGCATCTTTTAGCTCCTCCCGAGAGTAGCGCTGACTGTGACTATGGGGGTGGTGGTTTTGGTGATGGTGGTGATGGAGAATATGATGGTAGTCATGGTGGTGGTGAATGAGATCGTCTGACTGGCCAAGTGTATCATGGAAATGTGAATGGCATTTATTCTTGCACCCTCTGGGTACATATTCATTGTAGACTTCTTGTGGATGAGCATGAGCTATCATAACCTCTTCTTCTTCCAAGATTGCTGGCTGTTGAGAATCAAAGTGGGAGGGCTCTTGTGACTCTGATCGCAAATAGCCTTCTTGTCCTAGGTATAAATGAAAGGACATTGGAAAGTAAGTCAGAGGCCTTGCTAATGTGCTGGGACATATTTTAAAGAGTCCTACCAACAAAGTCAATAAGAGATCTTAAAGCATGGTAATTCTCTCACATATACCTGCAGAATTAAACAGTACTGCACTGTTGTTGAAAAATATGTCCTAAGTAATTTTAGAAATTAAATGGTTTCCCATATTAAGAATGGATTTTATTTTATTTATTTTTAAAGATTTATTTATTTATTTATACAAGCTTTGGGTACAGTCAGAAGCGTGGGAGGGTGAGAGAATTCACCAGAGCCAGAGCAGGGAACAGAACAGGCAGACTGATGAAGAAGTACGTTGCTGAGGGGAGCAGCAGGCGGCAGGAGAGGTCTGCGCGCCATGTGGGACCCTTGCCCGGTGCCCGGGGATCGAACCGGCACTGCTGAGGCTGCGGGCAGCTTTGTAGCCCAGCGCTCAACCGCTGTGCCACCGGGGAGGCCCAAGAATGGATTTTAAATGTTAACCTTTACTAAGCATCTCTCAGATCTTCCCTTGATTTCTTCTGTCTCTCTACATTATGAGGGATGACTTTTTCCCCTGATTATAAAGAAACAGATATTTCATTTAGAAAATGTCTTTGAGATATTTAAAGTAGCTTAGAAATTTTTAAAATAAAGAGAGAAATTTGGAAGTAAAAAGATGTGTATCTGATTTTGTTTTTTTGGGGGGGGGGATATTACAGGAAAAACAGAAGAAACGGAACTACCATCATCATCAAATCACTACCACTTATTGTCCATAAAAAGAAAAGTAAAACAATAAGGTTTTGTTTCTTCTTTGTCATCTACACTGGTATCAACTTTCCTGGGAACATTTCTGACACTGTGTTCCAGTTCCAGATTAGTTATTTTCCCCTCATTGTTACATATTTCACTGGAGTCCACACAAAGATTGAAGAGAGAACACATGCAGGAAGTGAACAAAAACACTGCACTTGCTCATGTTAAAAAACAAAGGTGGACAAGAAACTTTACAAACAGGTAGTAATAATAATAGTTTTTCTTCTTCAGTCAGCAACTATCTACTGAGCACCTACTCTAGGCCAGGAATGCTGGTGGACATGGGAGACAAAATGGGGCAAGACAAAGTCTCTGCCTTCAAGAAGCTTATATTCTTATGGAAAACAGTCATTTAACAAACAGCTGTGTATAACTAAGATGTCTGAGGCACTGGAAAGCATGATAAAAAAATAGAAAAGGGCAATATGAAAGAGTGACTGGGAGACCTCTGTATCTGGCTGATTAAGGAAGTCCTCAGAGGAGGAGGTAACTGAGCTGAGACCTGAACAATAGGAGGAATTTATGTGAAGATCTGGGAGAAGAGTATTCCAAGCAGAAGAAACAGGCAGTGCAAGGCTCCGAGACAGACCTGGTATGCATACAGGATAAAAAGGAGGCCAGTAAGGCTGAGAGGAGAGGGCAATAAAGGACCCTGAAGGTCATGGTGAGGAGTTTGGTTTAAAATTTTAATCTTAACTGAGTCTGTATAACAAGAAAAATGCCAAGCTAAAAAAAAAAAAGGTCTCCAGGCAGACCATTTTTAGGAATGTTACAGGAAAAATCATAACTTTATAGTGGAGAAAGGGTAAACACAATCTTAGCGAAGTTATCAAAATTACCAACACCCATATGCAACAAGCGTTGTCATGTCAGCGGCATACCTTGTCACTGAAAAGGATATAATGCTACTGACTTTGTGGCATTCCTTCCAAAACTGATCAATCTAATTATGAGAAAACATTACACAAATCCCGAATGAGGAGAACTAGATCCAGCATTTGATGATGAATTACGATGGACCAATATTTTCTTTTTGGGGATAAGAGGGAGTGTAAAGATATTATTAAGACAATTGGAAAAACATGAAAAAGGTCTACAGATTAGATAACGGCATTGTTATCAATGTTCATTTCCTGATTTTGACAACTGACCTGTGGTTATGTAAAAGAATGTTTGTTTGCTTTTTTTTTTTTAGAGGAAGCATACACTGAAGCATTTAAGGGTAAAGCAACAGCATGTCTGGGCATTTGTTAAAGCTGGCAGAATTTAGGGTACATGTGCAAGTTGCTTTTTTTGGCACCAAAGATGACAGGTCTGGCAGCTTTAAGCCGTGCACTGTCTGAGTCACTGAAGCTGCCGTGGAAGCCTGCTGTGGCCTGCCTGGAGCCCAAGCAGGCATGCAATGAGTGTATCATCTAGGAAGGAGAAGAGCATTGTGGACGCCTAACTGAGACCCCCAAGGAGTGCGCGAAAGTCCTAGGATTTAAGGTATGAAATGGTGGTCTGTTCTGTAAAAAAAGATTTAATAATTGAATTTTGACAAAAATTGTAATTTTTTAAAAAAAAGGAAAACAAAAAGAAGCATCATGTATGCAACTCTCAAATGGTTTAGAAAACAAAGTGTGTGTATGTGTGTACAAAGAGAGAGAAAATAATAAATAAGTAGCAGAATACCTGGGAATTATAGGAAAGGAACACAACAGTTTTTTGTATTATTGTTGAAACTTTTCTAGAAGTGTACATTTACCTCAAAATAAAAAAATTATAGAAAAGCCATTTTATAGAAAAAACAATTATAGAAAAAACATTTTAACAAAAAATTATAGAAAGTATATAAAATAATCAATTCACTGGCAATTAAAAAAAGTACGAGGGACATTAAAAAAAAAAAAGAGGGGGTATTACTACGTCTCTACCAAATAGTCCAAACTGCCTGCAAATCACAGAACAATGAACTTTCTCCAGACCTCCAAATCACTCAGAAGGACTTACGATCATCTGCTTCCACTTTCTCCTCATTTGTTGAAAGTTGCGATTCATATTTGGACAATTGCTTCTTTATTTCCACATCATCATCATTTTCAGGTTTTTTCTGATTCTAACACAGCAAGGGAAAGTAATACTTTGAAACAGTTGATTTGCTTATGTATCAGTTTTAAATAACTAAAAAATTTCCCAGAGGACAATAAGAACAAAAGTCACCTAAGGGTACAGGACTAGTAGCATGTCTTAGGCATAGTAACTATTCAGAAAGGTGAAGAGTTAATGCCTCAGAAATATGAAATGGTGCAAAATCACAATTCACCCTTCTGAATGTTCCCTCAGTCATACTCTACCTGGCCTTAACAAGCAGCAGAGATCCCCTGGGAGCTGGTTAGAAATTCACAATTTCAGGCCACACCCCAGACTTCCTAATGAATCAGAATGTGACTATTAACTAGATTTCCAGGTGATTCATTCATATAGTAAAAGTGAGCTCTGCCTCAGGTTATCAAGTCAGAACCAGCTAGATGCATTCTTACAAATATTTAGTGATCAATTAATTGTTTGTTTTTTTCTCTGCCTGTTTTGGACAGTGAGACCCCATATTTACTATATATTTTATAGCTTCAAGCTATTCTGTGATACAGATAAGTATTTATTAAAACTAAGATACTAAGATAGCTTCCCTGTAATAAAACAACATTAATGTTTTCTCTTTTTAAATAAATCCCCATTTATCAGATTTTTTTAATCACCTGAATATTAGCTTGAGATGTGGTCCCTATCTCTGAATCTAAGAATAAAGGTCACTACTTGAACAATAGGGCCTGTGTATTATTTACTTACATAGAAGATAATATTCGAAATGATGAAAATTGTCACACAAACCTCAGATTTCTTATTTTTAGTACCTTTTAGTACCTTTTTTATGACTTCACAATTACCACCATACACAACATCCTGAGATTTCATTCTAACTCTAAAAGCATATAAAATATCTGTGCATACTTAGGTTTTACGAGTTTTTAAAGGTGAGCACAAGGACAATCTTTATATATATTTTTTTTTTTTATAGAGGCATGTTTATTTATTTATTTGCTTGTTTGTTTGTTTGTTTGTTTATACATGCACTGGGTACAGTCAGAAGCGTGGGAGGGTGAGAGAATTCACCAGAGCCAGAGCGGGGAGCAGAGCAGGCAGAAGGACCGAAGTACACTGCTGAGGGGAGCAGCGGGCGGCAGGAGAGGTCTGCGCGCCACGTGGGACCCTCCTCCAGTGGCCGGGGAGCAGCCGGGGATCGAACCAGCGCCACAGAGGCTGCGTGCAGCTTTGCAACCCAGCGCTCAACCACTGCGCCACCGGGGAGGCCCACAAGGACAATCTTTAAATCCATCTGCGAGCATAATGTTTCAAAGAGAAAGTATTTACATATTTGTGAAAATAAATTAATTCAGGTTATTATGAATCACTCGTTTTGCTTCATTATCTTGTTGGGCAATCTCTCTAGAATGCATAGTTTTTAACCAATTGTTTTGTCCCATAAGTGTCAGGGATCTATAAAGTTGCTTATGCTAAGTGTTGGTAACAGAACATAAAGCAAATATATACAAGGTCTCTTTTCTTATGGAGTTTATTGTCCACAAGGAGGGAGAATTCACACAGATGATTATACAATTATTTGACTGCAATTTTTGATACATTTTACAAAGGATAAATACAGAGTGCTATCAAAGTATGTAACAGTAAGACCTAACTAAATTTCAGGATAGTTTTCCTTGAGAAAGTAACATTTATACCAAGACAGGGGTTTGAGGAGCAGGAATATACCAGAAAAGCATGAAGGAAGTAGTATTCCAGGCAGGGAGGGAGGACAGCATGTGAGAGGGGGCCCGAAGGCAAGATGGGGTCAGCTCTGTCCTAAACTGAAAGTGTAAGGTGTTTGGAGACTAGTAGTTCAGAGTCAGGATGGTGAGAGATGAGGCTGTACAACTGGAGAGCAGAAAATGCAAACCATTTTAAGAACTGTGGACTTTACCTAAAGGCAATGAGAAGTCACTGAAGGAGGGATTTTATGCAGTGGTGGTGTACAATCTCATCATTTAAATAAGTCACTGCACTGCTCTGTTCTAGAATGGAAGAAAAGAAAATAATGTAGGCAGACCAGGAAGGAGGCAACTGCTGTTTCCCAGGTGTGAGATAAGTATGTTGTAGACTAGAATGACAGCAAAGAAAATAGAGAGCAGCAAAGACTCTAAATATATGTAATAAAACTGGGTTAGATATGAGATTGGAGATGCCATATTGATTCTCAGCTTTCCAGCACAAGCAACTTTCACTGGTGGTTAGAAAGTTTGAAGTTGAACTGATCTATATGTATATATAACTATCTACATCAAATATGAGATGTTACCTTAATTTGAATATAGAGACTTCAGATTGAAGTATATGGCAGATGACCTAAAACTATGATATACACAATCTTTTAGGGGTGCAAGATAGATGTCTTAAGGAAAGTTCTAGGTAAAATGTCCTGATAAGAGCACGAAGAGCTCACAACACTCACTATATAGTGAATAGTACTTTTTTTTTTCTGAAATAACCAAATGAGATTGAAAATTGTTAAGGAACACCAAGACCTGGATGCCCTTTTCAAAATATACAATTCAATATAGTCTAAAAAGGAAGAGAACATGTAATGTTTATAAAAATCCTTTGTCTAGCAATTGTGCCTACTTGCTGCTTAATGTTTCATACACAGCCAACATGTTTATCAATCAACTATTATGTGACAGACACCATTCTAGATGTTGGCGACATAGCAATAAATAAGACAGAGAGGACCTGGCTCTTAAGAGTTTACATGGTAAAAAACCAATCATCTTAAAATAGATTTCAAACTTCTTTGATTACAATCCATAGTAATATATGTAATATGTATGGGGCCATGTATGTAATATACCATAGCATTACTGTTGAGAACACTGGTCATGGCAAGATTGACTTCACAACTTACAAATGAGTTATAACCTAGAGTTGAGAAAACTCTAGATAAGAGTTTGTATTAGATAAGAGAACTTACCTCTTACCCATCCCATGTTAAAAACTAACAAAAGTTATTTTTAGGTAAAATTTGAAAACTAAATTGAAATTAGAATGTTAAATAATTTATGGCATCTAAAACAGAAATGTATTAAAAAAAACAAAAGACAAACCTCTACCCCTCCCCGCAAGCTGATTTTTTTTTTAAGGTAAAAATAACTGCAGAGAAAATAGAGTAGGATATATCTTAAAACCAGTCTAAGTCAAGCAACTGGGACAATGGGAACACGTCCTATTGAGTTGGGATGACTTCCTGAATTAAGAATGAATAAGTTTTGCCGTACTTCTTTCCTCAAAATTTAGGTCAAGTAAAGAGAAGTTTCAAAATTTGCAATCTGATATTTCAGAGAATATAAAGTCTATAACGGCAGGATGGAGGAGGATATATTTTTGTTCACATGTGCACTTGTTCCCCATGGTGTGACCTTTATGCTTACCAGCAAGAATTAACCATATAAGTTTTCAAATCTCTTCATGCCAGTTATACGTATTATAATTGCACAATTTAATTACATATTGCTCAAACTATGAGAAGCTGGTGAAAACAGTCATTTCTATGAAAACTTAACAAGGGTTTTCAAAGCTTCAAAAGGCAAGTTATTAAAAGAAAAGGTATCAAATTATGTAAGATGATGACTGTATAAAATTTTTAAAATCCAGATTTTACATATAATAGCTTTACAAGCATGTAATCTCTTGCTCAATTTTAAAGAAATTTTTTAGAAGTTGTAGATGAAGCAGCCTGGTTGTAGAAAAAACTAATAGTATAGAACTTCAACTCAAAGAAAATCTTGGTCAATATCAAATAACCAGAATATGTGTACAAATGTTTTAGTTAAATTAAAATGTCCAAGATGTGTTCATGTCAGTTTTAGGAGTCCTCAGTGGGATAATCTTTTGACTGACTTGCCCAGTCACATTAGATAAGAAGCAGATTACCAAGAATTGTCAAGAGGTGGCTTAAAAGAAATTTTTATCAGAAATAATGAACCTACTATTAGGTTTCATACTATTTTCTGGTGTCAATTTGTAAAGGGCAAGTCTGCAAAAGTCAATACCAATAAAAACAAAACAATATTCAGCTACTGGGTAAGTAATTTAACAGTAATAGCTAATCATAACTACCAACAGAGAGTTAGGTCTATGATGCCTCTTTTCATAAAAACCATTTGAAGCATAACTGACATATAAAAAGTTGGATATGTTTAAAATATACGACTCAGTGAGTTTGGTGTGAAACTTTCACCACCATTAAGGTGTAATAATCACAATGCTTCTCATTTTCAAGGCTGTGCTTGTGCCTTATTTGGTCATTAATACAGATGTCTGTCCTTGCCTTTCTTACTCTCTCATGAGTTTGAAGAGACTACTGAAGACAGTTAACTCCAGGATTATCAAAATATAAAATTGCTCTTCATGACAGCAATTGCCTCTTGGAGCAAACAAGTAACTCCTGGGTACTGAACCCCCTCTCCAATGAACATCATATATCCTTGGACAGGTTCTGCTGTCTACCTAATGTCCTACTTTACATAAATGTCTGATGAACAGTAATTGGTATAATTTTTCTTACCTTTTTCTTCTTATCTTTAAACTGCTTGATCAATGTAAGTAGATGTTCAACAAGAAACATGAAGTACAAGCCTCCTAGAGCTGTAAGACCCTTCCATGTAGAATCAAAATAGGTGCTTTCTTCTATGTTTTGAGATGACAGATGACTGAAAAGTGGCCCTCTCTTCATTTCTATTGCTGGTTCTTCATGGCTATGACTATGGTGATGACTTGCATGAGACTAAAGGTAAAACAATATATTTTTAATACATTTATTAGTTTCACATGTCAGAAAAAGTGGCTAAGATAATAAAGTTCAAATTTGAAATCATTCTGAGTCAAGCAATTAATGGGATATTTTGAGAGCTGAGGGGAAGCTTAGGACATTAAAAATAAAACGACTAACAAACAGCTAGTTCTCTAGAGCTTAATGTATTAAGAGTAATCTGTTTAATGTAAAGACAGATACATTCCCCAATGACCCTCATATTTTGTAAGTAGTGGGTATTTGCAATGTTTTGTAAGTTACCATGGGCACAAATAAGAAGCCTAGAATAGCACAAAGTCTACTGCCTATATGCCCACAGAAAAGCCTACACCATTGTTGTCAGCATAGTTACAAGAAGCCCAGTCTATGTAATGGGCACAGGTGAGGACCTGGGATCTCAGTGTACTGTCCCCACAGCTTACAGCTGAGAGGAGAAACTACCGCTACTGCATGTTAGGGAACAGAGTGTGAAGTATACTAACAGGTGAGATAGGGGTAGGTGGGGGCTGGATGTGTGTTATAGAGTACACTCCATGCATACACTGCTTTGCGCAGCAAGTATTCCTGAACATCTACTGTCTGGAAGCCAGGGAGTTTATGAGAGCAAAGCAGTTTTCTTTCACTACAGAATGGAACATGATGTGCTTTAGGAAGGGACTGATTTCTTTTTCTCACTTATCACAAACTTCAAAAGGAAACTTAAAAAATTAGATACAAATATTTTCTTTTTTCTTTTTAAAGATTTATTTATTTACAGGCCTGGGGTACAGGCCAGAAGTGTGGGAGATGAGAGGATTCACCAGAGACAGAGTGGGGAACAGAATAGACAGATCAGTTAAAATACACTGCTGAGGGGAGCAGTGGTGAGATGGGAGTGGTCTGCCACGCCATATGAGTTATCTCCCTGGCAGGGGATCGAACTCATGCTGCAGTGGCTGTGGATAGCTTCATAGGTTGTATCTTAACCCCTTGCACCGCCAGGGAGGCCCAGATACAAATATTTTGTTTGAGCACCTACCCTAAATATTTAATGGGAATTTTAAGTAAATGTCACCGAACTTATTTAAAAGGTCACTGTGTCATAAATCTCTAAAATAAACACTTAAATGTTTATTAAATCTCTAAAATAAACACATAAATTCAACTCTGAAGAACTGCTAAGGAAAAGCTAAAGAAAGACAAACTTTGTAAATAGAGTCACATTTTTTATTTCTGTGGCAATTACACAGAAATAAAGCAGATAATTCACACTGGTGTAGTATACTGCAGTACTAAAAACTGAGCAAATTTATCTCCTTTTACTAAGTGGGTTCCAAAAAGTTTAATGAATCGGTATTTATTAAACAACATTAAAAAGAACGGCAAAATAAATAAGCAAACAAACGTGTTAAGATCTAGCACAAAAATATAGCTTTCACTTACCAATATAGCTTAAAATTAACTCCTCTGTAGCAAATCTTTAGCCTTCTATACTTATCAATACAAACAATCCTAGTACATACTTCAAAAAAATTTTTTCCCCAAAAAATGTATTTTAGGGCCTCCATGGTGGTGCAAGGGGTTGAGACACAACCTATGAAGCTGTCCGCAGCCACTGCAGCATGAGTTCAATCCCCAGTCAGGGAGATACCTACATGGTGCAGCAGACCTCTCCTGGCTCACCCGCTGCTACCCTTAGCAGCATATTTTAGTAGATCTGCCTGTTCTGCTCCCCGCTCTGTCTCTGGTGAATCCACTCACCCCCCACACCTCTGGCCTGTACCCCAGCTCTTGTATGCATAAATAAATAAATCTTTTAAAAAAAGAATAATAAAACATACTAACAGGGCAATTTACTGTACTTACATGTGGAAGAAGGTGTAAAAAAGCATCACCACTCAACGTTCCAACAGCCAGTGCCACAAGGAAACTTAGGAGAAATTTGAAAAATACTCGATTCATGAGAGGCACTAAGATAACACCCAGCAAAGACAGGAAACTGATGATGGAAATAGCTATAAAGCCACCAACCCAAGCTGTCAAAGAAAACACAGAAGAAAAACCAAACAATTGATAAATTTTAGAAGAGAGACTTTGAAGTAGCACAAAGTAATTTATAAAAGCAGCTAAAGAAATACAAACTCAGTAAAGTGGAAGATGTTAAGAGAAATAAATTACTTCTTTACTATAGTTTTTGAGCAACGTGATTCTACACTACACCAGAGCTCATCCTAGTCTCACTTATTAGTAATAACATAGCAGAATGAGGTTCTTAAATAGCAGAAATAACTTTGTCCTCACTGCCAAACATACAAAAAGGCCAAATTTTGAATGACCCTGACACCTACTGTAGTATGACCTCAGAGAAGTTATAATATAAATTTTATAAATTTAACTTAATTATTTTTTAAGGGTAATGAAGCTAACACGTTTGCTTTTTTCACATTCAAGGTAAAGAAAAATTAAGCGGATATATTTGGAATTATGCTAAAAAATGAATAGGTTACTATACATAGATATAAGGAAAAGGACAACACAAATGTACCTATTGGAAATTATTTTTGCATAAAAAAGGAAATTCTACCTATTTGTAAAGAATAGGTCTTTGGTGGGATTTCAGCTTTCTTTTCACTCGTCGTATGAATCAGACACGATCTAGCATCAATTTGATTGATGATTGCTGGGCAGAGATAGTTGAACTCTATCGCATTCAGTGGAACATGGATGCCCATGCCATGAGATGTAAGCAGCTTTGAGGCATTGAAACACTGAAGAAAAACAAAGCAGTGAAAAATCACAAGGCGTTCCCATTATAGACTCCAAAAAGGCTATGCAATAACATAACACTCTTTCCTTACTGAAGCTACTTAATTAAGTTAAAGCAAATTAAAACCAACTTTTGTTAAAGTACTTTGGAACTTCCCTCAAGCTACCTGGAGATACTATGTCACAAAGGTGGTTTCCCACCACCTCTTCTACCTATTCTTGGGAGAGCGGTTACATCATCAGTCACCGAGGGAAAAAGTCTTAAGTGGAATAAGCTTGAGGGTAAATGGATATTCACAAGCCTGTTAACTCATAGTATAAACCTATTAAGGAAATGAGCTTTAATTTCAAGATGGGGTTCATTAGAGATTGAGAAACATGTTGTTTTAGTACTAACGCTACCCTACCTGGCCTAAACAAGCCCTAGACATGTTACTCTTTCAGCAATCATACTTGCAAAACTTAGCTCAGTTCTCTCTACATAGCTGGCAAAATAATGTTTTGTAAGAGAGAATATGAAATTACGTAGACTACTCATAAAGAGGGCAAGGCTCATGAACAAACTTGTACTGGCAGGTACGTAGTTGTTCCAACAATTAGATGACAAGCTTAGTTTGAAGAGAATTCCTCTGACTAATCTAAGCTCTTCTTCTCTGCAAATTTCTCATCTTTTGTAGTTATTTTAAACTCCCACAATTCCTGGTCAACACCACTCGGAACAAACTTTATCACTGGTATCGCTATGGGGATCACCATTAGTAGGATTATTCCAGAGCTAGTATAAGCCTATGATGGTTTGAAGAAGATACTGAAGTTTGATTCCTAATGTAAACTGAATAATTCCCCATTCTTGAGATCTGTAGTCTGGAAGTCGAGTCTAGAAGTAAAAACATGAACTCAGATTATGGAATAGTTCTAAGTCATACTGACACTTGAGCAATATAGGCTGGGGTCACTTCTGGTAATTAAAAGGATAACTATACTGAAGTATAAATATCATGCTAAATTATTAACAGAATAATATGAACAGATTTTACATTGTATACTTATTCTTTACACCCATAGCTGTGAAGATATCTGTGCACCTGCTGAAATAAAACATAGTGTTACTGAGTTCTGACTCCAAACTGAAGCTATGTAATTCTTTCTGGTAAATGTAGATCCTCAAAACCCCCCAAAACCCTACACAAATTTAGAACCTCACTGCCTTTTCACTTGTCCAGGACGTTGTTTGTGGTAGCTGCTCTGATTTCAATCATCTACAAAGTATTGAGATTCCTTTGCTAAGGAGGTAACACTGATCTATGTGCATATTTCAGTCCTTTCAACCATACATTTCTCTAAAACAGGGATTCTAACGCCTGCTTTTTCAATCTCCCATTTCTCCCTTATTTTAAATAATATTCACCTTTAAAGATTTTCTCCAAAAATAACCTTAATATCTGTTTTCTAGATTTATTTTCCATGTTAGGAAATAATTTTAGTAGGCAGCACAATTCTTATCCAAGAAATATTTCCTAAGTTTTTTATCAAGCACATTTAGAACATGAGTAGGGGCACTTTGAGCCAAGTGTCTTGCTGAGTAGATATTCTGTTTTCAATAATCTCACCATTTTATTTTTACTTTAAACTCCTTAGAGAGAAAGCAATGACAGGACAGATAAGTTGGCATACTGGTTAAACTAATGAACAGCACTCTTCTTACCTCCTGAGTATTTTCATTTGTGTTTCTGGAATACAAAAAGCCTTTTGGGGGTTCATTCATAGATTCATTTGTTTTCTTACTAGCCAGTCGAATCACCCGGTTTTTTTCTGTGATACTGGGGGGAGTAGAACTGCTCACATCTTTGGGAAGTTTTCCAGGTTTTGGAGTTTCAATTGTCTCCAGAAAGTGTGTTCCTTCTGAGACAGCATTATATACAGTTGAGGTCACTTCACTAGCACCAACGCCATCTTTGATTAAAACATTCCTTCTGCCATTGGCATGTTCTGATCGGTGAGATCCTTTCCCCTGACTGTTTCTAGGATCTTTACTGGAACTATCAGAGTCATGATCTGGGCAAACAGCTTTCCGATTATTTTTACTGGAAGTAGCATGATTATGGTGAGAGTGATGTTCATGGTCCGAGTGATGGTCATGGTGTATATGGATTCTTTTAATCTTATCTAGACCTATATTCTGAAGCAATTTTCTGAACCCTTCAACTGACAAGGAATTGTTTTCACCATAGCGATGGAAAAGTTGCTGTAGATGATGTTGCTGTGTGGTATATGCCAAGTCAACATTAATGCTGGAGTCCCAAGTTGTAATAATTTTCTCAGTGGTCTGAGGGAAAGCAGTTCTGGTTCTAGTATTTGTAACTGATAGGGCAAAGGTCAGGATCAAGATGATAGACAAATTTCTCGCCATTGCACCTTCCTGGAGAAAAATAAAAAAAAGAATTGTCTTCACTTCTGAAACAATTTGAATTAAGAAATCACATGCTGAAAACTGATGGCGCATCAAAAAATCAAGGTTTTACAAAGCATCATTTACAGCGCAGCGCTAGCTACTGTGAAAAATTCAGAGAACGGGAGTCTTAGGCTCTACCCTGGTATTGCTAAAATATATGAAACAACTGCAGAACAGTTTGAGACTGTTATTAGCACTGTAAAAGCAATAGCAGTCTGGAGCTTCATGTGGTCACAGTCAAACTGGCATCTTCTTATTGTGTTGAGGCAAAACAAAATAAATCCCTACTCTTTCCCTTATAATTTTATAAAAGAATCTTTCAGTATCAACAAAAGCAGAAATGGCAATCTTAGGATAACTCATTAAATTTTTTTTTTAAAGATTTATTTTATTTATTTATACAAGCACCGGGTACAGTCAGAAGAGTATGAGGGTGAGAGAATTCACTAGAGCCAGAGCGGGAAACAGAACAGGCAGACTGACTATACATTGCTGAGGGGAGCAGCGGGTGAGGCAGGCGAGATCTGCGCACCATGTGGGACCCTCTCCTGGTGGCTGGGGATCGAACTGGTGCTGCAGAGGCTGCAGGCAGCTTCGCAGCCCAGCGCTCAACCGCTGAGCCACCAGGGAGGCCCTCATTAAATTTTTTTTTCTAAAACTACATATAGATAAATTTTAGGCTTCTTTGCCCCAATCCCCTACTTCAAATCCCATTTTCTTGTATATCTCTATTTCTCAAGACATTTTCTCTGCATGTTCAAGTAGGTGTGTACTTTAACCACGCATTATAATTTCTTTCTCTCACTCAACAAATTACATTTTTCCATTTCAGTACATATACATTCATCTCATTCTTTTGAATGACACAGTAATAGTTAAGCAAGTTAAACTTCATAAAAAAATTATAGTTTCTTATGTCGTTATTTTGTTATAAACCAATGAAAACTAGAACATAGACTATTAGTCATTCACACAAAAGGAACAAAAGGCCTGTTCTCCAAAGGGGAGTTAGGGATCGAGTTGAGCCTTGAAAAGCAGAATTCAGTTAAGTACAGGAAGGTAAGGTCCAGGCAAGCATAGAGAATGATACTTCAGGAGCCAGCAGAGGTCAAGCACCATGATGGTGATGAAAATCATCTGCCTCCAGGGAAAAGACACAGAGGTCGGTTTTGGAGGCGAAAGCGCCAAGAGGCAAGAGGCAAGCTAGCTCTATCACTTCCAGCTGTTCTTCCTCGGACCCGTTAAAGTTAGTACTACCTATTTCATAGGGTGACTGAGACTATCACAAAAAAGGAAGTAAGTGAAAGTGCTCCATAAATTGTCATGTGTAGCATAACTGCTGCTTATCATACTGGAACGGTGGAGAATGGAAGTATATAATTTACCACAGTAAAGAATATACACTTAGGTTCTCACTGGTGGTGCATTGGTTGAGCGCTGGGCTGCGAAGCTGCCTGCAGCCTCTGCAGCACCGGTTCGATCCCAGGCCGCCGGGGCGGGTCCCACATGGCGCGCAGACCTTTCCTGCCGCCCGCTGCTCCCCTCAGCAGTGTCCTTCGGTCCTTCTGCCTGCTCTGCTCCCCGCTCTGGCTCTGGTGAATTCTCTCACCCTCCCGCGCTTCTGACTGTACCCAGTGCTTGTATAAATAAATGAAGAAATAATAAATCTAAAAAAAATTATACACTTAATATATAAAAGATTCTTTAAAGAATCTTAGGGACCAGAGCACTGAGAGCTCACGTCAAAGGCAAAAGAAAAACATCATTAAGAAATCATTTGCAGGTAAAGGCAAAGAGCTGGGTGGATGGCTCGGGGGGCAGTTCCCCGCAGCTCCAGGCTTTTCTCCAGGGAGGATGCTTAGGGCGATCTCAGATCCGCGAGCGGATCTCCTTCCCGGCAAGTCCGCGTGTGTTGGAGGAAAAAAGAAAAGCAACACACAAGGGCCTGGAGAGAGGGTGAGTGGAGAAAACAGGAATGAGGGCACAAAACTACTTCTGAAGGTTTTGAATTAATTTCAAAACACGGCAGTACCTTCGACGAGGAGATGAACAGTACAAACCGTTTCCTCAGACTATCCCCCGTGGAAATCCAAAGCCAATCCGTGCAGCCCACACCGAGAACTTCGGCCTCCACGGCCCCCGGGGCTCCTCTCGCCGCCGCCCCTCTCGGAGCCGCGGGGCTCACCTCCCCGCGGCCTCGCCCAGCTGCCGGCCGGGGGCTCGGCGAGGGCCGCGCGTCTCTCTCTGGCGAGACCTCTACAGGGCACCGACAAGCCGCGGTCTCATCGGCCCGCTCTCCCTCGGTGCAGAGGTAGCGCCGCGAACCATGGGGAACGCGCGCCGCGCGCGCCCGGCCCCGGCGAGCAGGAGAACAATCACTGATTAGCGCCGAGCGCGGCGCGCCGCCGGGAGCCACCGCCTCCGCCGGCCATGACTGACGCGCATGCGCAGCGCGGCCCGGAACCCCGTCCTCGGCCGGCGGATCCGGTGTCCGCTTGTTCGCCGGCGCCGCGGCGGGAGGGGGCGGAGGCCCGGGCCCAACAAGCGTGTTCCGAGACCCTTTCCTCGAGGCCCGAGACTCGCTGGGCCAGGCCCTTCGTAGGCCGGCCCTGCCGGCGGGGGGGAGCCGAGCCGTGAGGGACAAGATGTCCCGGATGCCGCCCCAGCACGCGAGTGCGGTCCTGCGGGGGGGTTCTCAGCTACTCCCCCCTGGTCTTCGCTCCTAGGGCGGAGCGCCGGGCCACGGCTCAGGAAACAATTGCTAAAAGACGGGGGCGAGGCCCGGGCCAAGGACCTCCCCGGCCGGGTTGGTGGCGGGGGTGGGGGGGGGGAGGGAGGGCTGGGGGGGGGAGGGCTGTGGTGGGCGGGGCCGCCTCCGCCCCGCCCCGGCCGCCTCGGAAACGCGGTGCGGACTTGCGAGCCGAGGGGCGGCCGCGGGGCACTTCCGGTCCGGCGGCGGAAGTGCGCGGCCAGGTCTGGCTGTGCCCAGCTAGCAACATGGTGGTGCCGGTGCTGGAGACCTCTCACGTGTTTTGCTGCCCGAACCGGGTGCGGGGCGCCCTGAGTTGGAGTTCTGGGCCGGGAGGGCTTTTGGCGTTCGGTACGTCCTGTTCCGTGGTGCTCTATGACCCTCAGGTAAGCTGGTGGCCGGACCCCCGACCCCGTCTGCTTCTGGCATCCAAGCAGCTGGGTGCACTCGGGGCGGACTGTGTAGACTGCTCCGGAGTGAGGATGGGTGTGCGGCTGGGTTCGCTTCGGGGAGGGTTTCTGTGCGAGGAGTCACCGGTGGATGCTCTGCTTTCACCCCTCGCTGCCAGCTTGGGTTTCCGTATCCTTTTCTGTTAGCTCCATGGAGAAACCCGAATGATGACACCCTTATCTATAGGCTTCCATGGGAACCCAAACAAATTGCTTTGGGTTTTAAAAGATTTGCGTTAGGTATGGGTTAAAATGATGCTGTATCGTTTCTTTATTTCCCTCGTTGTTTTAATAAACTTATTGTATTGCATTTTAAAGAAACACTACTTGTATTTTGGTTTTGGAAATGGCCGTTTTAAAAAAAAGTTCCGTTCGGGCAGGGTTGAGGGTCATAAGTTCTAGTTATAAGACAGAACTTACTCATGTCCCGAATTTAACACAGTTGATTATTTTTTGGCTCTTTCCTGATTAGACAGTATAGTTAGTGATGCTTCTCAAAAGGAACCTCAGTATAAAAAGTCAAGTGCTGAAATTAAAATGCAGGGCAGGAGATGGATGCTTTCTTAATTACACTAAAAGTTCTACTTTCCCTATCACATCCTTTGCAGATTCAAATTTATATATGAAATATATTTGGAGTTTGTATCTTGAACTTGCCTCCTGTTTTTTGTTTCTTGTTGATTGCTTGTACTCTTGATTGGCTAGAGAAAGCACAAAAAAGCAAGGGTAAACTTTATAGTAGCCATGAACCAAGGACTGACTTACCTGTTTAATCCCATCTTTTTGCAACTGTTTGATGGATTTGTCCCATGCCTTCCATGACTTTTTTTATTTTTAATGATAACCTGATGGCCATATTAGGGAATACTAACATATCAAAAATGAAGTATATTATTGAGCCTAAAAGGTACTTACAAATATTTGTTGCTTAGGCATTTAATTCAATTTAAGAATAAAAGCATTACAGATGCTAAAATAAGGTTTGGGGGATGATGTTCATTCAGCAAATTTCAGAGGACCTGTGGGCTAGCCCTGAACTGAATGGTGATGATGGCGTAAAGATAATGGATAATAATTTCTGTCCATCAAGGAATTCTCAATCTAGGGAGAGAAAAAATTACTTTACATTGTTTCCCAACATCAAATAACCCATGCGATTCATTATATAATCTACTTCTATATCCTTTTTTCTCAGTCATGGCTATTCCAGTTGTCATAGCAGATATGAAGCCAGTGCTTTTGGTAATAAATGGAGAATGGGTCTGTAAAGAGGAAGGCACAGGAGTCACAGAGTTAAAATCTTTAGCAGTGAGTGAAATAAAGGAAGCCCAAGTGTGGAAGAGTGTTGGTGAAAGCAACAGTCTGAGGGTCTGCTGGGAACTTGGTCACTGTGGTCCAGTGACCTTGCCTGAAGAACCAAAACCTGATCAACCATAGCATATAAAATGAGCCTTAAATTTGTATCCTTTAACCATGAATTCCTCTGCTGAAGGTTGGGCTTTTTACCCCCAACAAAATCCTCAAATTGATGCAAACAGGGAAGAGGCCACCCATGTGAGAAGGATGGGGGCGGGGGCACTGCAGGAGGGTGAGTGGACACTTAGCTAGATTGAAGACCTGAAGAGTTCAGTGTGGCAAGGGTGCAGGGGACTGGGAATGTGGCGTGGTAAGAAAGGCAGGAATGAATGGATTGCATTACTATAGAAATTTATGAATCAGAAAGGCAATTCTCTTTTTTTTTAAAAAAAGAATAGGTCATGGGTCATCTTTCTATAGTTATTGTTCCCTTTAGGTGCAGCCTTTCCACCAATAATCCACCCTGTACCACCACCCATCTCCCCTGTGTCTCTCTCCCCTGCTCTGATCACCCCCACTTCTCCCCTGCTGCAAGACGGAGATCGATGGTCAGCCCGTGAGCCTTTAAGAAAGGCAATTCTCTTTGATGTAATCTGGGTTATTTTATTAGTGTCAAAAACACTGAAATCTGATTATTGTTAATTTATTAATTCCTCTGTATAACTTTTAGTATACTAACTGGTATTTTCTTCTCTAAAGAAAAGAATTGTCATTACCAACCTGAATGGTCACACTGCACGGGTTAATTGTGTCCAGTGGATTTGTAAACAGGATGGTTGTAAGTATTAACCTGAGTGTTAAAGCTAATCACGTTTGTTTTTAAAATATGGTTAGTCATTTTCCCTTCATCTCTTCTCTTAATTTAACATTAGCTCCTCTGATATTATGGGTCAGAAACTAGAAGAGAAATGGTATTCCCAGTGAAATATCTGATCTGTACCTTTATTTTTATAGCAGTTGAAACATGGATAATGAAGCAGTGCTTAGAATAGGGTAGAGGCAGCCCTCGACTAGCGAGACCCATCCTGGTTTTGATTGAAAACCTGTTAGCTGGGCTCATTTTGGGTCGCAGGCTGGGATTTAGAAAGCCGGATTGTACGTCTGTTTCTGTCACAGACAAGCTATTGTATGGTAGTTTTATGTGTTGTGTTTTATTTTGTTTTTTTTTTTTTTTTAGGCAAAGGCATTGCATCTTTGTTGACCCCAGTTTACACCTGATTAGACTAGATCAAGGGATCCTTGGAGGTTCAGTACATCTGTGAAGTCAGAATTATTTTCTGAGTAATGTTACTCAGTTTTCATTCTCCTTCAGTCACAGTATACAGTGGCATTTCCAGTGCTTCTGTGGTGTGTTATATTGCAATTAAATAGTGAAGCAGATAAATACTGAAGCAGATAGGAAAATTTACCAGCACTCTAATAAAGTGAGATGTTAAAGAGAGTTGTAGAATTGTAAAACAGTGCCTTTTGTCACATTAATATTTTGTATTGGAAAATAGAGCTCCCCCATAAAATGTTATTTATGCTAACATATGATAGAGTTCATCATTATTTTTAAGTAAATTAAATAACAAGTATTTTTCAAATTCCTAATGTGATTAATATTGGTACCTATAGTCCAGATAAACAAATACCCTGGGGGTCCTCAAGATTTTTTTAAACGTAGAAAGAAGTCCTATTACCAAAAAATTTGAGAAATTGCAGGACTAGATAATCTCTAGGCCTATTCCATCTCTAACATTCTGTGACTCCAGAATTTTTAATTAACATTTTGCTTGCTTTTTTTTTTTTTTTTTTTTGGGACCCTTCCTGGGAGCTGCAGAGTCTGCAGGGAGCCTTGCAGCCCAGCGCTCAACAGCTGCGCCACCAGGGGAGGCCCCATATTGCTTGCTTTTAAATGGTATTTCCAAAATTCTGTGGGATTTCCTCAATGGTCTTAAATACACCTACTCTCGTGTTACGGACTCTGAATTAATTTTATTTTTCATTCTGCAACCATTGTATGTTAAATGCATTCTGAGACTGGCACAGAGGAAGAATTTACTGAGTTAGTGAGACATTACTATAATTTTATTCCTGACATTAAAAACATTTTAACAATGTTAAAAACTACTTGTTTCTGGGTCTCCCCAGTGGTGCAGTGGGTTGAGCGCTGTGCTGTGAAGCTGTCCACAGACTCTGCAGCACTGGTTTGATTCCCTGCCTGCCAGGGAGATACCCACATGTTACGGCACACCTCTTGCCCGCTGCTCCCCTCAGCAGTGTTTTTGGTCCTTCTGCCTGTTCTGCTTCCTGCTCTGTCTCTGGTGAATTCTCTGACCTATACCCCAGTTCTTGTATAAATAAATAAATCTTAAAAAAAAAACTGCTTGTTTCAGTTGGTAAGGTACAATTAGTCATGCAGTAGGTCAGTAAAGACCATTAAATAGTAGAAAAGGGCGGCCATTAGTGCGTATATTAAAACAATTGTAATTATAGTATATAGTAATTGCCACCAAATAACATCAAAGACTACTTGATCTCAGTGTAGATATTCATTATAAATTATTCATTTGGGCTTGTATATTTTATCCTCCATTTAAAAGTGAGGTTATATAAAATGAATTACTTGTGTTTCACTGTAGTCTATAACTATTATGATTGAGAACAGGCTCTACTGCCAGAGAATTCAAATATTCTTTTTTTTTTTTTGAGTTTCAAATATTCTTTCTAACCCATGTATCAGTGGCAGAAAATTTTAATAATTTATATTCTTAAGATAATCTGATTTTTTTTTTGCATAGACTAACTGGGGTATCAGCCAGAGGTATGGGGGTAAGAGGACTCACCAGAAACAGAGTGGGGAGCAGAATAGGTAGATTTATTGAAATACAATGCCAAGGGGAGCAGCAGACAAGACAGGGGAGGTCTGCTGTGCCATGTGTGGGTTAGCTCCCTGGCCAGGGATTGAACTCAGGCCATAGAGGTGATAGCACCAAGACTTAACCCGTACACCACCAGGGAGGCCTGGTATCTGATTTTTGAACCCTTTACTTTTAGGTGTGTTACCATAGTAATTCTCAAAATCATGTAGTTAGATTAGTGGCTTCACTTCTGTGATACATGAAGAAATTAAAACCCAAGATCACAGCTGGCTGACTGGACATGAATGGTTTTATTTATTTTTTTTGGCTGAGATGTCTAATTATTTATTGTTGTTCACGCAGATGGCTATAGAGATGTTAAACTATACTCCAGGAATTTACAACCATGTAACACATGGCTAGTCATCTAAAATAAACTAGCTTCTTACAACTACCTGTGAACATAGCAGCCCTTTGTCCATTCAAGAAGACCTTAATCTTACATGAAAACACTTACTCTAGGGGAACCAGAAATATAACTGTGACCAAAAATAAAAACCAGAGGAAAAATAGCAATCTAGTGGCACTTTGGTGTACTTTGCTGTTGATTTTTTTTTTTAAAAGATTTATTTTTATTTATATAAGCACTGGGTACAGTCAGAAGCGTGGGTGGGTGAGAGAATTCACCAGAGCCAGAGCGGGGAACAGAACAGGCAGACTGACCGAAGTACACTGCTGAGGGGAGCAGTGGGCGTGGCAGGAGAGGTCTGTGTGCCATGTGGGACCCTCGCTGGGGGCCTGGGATCCAACCGGTGCTGCAGAGGCTGCAGGCAGCTTTGCAGCCCAGTGCTCAACTGCTGCGCCACCAGGGGAGGCCCATACTTTGCTGTTGATTCTTTGCTCTTCTTGTTCTTGTTCTTTTTGTCCCCCTTTTTGAGATCATCTTAGCCCCCAGTAAGCTTGAGTAAGCCATCAGAGACTTTTATGGTGGTACTGATCATTTTTTTCACATCAGTAGCTCTTAACAGACCCTTGTCTAAGGGTTCAAAGGCCTTCACAGGACCTTTTCTTTAATGGGGTTCGTTCAGCTATTGTACTTCCTCAGGATGGTGAACATGTTGCCTGATATCTGGTACTTCTGGAAGAGTCTGCTCAACTCCACCAACTGCTTGCTTTCCAGAAGCGCCATCCCAAATCTAATATTCTTTAGATTGTCCCCTGACTGCTGCCCCTAAATATTTAGCACGTAGGCCAGAGGGGGGAAAAAGGTAAATGGAAAATCCAAATCAATATTATGCTAGCTTCTTTTTTTCAGTGCCTTTTTTCTCTTACAAACAAGTTGTAAATGTTTAAAAGAGCTATTTTGCAATGTTTTTCTAATCTTGGAAATATGTTGTATATTTGGTAGGAGTTGCTGACTTAATTTTATTCCTGCCAAAAATGTTTAGCCTGAATGTTATCATGAAGAAACAACTAGACAAGTACAGTTTGAGAGATATTGTATAAACTGATCTGGACTCCTACTGTCACAAAAACAAGGGCACTGGGAAACTGTTCTATCAGTACATTAAATAAGACTGAAAAGGTATGATAACCGAAGTACAAAATGTGATCCTTAAAGTCTTAATTAAAAAAATACATATTTGATGGGCCTCATCTGGTGGCGCAGCGGTTGAGTGCTGGGCTGCGAGGCTGTCCACAGCCTCTGCAGCGCCGGTTCGTTCCCTGGCCGCTGGCAAGAGTCCCACAAAAAAAAAATAAAAAAAATAAATACATATTTGAAAAGACATTACTGAGATATTTTAATATGAACTGAGTATAATATAACGATGCTATACGTAGTAAAAGTTTGCAAGGTGATAATTGTACTGTGGTAAGGTGGGAGAAGATTTCAGTTCTTAGGGATTATATATGGTGTAAAGTATTTGAGGATCAGAGATCCTGATATCTGCAACTTAATTTGAAATGGTTTGTCAAAACAAAAGGGGATACGCGCATATATATGTATGTATAGAGAGCAAGATACTAAGTAAATGTGGCAAAATTTAATAGTTGGTGAATTAAGGTAAAGGACATATGAATTTTCTTATTTTCTCTAACTTTAAAAAATTATCTGGGGGAAAAGTACTCAAATATTTACTGAAGTTTTTTTTTTCCCCCCCAGCTCCTTCTACCGAGTTAGTTTCTGGAGGATCTGATAATCAAGTGATTCACTGGGAAATAGAGAGTAATCAGGTGGGTTGACTTGTTTATAGTGATAGGAAATGACCGTTATAATACTTTTGTTTTCCATTTTTTCCTCATTTCTGCTGTGTTGTTCTTTTAGGAAGTTCCCTCATTCGTGCTTATCAGTAATTCTGTTATTCTAACTTCAGCACTACACAGACCTTGTAGCTGTCCCTCTGCTACCTACTCCCTAGTCATACACTGTTAATCATTGTATTTATTTCTCATTTTGGAGTAATTTTCAAACTGTTATGTGGGTTATTGTTCTGCTTTTATTTTTAAGCAGTTTTCTTTGTAATTAATGTATTTTTAATTTTTTTCTTTAAAATTCTTTAATTTTCCACAAGTCATTTTTGGCATTTTATACCTTTTTAGGAATTTATCCCTTTCACCTAGGTTTTCAAGTTATGAACATTTATTTCTTCATGAAACTCCCATTATTTTTATTTCTTTTCAGTTTTATTGATTTGCCAGTGGTTAAGTTTTTGGATTGCAATTCTGTGGTTTTATATGTATGTTTCCCACTATCCAGAGATTGGGAATTCAAGCTAATTTCCCCCTCCCCCCCCCACCATCTCTGTATCTCTTGTCCCTTTCCCTCCCCCATCTCTCTTACCCTTAGCCCTCTGGATATTTATGGATGTCCACTGTTTTTCGAAAGCGTAATACACTATCAGATTGTCTGCTCTGTAGATGGTAGTATTTGTTTTTATTATTTTGACTTTTATTGTTCTGACTTACTGTTCTACACGTTCTCTCAAATTTCTTCCATTTTGTTGAAAATGGCTGCATGTCATCGTTTCTTAATGGCTATATAATACTCCATGGTGTGTATGTACTACATCTTCTTGATCCAATTGTCCATTGATGGACATTCAGGCCGATTCCATAGTCTAGCTATAATATTATGGAACATGTAGGGGTTTTTTGGTTGATGGTTTCATATTTTGTGGCTATGTAGCCAAGAGTGGAATTGCTGAATTGTAAGGTATTTCTATTTTTAGGTGGTTTTTTTTTTTTTTTTTTTTTAAAGATTTGTTTTACTTATTTATTTATACAAGCACTGGGTACAGTCAGAAGCGCGGGAGGGTGAGAGAATTCACCAGAGCCAGAGCGGGGAGCAGAGCAGGCAGAAGGACCGAAGTACACTGCTGAGGGGAGCAGCAGGCGGCAGGAGAGGTCTGCACGCCATGTGGGACCCTCCTCCGGTGGCCGGGGAGCAGCCGGGGATCTAACCGGCGCTGCAGAGGCTGCGGGCAGCTTCGCAACCCAGCGCTCAACTGCTGCACCACTGGGGAGGCCCCTCCATTTTTAGTTTTTTTTTTTTTTTTAAAGTTTTTTATTTATTTATTTATTTGTTTGTTTGTTTGTTTATACATGCATTGGGTACAGTCAGAAGCGCGGGAGGGTGAGAGAATTCACCAGAGCCAGAGCGGGGAGCAGAGCAGGCAGAAGGACCGAAGTACACTGCTGAGGGGAGCAGCGGGCGGCAGGAGAGGTCTGCGCGCCATGTGGGACCCTCCTCCGGTGGCCGGGGAGCAGCCGGGGATCGAACCGGCGCTGCAGAGGCCGCGGGCAGCTTCGCAACCCAGCGCTCAACCGCTGCGCCACCGGGGAGGCCCTCCATTTTTAGTTTTTTAAGGTAAATCCAAACTGCTTTCCATAGTGGTCACACCAGTTACAGTCCCACCAACAGTGTAGTAAGGTTCTTTTTTCTCTGCATCCTCTCCAGTACTTGTTATTGGGGGTCTTTTTAACGTGTGTCATTTTTATGGATGGCAAATGGTATCTTATTGTAGTTTTTTTTTTTTTTTTTTTAAAGATTCATTTATACAAGAACCAGGGTACAGGCCAGATGCACGGGAGGGTGAGAGGATTCACCAGAGACAGAGTGGGGAGCAGAACAGGCAGACTGATGAAATACACTGCTGAGGGGAGCAGCGGGTGAGACAGAAGAGATCTGCTCGCCGTGTGGGTTGCTGCGAGGCCCACGTGAATCGAGCTGACACTACAGAGGCTGCGGACAGCTTCACAGTGCTGTGCTCAACCGCCTGCACCACCAGGGAGGCCCCTCTTATTGTAGATTTAATCTCTTTGTCTCTTATTAGCAGTGACAAACATTTTTTCATGTCTTTTAGTCTTTTGGATATCCTCTGGTGAATTTTCTGTTAATATCTGTTACCCATTTATTAATTGGGTTATTTTTTAATTGTTGAATTGTATCAGTTTTTAATACATTTGGATATTAGTCCCGTAACATTTAATATGGTGTAACTGTATTATGTTGACAGTTAATATATTGTGTAATAAGTAATGTATTGTGTAAATATTTTCTCCCATTTAAGAGGGTATGTGTTTAATCTTGTATTTTCTTATCTCTTTTTTGGGGGGAGGGATAGCATTTTTTGTTACAGAACTTTATTTTTAAATTTATTTTAGGAAGACAAAAGTTAAAATTCAAAAAATAAAAAGAGAATACAAGCAGCCATATTCTCTATATGCCACTGATTCTGGTGGTCAGAGAAGAATACTACCGAACAGCAGATGAAGGATACCTCTGCAAAAGAGCCAAGGCAGAAAGGCCTGGTTTGCTCTTGGCTGTTGAGGAACCCATCTGTGACTTACCCGTGTAATGGGCCTCTTGGTCTTAACTGTCAAAGCATATCTTTTCCTCTAAAAAAGACTAGTAATAAATACTTAAGTATAGTGTATTTTCTGATATCCCTCATTATCATCCCAGAAAGTCTTAGTAAATATAAAAGTCAACTACTTACTGGAATAAGTAGTACATGTCAGTGGTGACTCAATAATGGTTTAATGAATGTTGAATATCTTAAACTTTATCTTCACTTGTCACTCTCCTGTATTGGAAACTTAAGAACATTAACAAAGTCCTGCTGGTTACTAGGTTTAGTGAATAATTTAAACAAGGCCAACAGAAGAGCTCACTCACAAGACTTATGACGTAATTCCTCAGGTATACTAAAGCTTCTGTCTGGGCCGACACCAAGTTACCTAATTACTTCTATAACTACTATCATAGCTTAGCTCTTGAAAAATCAGGAAAAATTAATAACATACTACACTCCTTTTGCAGTTATTCCTCACTGGCACTTAAAAACATTTTATTTTTTAGTGTATTTCACTTTCCCTTGATCCTCTACTTTCTCAGTGACTGCTTGGATAGCCTCTTGGTTGCCCAGAACCTGGTTAAGCCCAACAGCATGCAGATTCTTATCTGGTTCAAGAGAATGGGCACTCCAGTAGAAAGGATGATGTCGAAATTGTCTTCATTGGAGATAGCTTCCACATCTTTCAGGAATGCCCTGCTGCTATTTCCATGAGCAAATAATCAGAAAATTTTTGCTGCTTAATACTTCGTGGACAATACTGTCATTCCAAAGGGGAGTCTCTCCAGAACATCCTTTAAGCTTTGTTGCTATCAAGGAACATATCGCCAGTGATTTCTTCTATGTGTTTTATTATTGCAGGTATTATATCTTAATCTTTACTACATTTGGAGTTTATTTTTGTGGATGGTATTTATGAGTAATACAACTTCATTCTTTCATATCAGGCTTTCCAGTTTTCCTCACACCATTTATTAGAGGCTGTTTTTCTCATTTTGTGGTCATAGCTGCTTTATTATAGTTTAGGTATTAGTATGAATGTGGATTTATTTCTGGGCTTTTTATTCCAGTGATCCATGTATCTCTTTTTGTGTCAATATCGTGTTGTTTTTAATACTGTTGTTTTATAGTAAAGTTTGAAGACAGGTGACATGGTACCTCTATTTCTCTCCTTTTTTCATAGGGTTACTTTTGTGATTCAAGGCCGTTTGTGGTTTCCCATAAATTTCAGTCTTTTTTGTTCAGTTTATTTGAATGCTGTTGCTGGTAGTTTGATGGGGATTGCATTAAGTTTATATATCATTTTAGATAGAGTGGTCATTTTGATTCAATGAACAAGTGATATCCTTCCTTCCTGATGCTATTTAAGTCCTTTAGTAACATCTTGTAGTCCTCATTCTGTTTTTTTTTTTTTTTAAGATTTATTGATTTTTATACAAGAGCTGGGATACAGGCCAGAGGTGCCAGAGGGTGAGAGGATTCACCAGAGACAGCAGGGAGCAGAACAGGCAGACAACTGAAATATACTGCTGAGGGGAGCAGCGGGTGAGACAGGAGGGCTCTGCTGCACCATGTGGGTTGCTCCCTGGCCGGCCGGGGATCGAACTTGTGCTGCAGAGGCTGCAAACTGCTTCATAGTACGGTGTTTAACCCCTTGTGCCACCAGGGAGGCCCCCTCGTTCTGTTTTTAATGATAGCAAAATCAGAATTGCTGTGTTCCTAGAACAGCTATTACCACATGGTTATACATTTACATAATTCTGAGTGATGTTATAATATGCAGTGGTGGGTATGGATAAACTTCTTTTGATAGACATTTGTTATTTCTACTTGTAAGCAAAGATCAGAAGTGAAAAGTTATTGCATTAAATATTTAAATGTCTGCCATGCAAAACATGTAGATTACATACAATTCTATTTATGAACATGGTTTTTTTTTTTATTTTTAAGATTTATTTTTATTTATACAAGCACTGGGTACAGTCAGAAGCGCGGGAGGGTGAGAGAATTTACCGGAAGCCAGAGCAGGGGGCAGAGCAGGCAGAAGGACCGAAGTACACTGCTGAGGGGAGCAGCGGGCGGCAGGAGAGGTCTGCGCGCCATGTTGGACCCTCCTCTGGAGGCCCAGGAGCAGCCGGGGATCGAACTGGTGCTGCAGAGGCTGCGGGCAGCTTCGCAACATAGCGCTCAACCGCTGCGCCACCAGGAGGCCCTTTATGAACATGGTTTTGAAGGCAAAGTATATTTGAAGCACAGGAATGACTCTGGGTAATACTCTAACTTGCTGTAATACAACTTTGGTACATTGAGAATTGAGAAGAAAATTAAGAGGTAGCCTTTCAGCTGATAAGATTTCCTTGGGAAGAATGAAAGGAGTAAGAATTCCTTCTAGGAGGGCCTCCCCAGTGGCGCAGGGGGTTGAGTGCAGTGCTGTGAGCTGTCTGCAGACTCTGCAACGTGGGTTATACTCCCGGCTGGCCATGGAGCATCCTACATGGCACAGCAGACCTCTCCTGTCTCTCCCACTGCTCTGCTCAGCAGTGTTTTTGGTCCGTCTGCCTGTTCTGCTCCCCACTCTGTCTCTGGTGAATTCTCTTACCCTTCCACATCTCTGGCCTGTACCTCAGTTCTTGTATAAATGAATAAATCTTTTTTTAAAAAAAAAAAAGAATTCCTCCTAGGAAAAATGGCATGAATAAAAGCTCGGATGAGAAAGAGAACACCTATGCAAGAATTATATGAATATCCAGTTTTAACAAAAGCCTAAGATGTCGTTAGGGTAGGACTTTTTAAAGTTTGCTTCAAGAATCATTCATTTCTCAAGAAGTTCCGCGAGAAAGCAACCTGTGATCAGTCAAGCTTGGAAAAATACTGCATCTCATATACCTGTCTTAGAATCCCACTGCATATGAGGTATGAAAGACTCTGAAAAGTTCTGTAATGGACAAACCTGCTTATCTCATTTATCTAGAATGCCCCAGATGTGTTTCCTATCTGAACTTCTAAAATATTCCTTTGTAACTCTGAGGAACAAAGTTTTGGAAATGTGGGTAGTAATACTAGAGAAGTAGAATAAGAGAAGAGCAGGTGGGAATTTAAATGCTAATTTTAAGAGCGTACTCTTCATTAGCCAGCATTTGGAAGTCTTTGATGATTTCTGAGCTGAGGAGTATGAATGTCAGAGTAAGATGATTAATCTGACAGCAGTGTGTCAAATTGGAATAGGAAAAAATGTGAAGGAAGAAATATGGGATGTAGTCTTAAAATAACTTTCTCATTGACTAGATAATTGAAGGAGTAGGGAACTGGTTGGTAGGGGAATGACAGGTAAATAATGGTGAGATAGCCCTGGAAGAAAGGAAAATAGGCAAGTAGGGAAGAAGACATGGGATTCATTTGTAATTATGTCATTTGAATTGCTGACATCCAGACATGCCCTTAGAGAGAGAGAGGGCAGTTATGGAAATAGGCATTTTGGAGCCACTTTGAGATGCAAGACTTTTCCTTAGGGCTGCCCTAAGCTGCTTATGTTAGTAGAGAGGACTGCAGGCTAAACAAGTGTCTGATGACAGACAGCAAACTTAGGAGAAGGCACCAGAGTGAAGAATGTGATGCCAAACAATGAGAGGGAGAAAAGTAGGATGAAATGCGTAAGAGAGATGAAGAGAATAAGGATTTAGGGGAAGGGGCCTTTTTTCATAATCTTAGAGGCTTTAAAGGTTCCTTCCCATACACATTTCTTTTTTTTTTTTTAAGGATTTATCTATTTATGCATACAAGAACTGGGTGTACAGGCCAGAGGTGTGGGGGGTGAGAAGATTCACTAGAGACAGAGTAGGGAACAGAACAGGCAGATTGACTGAAGTACACTGCTGAGGGGAGCAGCGGGCGAGTCAGGAGAGATCTGCTGCGCCATGTGGCTAGCTCCCTGGCCAGGGATTGAACTCACGCTGCAGAGGCTGTGGACAGCTTCACAGCACTGCGCTCAACCCACTGTACCACTGGGGAGGCCCCCCATACACATTTCTGTGAACATAGGAGCTCAACACATCTTGGATTCTGATAAAAGGTATAATAAGAGGTTTGAGTCTGTGAACAGGGAGCAGTTTTTAAAAAACTGATGACCTTCCTTCTGCCTGTTCTGCTCCCCGCTCTGGCTCTGGTGAATTCTCTCACCCTCCCGTGCTTCTGACTGTACCCAGTGCATGTGTAAACGAAACAAAAAACGAACAAACAAACAAATAAATAAATAAAAAAAACATGCCTCTATTAAAAAAAAAAAAAAAAAAAAAAAAACTGATGACCTTGAGAGATTTGTTTGAGATTTTAAAATTCTATGGTGGTTGAAATAAAACTTTTCCTAAAAGATGTGAAATGAGTAAGTTCCAATAGATTTAATTTTGGGGGAAGGGGTTGGTGATGAAACTGTAAAAAATTTTACAGAATAGTATAAAGAAGAAAAGCTACAGAAAATCTCAGCAGAGTTAACATTCTAATGAACATTGTTTCAGGTCTCTAGTCATGTATATATAATTATACATAAGATCGTTTACTGGTGGTAGACGTGGTGAGAAGTATGCAGTTGCTGAGGTGAGAAAATGTACTCCTGGAGCTTTTACAGTGTTGTCAACTAAAGTTCCCTCAATAAAAAGGAAAAAACAATTTTTTTTTTTTTTTGAAAAAAAAAAAAAAAAAAAACGATTTCACTCTACTTTTAAAAGTGTTTTTTAAGAAAGCCAAAGGTTAATGATTAAAGGAAGTTAGTATAGAGACCCATATACATAACTAATGATTACCTTGGGAGTGGCAGGGTTCTGTTTAAGTAAATCAGGAAACAACTGAGGAGTCACTTAAAGGGCGTCTTTAGTTCATCAGTTAACAATTTATAGACGATACCTTTCCAAGGAAATGATGGAATCTCACACATTTGGAACCCTGAAAAATAGACTCAAATTAGCAAAAATGCCACCCAGATGAATCTTGCATGACTAGCATATAGACTCAATAAATAAATGGGATTTCTCAATTCTGTTTGTCATTTTCCCTTTTGGTACCTATATTTGACTCAGGCAGGTATTATAATGTCTGCTAAAATTACTTCAGAAAATTTGATAGCAATACTTACTCAACCCCAACGTATAATCTCACACATTACCACCACCCCCTCCCCAATTTTTTTAACTTCACAGCAAAAAACCCTATCAGACACTACATTTACTGTAACGATATGAAGGTTAACTTCACTAAAATTGGGACAAACTGACATTTTGTGCTTCTCATGTGAGGCACTTAGGTAGTAATAATGTCCAAGTATAAACTTTCATCTATTCACAAAGAAATGTCAGACTAATCCAAAAGGGAGAGCATTCTATAAAACTGGTCTACAATCTTCAAAAATGTCAATGTCATAGAAGTCTTTTCATGGTAGTGAGCATATGTTTATTACCCTTTTTATTGATGACAATAGAGGTCTGTAGTAATTTACTTAGTTCTCTAATAATAACTTTTGGCCTATTACAAGTTTTTGCTATTAAAAAGAGAGTGGTGGGGCCTCCCCGGTGGCGCAGCGGTTGAGCGCTGGGTTGCGAAGCTGCCTGCAACCTCTGTAGCCGGTTCGATCCCCGGCTGCTCCCCGGCCACCGGAGGAGGGTCCCACATGGCGCGCAGACCTCTCCTGCCGCCCGCTGCTCCCCTCAGCAGTGTCCTTCGGTCCTTCTGCCTGCTCTGCTCCCCGCTCTGGCTCTGGTGAATTCTCTCACCCTCCCGCGCTTCTGACTGTACCCAGTGCTTGTATAAACCAAACAAACAAACAAATAATAAATAAATAAATAAGACATGCCTCTAGAAAATTTAAAAAAAAAAAAAAGAGTGGTGACTTTTTTTTTTTTTTAAGATTTATTTTTATGCATACAAAAGCTGGGATGCAGACCAGAGGTTTGGGGGGTGGGTGGGTGAGAGGATTCACTAGAGACAGAGCAGGGAACAGAACAGGCAGATTGACTGAAACACACTGCTGAGGGGAGCAGTGGGCAAATCAGGAGAGGTCTGCTGCACCATGTGGGTTGCTCCCTGGCTGGGGATCAAACTCATGCTGCAGTGGCTGTGGTCAGCTTCACAGGTTGCGTCTTAACCCCTTGTGCCACCAGGGAGGCCTGAGAGTGGTGACTTTTTGCATTAGTCTGTTAGTATGTGTTAGGTTAGTGCTGTTATCTCCTCAAAATAGATCCTTTGATGTGAGATTGTGCTATCAGAGGGTAAGTACATTTTATGTGTTGTAATGTGGTTTGACAAACTTCTCAAAAGTTTTACGTTCTCCTCAATTGAGAGGACCTGTTTGTGGATCAGGCATTGTGTATAGTACCTTAAGTTCTAGAATTTTAGTTAAGTAGGGTTAGAGTGATAATTCCTTTTTATATTTTTGTCCTTTCTGATTTAGCTTATAAAAGCTGTCTGTCTTCATGGCCATGAAGGACCTGTTAATGCAGTTCATGCTGTTTACCAGAGGAGGGCATCAAATGATACTGCATTACACACACTGATAGTTTCTGCAGCTTCGGATTCTACTGTTAGAGTCTGGTCTAAAGAGGGATCTGAAGGTAGGTTGAGAAATGTTATAATCCAAACAAACGGAATAGTAACTGTCAAATTAACAACTTGAAGAGTATACATAAATTTTTCAGTATTTCAAACAATTTTTAAAAAACTTTAATTATAAATGTTTCTTTTGCACTTTTTCAAAATTTCTCTATCATACTGTTAATGTAAATTCTTTCTAGACCTATCATATAAGTCCTTTTATTGTGTGTAACTATTAAAAATCGGTCTTTCAATTCATAGGGTGGGCTCAGGACTGACTTCTCTGCTGACATGCAAGCCTGTGATGATAATACCTAGCCTTTCTAGATGGAAAAACGCAGCTAGTTATTCAAAGTGTTTTTTATTATTTCTCAGTGACATGCCTGCAGACCTTGAACTTTGGAGATGGAGTTACTCTGACTCTTTGCTTATCTTTTTTGTCTGATACTAATGGTGAGTATCCTGCTAAATATGTATTAAAAGAATATAATCAGAACCTCTGAGAAATATTTTGGATCTTAATTTGTATCTGAATATTTTTGTGAAACAAGTTAAAATGTGGATAACTATTAAATTTAAGTGAATTAGTATGCGGTTGGGATTGATACTGCTGTTTATCAAATGCACTGTCAAGTTATCCAGCTCTGTAGAAGATGAAGATGTGGGATAAGTTGCAGGAGTACTGAAGAGAGACTGTGTGAGCATTTATCTCAAGATGACAGCCCCTTCACATCCTGCATAATGACAGTTTGCTCAAGACCACTTAAAATTCCCAGCTGAAAAAAGTTTCCCTTTTGGTGTGCAACTTTTTTATATCTATTTTTGATTATCCTCTGCAAAGATGATGGCCAGTGTGGTCCTCACCTGGTGGCGCAGTGGTTGAGTGCTGCCCGCAGCCTCTGCAGCGCCGGTTTGTTCCCTGGCCGCCGGCAAGGGTCCCACAAAAAAAAAAAAAAAAAAAGATGGACAGTGTGAATCAGTTAGTCTTTTATTTCCTTAATTATCTGGAGGAGACCTAGTAGAGAGAAGCAGGGCTTGGAAGCTACCAGCCTCTGTTGTCCTCAGCAATGGGAACTGTGACTCCATGGTTTCGTGTGATGCTTCTACTTTGTGTGAGGACTCCCTAGGAGGGGGAACTGCACGCATTCTGGTTTTATAATGTAGAAACTTTATTTTCTTCCTATCCACACTGGGGCTAAGTGACTGGACTTTTTTGAAAATTTTTTTAGTTGATTTAAAGTACACTAATTTTACAGTTGTACCTTTCATAGCTTTTTGATTACATGCTCTTTTATTTTGGTCTCTTAATGCTTTATCAACTTTGTTTTACTATTGAATTCTCAAACAAAATGTAAGTTCCTCAGAGTAACAAACATAGCCTTAAAGTTTTGTACAATAGCCATGAAGCTGGGCGTATAATAGCTCTTCCATTTTGTTATCCAGTTGGGCTTACAACCTTTCTAGTTAGTGTTCTGACTGAATGCTGGACAATGCTTCCTCTTGAGTTTCTCTTTTTCTGTCCCTCTATCTTCAGTGACACAGAATGGAGGCGTGGACTCTCAGTTCAGTAATACTAGCTAATTCTTTGCCAAGTAACCATTTAATAGAACATTTTAAGCATTTTCATTGTATCCCTATAGACATTAATTGAGTACTTTGAATTGTTTGTTTGGTGGTATGGGAACTAGGAGTCAGGTTTCTTTACCTAGAACTTAGAATCCAGCATAGGTGGTAATTACATGATGCAGTACTTACAATGAAGCCTCTTTTTTCTGCCCCAGTACCAATATTAGCATGTGGTGATGATGACTGCAAAATACACTTATTTGTTCAACAGAATGATCAGGTAATTAATGATGTTTATTATGAGGCTAGAATTATGTTCTGTTTAACTACATATCTAATACAGATAGTTTTCACATTGTAGAATTTTGGGGATGTTCTAAATCTAAATTGAAATAATCCAATAGGAGAATCTTGTGATAGTCTTCTCCTAGATGATTTTCCATTCTCTGTTTGTACACCAAATAACTGCTGCCTTAGCGGGCAGGTCCAGAGTTGTCAGGTGTTGAAAGGAGAGAAGGAAAATGCTTTCTTAAAATTTCAAATGAAATATAGCATTGTGTTTTTTTCCTTAAAATTTCAAATGAAGTATAGCATACCTATCTTAAATAATCACCTGCAAGTGTTTATTTGCCTAAATGAAAAACATTTAGAGTATTTGAGTTCTGTTAGGTATTATATTACCTACTCTGCAGTAGAGGATTTAGATTTTTGAGTCCCAAATGAGAGCTCTGTTTTATGTCTAATCAGTTAGTATCCCTATTAAAAAAAAAAAAAAGATAGATAGATAGAAGGACTGACTGAGACCAAATGAAATTACTGATGTACATGGGTATATTAATTTCTTACATAAACCTGATGATTTTTATTGTCTTAGTTTCAGAAAGTTCTTTCTCTCTGTGGACATGAAGATTGGATAAGAGGTGTAGAATGGGCAACCTTTGGTTAGTATGAAGTTTTAATGAAGTTTATGTCATGGGGATAAGTACGTATAACTCACAAGAAAGCAAACTCATTTTTAAATTTTTTTCTTTCTTTTTTTCTCTTGCTCTCCAGCTAGAAAAGTGATATCCTTATCCCTTTATTTACTACTAATTGTGTAGTAGAGGATGAAACAGGTTGATGTTTAAAACAGTACACAAGCTGATTATTCCACTGGCAAACATTCTTGAGAAGTTCTTTATAGAACATAGTAATCTGTATATAAGACTACTGCCACATGTTGTAGTCAATTATTAACATTGTTATTAAACATGAATATGGGTCAAATGAATGGGGGGTAAGGAAGCAAAGTCTTAATTTTTCAGGAATTTTAGAAACATGCATATTATATAGGAAAAGGTCATATCCAGATTTGAGTGTAATTTTTAAAAATAATGAAATTTGTTTTTTTAATTAGGTAAAGATCTTTTCCTAGCAAGCTGTTCACAAGATTGCCTGATACGAATATGGAAGCTGTATATAAAATCGACATCTCTAGAAACTCAAGATGATGATAATATAAGACTGAAGGAAAATACTTTTATTATAGAAAATGAAAGTGAGTAATTAGTGAAAATATTTAGTGTAACAATACTTAGGTCTCCTAACTTGTTTATTTACTTCATTCTATAGCTATATATAGGTTAGTTTTTCAAAGTATAAGATTCCTACCTGAAACTAATACTGTGTTTTTCCTTTTTTTTAAAAATTCTTAGGTGAGGATGAGATGGATTTTTAATTGTTCAATGAGATTACTCAAATTAGTTTATAAGTATTAAATTTAGCATAGGAACATCTAAAAAATATGAATGAGCAAATTAAAAAAAAAAGGATCCAAAGGACTAATTATTCATTCCTTTGTTGGAGAACATTCATAGGAGACAAACAAAATCCCTACACATTCTGATTTTCTCACTGTCATCGCAGAACAGTAACCCTCCCTGGTAGATATTCTTATCGTAATGTTGTATTTGAAGGAAATTTAAAATTTATTTTTCATAACGTTGTTAATTTTTGGATAGTATTTGATATTTCCCCTCAGGTGTACTCCCCATAGTTTCCCCCCAACCATAGCACCTGTGGTGTCCCGCCCCCCCCCCCCCCACACACACACACACTGTTTGGGTCAAATCTACACAGCTTGTAAGTTTGTTTGTTTTCTTTTCTTTTGGTTTGAAAGATTTATTTATTTATTTATACAAGCACTAGGTACAGTCAGAAGTGCAGGAGGGTGAGCGAATTCACCAGAGCCAGAGTGGGGAGCAGAGCAGGCAGACTGACGAAATACACTGCTGAGGGAAGCAGTGGTTGTGGCAGGAGAGGTCTGCGCACCACCCTTGCTGGTGGCCGGGGATCGAACCGGTGCTGCAGAGGCTGCAGGCAGCTTCGCAGCCTAGCACTCAACCGCTGTGCCACCAGGGGAGGCCCAGCTTGTAAGTTTTGTGGTGTTTTGTTTTTTTTTTAATCTTATTTTATGTATTTTTACATTTTTCATTTTTGCACAATGTATGCATTTTCATCTTGGTTATAGTCCCCATACAATTCCCACCCCCCTTATTTTGACCCCAATTCCTCCCCCCCCCCCCCGTGTCTCTGGTTTATAGTTGCTTGTTGCTTTTGATTTTTACTTTATTGTAATTAGCCTTTTTCTGGTCCCTTATTTTGGTTTTCTAAATTCCTGCTACGAGCAAGACCATCCGGTATTTTTCTTTCTCTTTCTGGCTTATTTTGCTGAGCATGATCCCTTCCAGCGCCATCCATGTTGCTGCATGAGTTTATACTTTTTGATTGCTGAGTAATATTCCATGGTGTATATGTACCACATCTTCTTGATCCAGTCATCTGTTTTTGGGTATTTGGGTGGTTTCTATAGCTTAGCTATTGTAAATAGTGCTGCTATACACATAGGAATGCAGGTGCCCTTTTGAATTAATGTTTCTATGTTCTTTGGGTAAATACCTAGGAGTGGAATTGCTGGATCATATGAAAGCTTATCTTTTGCAGGTTGAGGAATCTCCACACAGCTTTCCATAGTGGTTGGACCAGTTTACACTCCCACTAGCAGTGTAGGGGAGTTTCTTTTTCACTACATCACCGCCAACATTTGTTGTTGCTTGATTTTTTGATATGTGCCATTCTTACTGGTGTAAGGTGGTATCTCATTGTGGTTTTAATTTGCATTTCCCTGATTATCAGGGATGCTGAACATTTTTTCATATGCCTGTTGGCCATTTGCATTTCCTCTTTGGACAAATGTCTTTTAAGTTCTTCTGCCCATTTCTTGACTGGATTGTTTATTTTGTTTTTGTTGAGTCCTGTGAGTTCTTTCTATATGTCTTTGTGACCAGTCCCTTATCAGTTGACTGGGGTGTAAAAATTTTTTTCCCAGTCAGTGGGGTGTGTCTCTGTTTTGGTTAATGTCTCTTGCTGTGCAGAAGCTTTTTAGTTTGATGTAATCCGGGTATTTATCTTTTCCTTGACTTTCTTTGCTTTGGGTGATGAGTCTATAAAGATGTTATTGCGATGTATGTCTTGTAGTGTTTTACCTATATTTTCTTCTGTATATTTTAAGGTTTCATGTCTTATGTCCAGTTCTTTTATCCATTTTGAGTTGATTTTTGTGCACAGTGAAAGGTAGTGGTCTAGTTTCATTTCTTTGCATGTGGTAGTCCAGTTTTCCCAGCACCATTTATTGAACAAACTGTCCGTGTTCCATTGCATATTCTTTGCTCCTCTGTCAAAGATCAATTGTCCACATAAGTGTGGTTTTATTTCTGGGCTCTCTATTTGGTTCCATTGGTCTGTGTGTCTGTTTTTGTTCCAGTACCAAACTGTTTTAATTATTTTGGCTTTGTAGTATAATTTGAAGTTTGGAAGTGTGATACCTCCTTTCTCCTTTGTTTTCATCAGTAGGGCTTTGGCTATTCGTGGTTTTTTGTGGTTCCATATGAATTTCATCAGTGTCTGTTCTATTTCTTTGAAGAATGTCATTGAGATTTTTACTGGAATAGCGTTGAATCTGTACATTGCTTTTGGTAGGATGGACATTTTAATAATGTTAATTCTTCCAATCCATGAGCAGGGGATGTCTTTCCATTTCTTTGTGTCGTCATCTATTTCTTTTAACAGTTTTTTATAATTTTCTTTGCATAGTCCTTTACCTCTTTTGTTAGGTTTATTCCCAAGTATTTGATTTTTTTTGTTTCAATTTAAAAGGGATAGTTTTCTGGATTTCTTCTTCATATTGATTGATTGTGTGTAAGAAGCCTACTAATTTTTATGTGTTGATTTTGTATCCTGCTACTTTACTGAACTGGTTGATTATTTTGAGTAGTTTTTCGGGTTCTCTGTATATTATCATATCGTCTGCAAATAGTGATAGTTTTACTTCTTATTTCCCTATCTGGATTCCTTGTATGTCTTTCTCTTGTCTTATTGCCTTGGCTAGGACCTCCAGTATTATATTGAAGAGCAGTGGTGAGAGAGGACATCTATTCTCTTTTCGCCATTGAGAATAATATTGGAGGTGGGCTTGTCGCATATGGCTTTTGTCATGTTAAGGTATGTTCCTTCTCTCCCTAGAATTTCAAGGGCCGGCTTCATAAATGGATGTTGGACTTTGTCGAATGCTTTCTCAGCATCTATTGATATGATCATATGGTTTTTATTTTTCTTTTTGTTGATGTGTTAGATTACACTGATTGCTTTTCATATGTTGAACCATCCTTGTGCCCCTGGGATGAATCCCACTTGATCGTGGTGTGTTATCCCTTTGGTGCATTGTTGGATTCTGTTGGCAAGGATTTTGTTGAGGATTTTTGCATCAGTGTTCATTAGGGAGATTGGCCTTTAATTTTCTTTTTTTGTGCTGTCTTTGTTTGGTTTTGGTATTAGTAACCTTTAGTTTCTCTATATTCTACATATAAGTGAAACTATCCAATATTTCTGTTTTTCCTTCTGACTTATTTCGCTTAGCATAATCCTGTAGAAAATACTTTTGATATGTATTTAAATTATAAAGTTCCGTGGCACAGGCGGTTGAGTGCCGTGCCATGAAGCTGTCTGCAGCCTCAGCAGCACCGGTTTGTTCCTGGCTGGCCGGCCGGCTGGCAAGGGTCCCACATGGCACCGCAGACCTCTCCTCTCGTGCCTGCTGCTCCCCTCAAACAGTGTATTTCATCAGTCTGCCTGTTCTGTTCTCCACTCTGTCTCTGGTAAATCCTCTCACCTTCCCGTGCATCGGGCCTGCACCTCGGTTCTTGTATAAATAAAAAAATAAAATAAAATTAATTATAAAGTTCCTCTGTGACAAGTATTCTTCACCTAGAAATATACTTGTCAGTGCTTTTCTTGGTTACAAAGTCTATCAGTTTAGATTATGGTAACATAGATTCATGGGGAACCAAGAAATACAATAGCATATTCTATGTAGTTATTTCTAAATGTGACATAGTGATGTTTTCATTAATTATTTTGTTTGAAAGTTCACAATACTGATTTGACTTCCTATATTTCTACATTTATTTTAAGGGTTTTTTTTAAATGATATTTAGGCTGTTACACTCTGGTAATGAGAAAGAATATCAAGAAGGCAGGCAGACATGTCTTTGTCTACTTTTTTTTTTTTTTTTTTTTAAAGATTTATTTATTTATTTATTTATTTATATAAGCACTGGGTACAGTCAGAAGTGCGGGAGGGTGAGAGAATTCACCGCGCCAGAGCAGGGAACAGAACAGGCAGAAGGACCGAAGTACACTGCTGAGGGGAGCAGCGGGCGGCAGGAGAGGTCTGCGCGCCATGTGGGACCCTCCTCCGGTGGCCGGGGAACAGCTGGGGATCGAACCGGCGCTGCAGAGGCTGTGGGCAGCTTTGCAACCCAGTGACCAACCGCTGTGCCACTGGGGAGGCCCTCTTTGTCTACTTTTTAATTGCAGTATAAAAGTGGATGTTTTAAAAATTTAAAAAGATTACAGATCTTTAGCGTTTTTTTTCTCCTGTAATTTTTGAATAGTAGGCAAGGTAAATGAAACTTAGAATCCATGTTTTTTAATTGAATCTAGATCATGTTCAAATTTTGGGGGAGGGGGACATAATTGCAAACTGAATTAATTATTAAAATGTTCTTTTTTGCAAGACTTTTGAGGAAATATTTCTCTAATACTTTTGTTCTAGGTATTAAAATAGTATTTGCAGTTACTCTGGAGACTGTGCTGGCTGGTCATGAAAACTGGGTAAATGCAGTTCATTGGCAACCCTCATTTTACAAAGGTAGGAAGAAAAACACATAATCCTTATTTTATGTAAAAAATCTCACATACAGAATTTTAAGCTGACCAGATGAAATGGAGGAATTGAGTGTGATTGGAAATCTCTAAGACATTTTCAAGTCGGCAGAGTATTTCGCTGGATGCTCAAGCCATTGAAAAGTGTACTCCAGAGTGGAGTACACTTAGTTTCTCTTTTGCCTTAATGTTCATTTATGGCATGGCAGTTCTTTGCTTACTTAGGCTGGTGCTGGGAGAATAGAGAAAACAAGATGCAGTCTCACATCCTTCTCCCAACCCCTTCCCCAAGGCAAGAATGGGGAATAGCAATAATTCATACTCAGGTAACCATCATTCCACTTTTATTAGGTAGTTGACCCATGAACAATGCGGGGGTGAGGTGCGCTAGCCCCTAGGCAGTCAAAAATCTGCATGTAACTTTTGACTTCCACACAATTTAACTACCAATATCTTGCTGTTGACTGGAAGCTTTACTAATTAAATAATTACTAAAATAGTCTACTGAACCTTATTTTGTGTGTTATATATATTATATATTGTATCTTACAACAAAGTAAGCTAGAGAAAGGAAAATGTTAAAATCATAAGGGAGAGAAAATATAATTACGGTACGAAACTATACTTGTTAACTATAAGTCTACATTGCTTTTTATAAGAAATTATGTATATATGTAGACCTGGGGTGTTTAATCCTGTGTTGTTCCAGCATCAACTGTATTATGCCATATTTACTGTAGGTTTGGAGAAAATAAATTAGATATTGATATTGAGGGTCCCTATATGTTCTTCCAAATCTCTTTCTCCTCCATCCTTCCTTGGAGATAACTACAGTACTGAATTCACTGCATATCATTCCCATACATGTTTTTATACTTTTGTAGCCATAAACACATAAACACAGTTTTGTAGCCATAAATAGCTATTAAACAGCCATAAATAGCTGTTTTATAGCTATTAAAGCTTGCTGTCAATGTGTCTTCTTAAAACTTGCCTTTTTGTAGCTTATCTTTTTTAGGTGTGACCATGTTGATTTATGTAGCTCTGGTTTACTTGTATTGCAGTATAATATTCTATTGTCTTGTATGCAACTTAGTTATCTGTTCTAATGGTAGACATTTGTGTTTCCAAAATTTTGCTATTATAAACAGTGCTGCAGTGAATGTTCTTACAGTGCCTCTGTTTGTTTGTTTGTTTGTTATTGTTTTTAATTAATTACAAACATGATGCTGTTGCTCACCTAAGGCATCAGTTTTTATTCTTTAGATGGTGTTCAACAGCAGCCAATGAGATTGTTGTCTGCTTCAATGGATAAAACCATGATTCTCTGGGCTCCAGATGAAGAGTCAGGAGTTTGGCTAGAACAGGTAAAAATGAGGATATTTAAGGAACAAAAAATTGGGTTGTATAATCTGAACAATTAAATTCCAAGTCTGTATTACTAGAACTGCAATTTTTTATTTGTTGAAGAAGTGAAAACTTGGTCTCTGAAATCAGTGGTTTCTGTTTTCAGAAATGTGGACTAATAAGAATTATTCTTTTGTATAGGTTCGAGTAGGTGAAGTGGGTGGAAATACTCTGGGATTTTATGATTGCCAGTTCAATGAAGATGGCTCCATGATCATTGCTCATGCTTTCCATGGAGCATTGCACCTTTGGAAACAGAATGCAGTTAATTCAGTAAGAAAATCAATTTCAAATAAAAAGTTTCTAATCAGATGGATTGAATCCAAAGTGAAAGCTAGGTAAATAGTGTAGTTCTACTTACAACACTCTGCAGAACCACAGTAGAGGCATTTAAGTTCACATGACAACACTTCTTGCAGACATTATACTGCAGATAAATACTGGGTGAAAGGTAACGGAAAGTACAGAGTTCTGGTACATCCTGCCTCCCCTCCAGACTCCCCCCCCCAACATACACACAACCTCCTCCACTGTGAACATCCTGTACCACAATGATACATTTGTTACAGTCAAGGCTGATTTTTACACCAAATACTGCCCTTTAGGACTGCTACAGTGGAAAACTAGGAGTAGTCCAAAAGTCCTACCCTTTGATCAAACTTTTCAGAAACTCCCGTTAGTGCTAACTTTAGAATCAGTTTTTATATCACAGAGGGCCTTAATTGTATTTATTTGCCACAGCCTTTTATTTTGACCAGAAAATAATGCAGCTTAACTTCAAGACTGACCATATTTGTTAGACTTAGCTTTGAGGGACCGTTGAGTTATAAAAGCATGGTCTCTAGTCTTTTTTTCTTTTTTTTCCCATGGAAGAACTGAAGTGTAGGCCAGAGATGCAAGGGGATGAGAGAATTCACCAGAGACAGAGTGGGGAGCAGAACAGGTGGATTTACTGAAAGACACTGCTAAGGGGAGTGGGGCGAGACAGGAGAGATGTTCTGCACTATATGTGGGTTAGCTTCCTGGCTAGGGATGGAGCTTAGGCTATAGTGGTGATAAGCGCTGAGACTTAACCCCTAGGCCACCAGGGAGGCCCCCTTGGGCTTTAGTCTTCTGCATTAATAGGTCTTAGTTCTGTGAGGACATTATCAGACTTTATATTAATTGTTTTAATTGGTAGTCCTAATTGGTAGTCTGATTATTTTGATGTGTAATGAGCACTTTCATTGTAGAGAGAGTGGACTCCAGAGATTGTCATTTCAGGACACTTTGATGGTGTCCAAGACCTAATATGGGATCCGGAAGGAGAATTTATCATCACTGTTGGTACTGACCAGACAACTCGACTTTTTGCTCCATGGAAGAGAAAAGGCCAATCACAGGTAAGATGTTTTCCTACTTGACTAATCTACTTCAGAAAACATCCATGAGGACATTGTTAGCTATTAGGGAAATGCAAATTAAAACCAGGAGGAAATACCACTACATACCCTCTAGAATAACTGAGGTAAAAAATAGTGACAATAACAAGGATGCAGAATAAACAAAACTTTCATACATCACAAGTGGGAGTGCAAAATGTTACAACTGCTCCAGAAACAGTTTGGCATTTTCTTGATAACTTAAAGTTGTACTCTTTATAATTCAAGTGTTGTTATCAAAATGTATTTACTTCATTTTACTTAAAAGTTCTGTATTACCAAGTCTGTCGAATAAAAGCTAATTTGTGTGGTCATACAATGTTAGATAATAGTGGTTAAGGTCAGTTCTTGTTCAGGAAACTCTTCAATCTTGGCCCTGAGCTCAAAAAATCACAGCAAAGCTTTGTCACTGGTAAGCCATTGAACTGCTATATGCATTATAATAAGCTTCAATTTCTAATAAAAATTTATGGAACCAACTCTGGGTTAGTTCATGGGAGCTAATGGAGTGTGCTATTAACCTTATTACTTTAGTGGCAGGTGATAAAATCAAATTAATATTGTTGAGGACATTGGGAACACCATCTGTAGTTAGCTAGAAAACAAGGCAGGTGATATGGAGTGGTTTTCTGTAATTTGTAATTATATGGCTGAGTAGTTCTTGACCCATTAGAAAAATTGATAAATTGGAAAATGTGCATTTGCTACTCTTTGAAAGACTGTTAGAAAAATGAAAAGAGATGCCACAAACTGAGAGAATGGTATTTACCAAGCACATATCTGATATAGGACTTGTATCCAGAATATATAAAGAATTTTTCAAAGCTGACTAGTAAGAAAACAAACAATTCTATTTTAAAAAATGGACAAAGGACTTGAATAGATGTGTTTCAAAAAAGATGTATCGATGGAAAATAAGAACAGGAAAAGATTATCCACATCATTAATCATAAATGTTAATGAAAGGTATGATGAGATACCATTGTACACCTATTAGAATGATCAAAGTTAAAAAGACTGACAACCAAGAGTTGGTGAGAATATGGGCATTTGGAACTCTCTCATACACTGCTGATGAGATTGTAAAATGTGCATCCACTTTGGACAGTAGTTCAGCAGTTTCTTAAAAATGTGAGGTTAGATCTGCCAAATCATCCAGCCATTCTACTCATAGGTAGCATTTACTCAAGAAGTAGAAGCAGGTAGCCACACACAGACTTGTACCCAAATACTCATAACTGCTTTTCAAGAAAAGCCAAAAACTGGGAACAACCCAAATGTCTATCAACAGGTGAAATGGATCAGTAGGTTTTGGTATATCTGTACAAGAGAATACAACTCATAAAAAGAATTGACTATTAACAAATACAATATGGATTACTGCCCCATGGTCATATTTTTATGGTATAGAAATTTTGTGTCTAACATTTTGCTTGTTGAAAAGAAATTGGGTTTTGAAATGAGTATTTTAGTTTATCCTATTTTAATACCCAGGTAACTTGGCATGAAATTGCAAGGCCTCAGATTCATGGATATGACCTGAAATGCTTGGCAATGATAAATCGGTTTCAGTTTGTATCTGGAGCAGATGAGAAAGTTCTTCGAGTATTTTCTGCGCCCCGGAATTTTGTGGAAAATTTTTGTGCCATTACGAGCCAGTCACTGAATCATGTACTGTGTAATGTGAGTATTCTTCTATATGTTTTAATTAAAGCTTGTCACTTCATTTTAAATGTCTGTTAAGTCTGTAAATGAAGCATCTGGATAGGAAGTCAAATCATTTATTACTGGTTTGACAAATTTGTATGTGGCATTCAGTAATTTATTTATTTATTTATTTTTAAAATAAATTTTATATTCCCCATACAATTGCAATCCCCGTATTCAGTAATTTAAACATTAAATTCAGAGATTTTGTAGCAAATTAACCCAAACACCTTAAGGCAGAATTGGAATGTTGGGTTAAGGTACAAGTACTATTTATTTTCGCTGTGCTAGGTATTGACAGTAAAACAATATATATAATGTTTATATTTTCAAAGAGATTACCACTTAGGTATAGATTAGGGATAAGGAGTAGTGAATTTATGTATCTGCAGTTGTTAGATGAGTGTGTTCAATTGCTAAGTCTGATGTCAATTTCATAGAGGGAAGAGAATTCCTATACTGCAGTAATGAGAAAATGCTTAATGGGACTTCATGTGCGTTTTGAAAGGGTAGATTTTTATTTATGTCTCTCTCCCTTTCCTACTGAAAAATTTGAGCTACTTTTAAAAATACATAGTTTATAGAAATTATTGAGTAGTTTGAAAGAAGGGCAAGAAGTAGGAATTTAGCTGTGTTAAGCAGAAGTGCACATACTGAGAGTTGGATCATAAATTTGGTTCTGAGCTTGAGAAGGATAAGTACGCTTTTGATTGGCAAAAGGAAGGAGACAAAGAGAGCAGCAGGGTGGCCAGTGGTATTAGAATGAAGCATATATAGAGGGAAATGAGGAGGGGGGGGGATGTCGAATGGTGGAGGACCTTGGGTTGTAGACCCAGTTTAGACTGTGGGGTGCTGTTGGAGGTTCTTAAACAATGAAAGCAATGGGAAGTAAATACTGTGTGGGAGCAGGATACACTTGAGCCTTGAGCCAGAGACTCTCCAAAATAGATTTACTTAAAAAAAAAAAATCACATGCCATAGGTTTAATTATGTGATGATTTAAGATTCTGCTCTGCTTGTTTCTAATCATAATGGATGGTGGGAACAAGATCAAAAGGTATGTCTCAGTTGTGGTTATTACATAGAGCACTGGGGGTGGAGGGACAGTTTCAAGGCCTCTCAGTTCTAGGGATTGCAATGTGGTTTTAGGGTTCCATGAGAAGCTTAGTTCTAGGTACACACTGAATTCTGTATCCTAAGATGAAATCTTGTAAACTGCAGTGTTGTATTCTGCCTTTTGTACCCATACTGAGTTTTGGATAGGAATGTGAGAATGTTTCTTAGTGTTCTTATTCATGCTGTTTTATTTTTCTTGGTTTCTGAGATAAAAGATGTAGTCTCTTATGTTCTGAGTAGCTGTTTTGGTGATGGTTTAAATTTCCATTGCTCCTATTTGTATTGAGTTCAGGCTCTTGTATAAACATGTACATTGTAAGAAACACATTTGGCATATGGACATTTGCCAGTTTTGATAGTGTATAGTTTTGTATGGGACAATTTGACATAAATTGCAGAAGATACACAGTTTTTTTGGTACTTCAAATGGCACTCTGTTACAGAGTTTTAAAGTATAAATTATTTAACCCTGTTTAAGTCTAATACTGTGACTATACCTTTAATAAGAAATAACTACTTGCAGGAGCATCATCAGGGATTTATGCCTTTGAGACACTCTTGGAAGCAGCATTCTGGGTCTTCCATTTACAGCCCACACTTTACTAAGTGCTAACTCAGTGCCTTCCTTTTCAGACCCTGAAACCCATTGAGCTGTTAGGGTTTGTCGAACTCATGGATGACTTGACTTTAAGTATTGGGTAAGATAGGGATTATTTGGAGATTGTCTGCTGAGGAGTAATTGATGAGTATTGCATCTGTTGGTTCAGGAAGTGCAAGTATGGGTAGATATCCACACAGGGTGACCTTAAACTGCTTCTCAGAATTTATGAGCATTTTTTGTATTGTCTGAGGTAATGATAACTTTTAGCATTTAAAGTACATCTATCATACTTTTTTGTTCCAGCAAGATGGTGATCTTCCAGAAGGAGCTACTGTCCCTGCTTTGGGATTATCAAATAAAGCTGTCTTTCAGGGTAAGGCTTTAGCCTCCAAAATAGTTGTACCTGTAGTGGTACACAAAATCTAGTTACACATTTGTATAATGTATACCTAACCACCGCTCTTTTTTTTTTTTTTTTTTTTTAAAGATTCCATTGTATATCTTTGTTTTCTTCATCACCTATTTCATGATAAGTACTGTATATACACATAGACCCTGATATAGGTGCAGTATTCACAAAATAATCTCTTGGAGCACTACAACTGCAAAAATGAACATGGGTAGCCTGAATAGTCTATTCTATTGTTCTCAAATTTTGGAAAATGTTGGGTCAAAGAAAAAAGGAGTCTGTGTGGAGTTGACTAGTGCTTCAAAAAGTACTAGTGCTTTAAAAAGTTTAGCAGAGTAGTGGAATATGTTTGACTTTGGTATCTACATGGATGTGCTACTTACCCATATGGTGCTAGTTTCCCTGCACTGAGAGTCTACTTTGAAGTGCCAGTACCTTCTAATGGATGGCCTTAATAGTGGGACTTGTATAGCAGACATATAAATAGTGACTGCAATCATAATGTTGGTGTATTTCTTTTAACCTAGGAGATATAGCTTCTCAGCCTTCTGAGGAAGAGCAGCTGTTAACTAACACTGGTTTCGAGTATCACCAGGTGACCTTTCAACCCTCTATACTTACTGGTAAGAAATGACAAAAAGATACTTTAATAGAATCATTAGTACACATAGGATGACATCTGTTACCTCTGACCTAAATAAGTGCTATAGAATTCATTTTTTTCATTTGCATAGAAAAAAATACTAATTGCAGTGCTATAAATTTATTGTAGAACCTCCCACTGAGGATCATCTTCTGCAGAATACTTTGTGGCCTGAAGTTCAAAAACTGTAAGTCAAGTTGTACTTGACTCTTTGGTCTAATTCTGTTTTAATTTATAATCCCCCCCCCCCACACACCCCCAACTTGATTTTCTTTTTGTTTTACCTGGATTTCCTTCCTTATTCTAAAGATATTTTTTTGTGTGTGTAGAAGAACTGGCCAGAGGTGTGGGGAGGGTTGGGGGGACAGTGGTGGGGGACAGAACAGTAGAATTATTGAAATACACTGCTAAGGGGAGCAGCAGGCGAGACAGGAGAGGTCTGCTATGCCATATGTGGGTCACCTCCCTGGCCAGGGATCAGAAACTCAGGCCATAGTGTTGATAGTGCTTAGACTTAACCCCTAGGCCACCAGGGAGACCCTCAAAATCTTGTGACTGTTTATAAGGCGTCAGAATCAGACTTCACGCAGATTTTTATGTTGTATGTATTGTAAGATATTTTTACTGGTCTTTGAAAGTAGAGAGACATAACATATTTCATTTTCTTTTTTTTTTTTTAAATGTATTTATTAATGCATATAAGAACTTGGGCACAGGCCAGATGTGCAGGGGTGAGAGAATTCACCAGAGACAGAGGGGGAACAGAACAGGCAGACTGACAGAAATACACTGCTGAGGGGAGCAGTGGGTAAGAGAGGAGAGGTCTGCTGCGCCATGTGGGTAGCTCCCTGGCCGGCTGGGGATTGAACTCGTGCTGCAGAGCCTGTGGATATCTTCACAGTGCTGTGCTTAACCCCTTGCACCACCAGGGAGGCCCCAACATATTTCATTTTCTTTCTTTTTTTTAAGATTTATTCATTTTTATTTTATTTTATTTTTTTAAGTTTTATTTATTTATACAAGAACCAGGGTACAGGTCACATTTGTGGGAGGGTGAGAGGATTCACCAGAGACAGAGTGGGGAACAGAACAGGCAGACTGACAAAGTACACTGATGAGGGGAACAACGGGCGAGACGAGAGGTCTGCCGCGCCATGTGGGACCCTCGCCTGCCGGCCGGAATCAAATCACCACTGCAGAGGCTGCTGACAGCTTCAGACCACTGTGCTCAACCACCTGCGCCACCAGGGGAGGCCCAGATTGATTTATTTTTATACAAGAGCTGGAGTACAGGCCAGAGGCGAGGGAGGGTGACAGGATTCACCAGAGACAGAGGGGAGCAGAACAGGCAGACGACCGAAATACACTGCTGAGGGGAGCAGCGGATGCTACAGGAGAGGTCTGCCACGCCATGTGGGAATCTCCCTGGCTGGCCGGGAATCAAACCCACACTGCAGAGGTTGCGGACAGCCTCGCAGCGCTGCGCTCAACCCACTGCGCTACTGGGGAGGCCCATATTTCATTTTCTAAATAGACTTAAGATCTGTTATTCTAATGTTTTTTTTTCCTTCAGTTGTTTCCTATCAAAACCTCCCCATGGTTTATTGTTTAGTGTACTAACTGCCTAGGGGTTAAAACTTGTATATTAATCTTTGGATAAATTTATTATTCTAGATAACTGGCATTTTTTTTTATCCAGTGTTCCTTTAAAGAAGATTGATAATAAAATTTAAAATGTAGCACGAGAATGGGTCCATTTACTAATAAAGGAGTCATGCATTTTCTCTTTCAATTTTAGATATGGACATGGTTATGAAATATTTTGTGTTGCCTGTAACAATTCAAAGACTCTGCTTGCCTCAGCTTGTAAGGTAGGAGATTTTACTTTTTTATTTAATTTGGTCACAGGTTATTGATTATCAGGTTCCTTCAAGTTTACAGTGATTGAAGCAGAACACTACCTGAAAGGCCTTAGGTTTCTGCTTTTTCTGAACTGCTTTCTCATTCTCTTCTGTTCCTTCAAAATCTCACAGCTGCATTTTAAATCTATTTCAGGTGCACGTTTTGTTCTTAAATAATTGGTTTGAGCTGATTTGTGCCCTACTAAAAAAAAATCTAGCCAGGTATCTTAAACTAATACCTAAAAATATGCTAAGTAAATTTTAAGTAATTGGGGACCTTTAGACATAGGGGAGTGAGGGTAAAATCCACAGCGCACTCCATCTCACCATTCCTTGAGGATACTTTCGGTATTGACTATATTGACCTAAGTTCCTTGGCCCATGCTAGAGTGAGGCAGGGCAGTAAGCAGCTGAGCTAGCCAGCATAGTGCATGGCACTGCAGAAGAGTGGACTTCAAACATTTGTTGGGTAGAATAATCTTGAACTGGATTCTCAGTATCCATATTCTATGGTGAGAGAGAATATTTATGGAGGACTGTAAGTTCTGAAATTCTCACATTTTTCTGTACTTTCTAAATGTTATCTGCTTGTTTTGCATGATGATGAGCACTGTTCACTTGGATGGCCTCTCTGGGTTGTTTTTTTTTTTTTTTTGTCCCTGCTTTTGCTGTGGTTTCTTGCCATTGGCATGTATTAGAGTCATCTTAAGAACTGTTGATGTGCACTGCCTGCCCTCTTGCTTATTATGTCCTCTATGAACTGATATTGAGAATACTTCTTTCGGTTATAAGTGCTTATGGGAAGGATGGGACCTTAGTAATAGGAATAGAATTATATGAGCATTTAATTTGTTTTTAGCTTAGGGCATGGTCAATTGTATCATTGATTATTTTTTCCTTTCAAGTTGTCTGGCTTGTGGCAAGTATGTACTCCTTTAAACTAACATTTTTAACAAATTTAGTTAGGTATCTTTTTCAGGACATGTGTCCCTTTTATCTGAGTTGTCAGATTTATTGGCAAAAAATCATTCATAATATTCCTATATGATCGTTTTAATAATACCTGAAGAATCTTCTGTGATGTCACCTTTCTAGCAATTACTGCTATTGACAATAGCAGGTCAGGAAATGATTTTCTTTTTCTTTCTTTCTTTTTTTTTTTAAAAGGTTTCTCTACCAAGTTCTTTTTTTTTTTAATTAATTTTTATTTTTTACATCATGGTTCTTTTTTTTTTTTAAAGATTTGTTTTATTTATACAAGAACCAGGGTACAGGCCAGATGTGCGGAAGGATCAGAGGATTCCCCAGAGACAGAGCGGGGAACAGAATAGGCAGACTGACGAAATACACTGCTGAGGGGAGCAGCGGGCGAGACAGGAGAGGTCTGCTTGTCATGTGGGTTGCCCCGAGGCCGGCAGGAATCGAACAGGCCGCTGCGCTCAAACACCTGCGCCACCAGGGAGGCCCCCATTGTTCTTTTTTTTTTTTTTAAAGATTTATTTAATTTAGAACTGGGGTATAGGCCAGAGGTGCGGGAGAGTGAGAGACTTCACCAGAGACAGAGCAGGGAGCAGAACAGGCAGACAGACCAAAGACACTGCTGAGGGAAACAGCGGGAGAGGCAGGAGAGGTCTGCCGTGCCATGTGGGTTCCTCCCTAGCCGGCTGGGAATTGAACCCGCGCTGCAGAGGCTGCGGACAGCTTCACAGGGCGGCGCTCAACCTGCTGCGCCACTGGGGAGGCGCAGAAAATGATTTTCTTAATGATATTTCCAAAGAACTAGCATTTGGTTTTGTTAGCTTTCCTTGGTTGGTTTTGTTTCATTTTTTTTTTTCCTTTTTTTTATTTTCTTCTACTTATTTAAGTTTCAGTTACTCTTCTGTTTCTAATTTATAAAGTTAAAGATCATTGATTTCAAATCTTTTTTTTAAATACAGGTTTTTAGGGCAAAAATTTCCCTAAGAGTTGTTTCTGAGGCATCTCACAAATTTTTTTTTTTTTAAATAATAAATTTTATTTTTATATTCCCCCATACAATTGCAAACCCCCCATTCTGACCCCAATCCCTCCCCTCCCGCCCCCCACCCCCCAAAAAGTGTCTCTGGTTCATAGTTTTTTGTTGATTTTGATTTTCACTTTCTTATAGTTATTCATTTTCCTGGTCCCTTATTTAAGTTTTCTAGATTCCTGCTATGAGTGAGACCATCCGGTATTTTTCTTTTTCTTTTTGGCTTATTTTGCTGAGCATGATCCCTTCCAGCGCCATCCATGTTGCTGCAAATTGCATGTGTTTATCTTTTTTGAATGCTGAGTAATATTCCATGGTATATATGTACCACATCTTCTTGATCCAGTCATCTATTTTTGGGCATTTGGGCTGTTTCCAAAGCTTAGCTATTGTAAATAGTGCTGCTATGAACATAGGGGTGCAGGTGCTCTTTGGAATTGATGTTTCTGTGTCCTTTGGGTAAATACCTAGGAGTGGAATTGCTGGATCATATGGAAGCTCTATGTTTAGTAGGTCCAGAAATCTCCACACAGCTCTCCATAGTGGTTGGACCAGTTTGCACTCCCACCAACAGTGCAGAAGAGTTCCTTTTTCTCCAAACCTCGCCAACACTTGTTGTTGCTAGTTTTTTTAATATGTGCCATTCTCACTGGTGTAAGATGGTATCTCATGGTAGTTTTGATTTGCATTTCCCTGATTACAAGTGATGTTGAACATTTTTTCATATGTCTGTTGGCCATTTGCATTTCCTCTTCAGAGAAGTTTCTTTTTAGCTCTTCTGCCCATTTTTTGACTGGATTATTTTCTTTGTTGTTGCTGAGTCTCATCAGCTCTTTGCAGATTTTTGTGATCAGTCCTTTATCATTAGTGTTGTGTGCAAAAATGTTCTCCCAGTTGGTGGGGTTTCTCTTTGTTTTTGTTATTGTCTCTCTTGCTGTGCAGAAGCTCTTTAATTTGATGTAGTCCCAGCTGTTTATCTTTGCCTTCACTATCACTGCTTTGGGTGATGTGTCTGTAAAGATGTCTTTGATGTGCATATCTTGGAGTGTTTCGCCTATATTTCCTTCTATGTATTTTATGGTTTCAGGTTTTATGTCTAGTTCTTTAATCCATTTTGAGTTGATTTTTGTGTATGGTGTGAGGTAGTGGTCAAGCTTCCTTCTTTTGCATGTAGCAACCCTGTTTTCCCAGCACCATTTATTGAACAAACTTTCTTTGCTCCATTGCATAGTCTTTGCTCCTTTGTCAAAGATTAGTTGACCATAAATCTGTGGGTTTATTTCTGGATTTTCTATTCGATTCCATTGGTCTGTATGTCTGTTCTTGTTCCAATACCATGCAGTTTTGATGATTATGGCTTTGTAGTATAGTTTGAAGTCTGGGCGTGTGATGCCTCCATTTCCTTCTTTTTTTTTTCAGGAGAGCTTTGGCTATTCAGGGTTTTTTGTGATTCCATATGAATTTCATCAATAATTGTTCTATTTCTTTGAAGAATGACATTGAAATTTTGATTGGAATAGCATTGAATCTGTATATTGCTTTTGGTAGGATGGCCATTTTAATAATGTTTATTCTTCCAATCCATGAGCAGGGGATGTCTTTCCATTTCTTTGTGTCTTCTTCTATTTCTTTTAACAGTGTTTTATATTTTTCTTTGTATAGGTCCTTTACCTCTTTTGTTAGATTTATTCCCAAATACTTGATTTTTTTTGTTTCGATACTAAAAGGGATTTTTTTTGATTTCTTCTTCTTCAGATTTATTGTTTGTGTATGGGAAGGCTACTGACTTTCGTGTGTTGATTTTGTATCCTGCCACTTTACTGAATTGATTGATGAGTTGAATTAGTTTTTCTGTGGAGTTTTTAGGGTTCTCTATGTATATTATCATATCATCTGCAAATAGTGATAGTTTGACTTCTTCTTGTCCTATTTGGATTCCTTGTATGTCTTTCTCTTGTCTTATTGCTCTGGCTAGGACTTCCAGTATTATGTTGAAAGCAGTGGTGAGAGTGGACATCCTTGTCTTGTTCCAGATCTTAATGGAATTGCTTTCAGCTTTTCACCATTGAGAATGATACTGGCTGTTGGCTTGTCATAGATGGCCTTTATGATATTGAGGTATGTTCCTTGTATCCCAAGAATTTCAAGGGCTTTTATCATGAATGGGTGTTGCACTTTGTCGAAAGCTTTCTCAGCATCTATTGATATTATCATATGGTTTTTATATTTCTTTTTGTTGATGTGTTGGATAACGTTGATTGATTTTCGGATGTTAAACCATCCTTGTGTCCCTTGAATGAATCCTACTTGGTCGTGGTGAATTATCTTATGGATACATTGTTGGATTCTGTTAGCTAAAATTTTATTGAGGATTTTTGCATCAGTGTTCATTAGGGAGATTGGCCTGTAGTTTTCCTTTTTTGTGTTGTCCTTATTCGGTTTTGGTATTAGTGTAATGTTGGCTTCATAGAACGTGTTTGGTATTGTCCCTTCCTTCTAAATTTTTTAGATGAGTTTGTGAAGGATAGGCACTAATTTGTCTCTGAATCTTTGGTAGAATTCATTTGTAAATCCATCAGGTCCTGGGCTTTTGTTTTTGGGGAGGTTTTTGATTACCATTTCAATTTCGCGAATTGTAATTGGTCTGTTTAGGTGTTCTATTTCTTCTTCTTCTTTTTTTTTAAAAGATTTATTTATACAAGCACTGGGTACAGTCAGAAGCACAGGAGGGTGAGAGAATTCACCAGAGTCTGAGCGGGTAGCAGAACAGGCAGAAGGACCGAAGTACACTGCTGAGGGGAGCAGTGGTGAGGGGAGCAGCGGGCAGCAGGAGAGGTCTGCGCGCCATGTGGGACCCTCCTCCGGTGGCCCGGGAGCAGCCGGGGATCGAACCAGCACTGCAGAGGCTGCGGGCAGCTTCACAACCCAGCACTCAACTGCTGCGCCACGGGGGAGGCCCTCTATTTCTTCTTTATCTAGCTTTGGGTGATTGTAGAGTTGTAGGAATTTGTCCATCTCCTCTAGATTGTTGAACTTGTTTCCATATAACTGTTCATAGTAGTTACTGATTATTCTTTTGATTTCTGCTGTGTCCGTTGTGATTTCTCCTCTTTCATTTGTGATCCTGTTTATTTGTGCTTTCTCCCTTTTTTCCTTTGTGAGCCTGGCTAGGGGTTTGTCTATTTTATTGATTTTTTTCAAAGAACCAGCTCTTGGTTTCATTGATCTTTTGGATTGTTTTTTTAGTTTCAATTTCATTTATTTCTGCTTTGGTTTTTATTATTTCTTTTCTTCTATTGGTTTTGGGGTTTTCTTGTTGTTCTTTTTCTAGATCTCTGAGCTTCGAGATTAGGTTGTTTCTTTGAGTTCTTTCTTGTTTTTTGATGTGAACTTCTATTGCTATATATTTTCCTCTTATTACTGCTTTTGCTGCATCCCATACATGTAGGATATTGTCATTCAATTCAAAGAATTTTTTAATTTCTTCTTTGATCTCGTTAGTCCAGTGGTCTTCCAGTAGTGTGGTTTTTAATCTCCACGAGGTAGGATAGTTCCTTGCCTTCTTTTTATGGTTTATTTCTAGTTTGATGCCTTCATGGTCAGAAAAGATGGTTGGTATGATTTCAATCTTGGTGTATTTGTTGATGTTTGTCTTGTGCCCCAGTATGTGATCGATCCTGGAGAATGATCCATGTGCGCTTGAGAAAAATGTGTACTCTGTTTTTTTTTGGGTTTAGTGTTCTATAGATGTCTGTTAAGCCCAAATGCTCAAGGTCCTTATTTAGTGCTTTAGTTTCTTTACTTACTTGGTTTTCTTTTTGTGGTGTGCTTCTTTCCTGAGGAGTTGTTAGGTTGCGTGTGGTTCTTCTACTCCCTACTGTCTGTTTTCTAATTTGTCGTATGCATTGGGACACTGTGTTGCTCGGACTGGCCGGCATCTTGGGTGAACTTCTCTGCTCCCCTCTGGCTCCTCCAGGAGCCATCTCTGGCTTCTGGGGGAGCTTTCTGCTGGTTTTAGGCAGTCTTTACTGAAGAAATGTCCCTGATCTAAAATGGCGAAGCGGGACGCAGTCCCTGTACATCCGGTCTCAGGCACACTCTTCTGCGCGCCTGGTCTGCCCCGGACGTGGGTACCTTCTCCCTCTGTGGGCTCAGACTGCTGGTTGGAAGGGGCCTGGTGTGGGCTAACTTCCCAGCTGGCCACTGGGTCCTCCAGAAGCCTTCTGCCCTTTTCAAGAAGTCTTTTCTTAAGAAATTTTCCTGTTCTATGGGGTGTTAGTGACTTTTTTTTCTGGTCGCTATGTGGCGCCAGAGATCTCTCCTATTGTCCTTGGGGGGCTACTTTTTGACGCCCCCCCCCTCTGTGGGACATGGAACAGAGCGGGAATGGTAGGGTAAACCTCAACGGCTTTGGGGTGCTGTGTCTGCCTTGTGCCTCACCGTCGTGGAGAACCCACGCCCCGAATTTCATGCCCCGGGTCTCAGTTCCAAAGCCCTCAGGTCCAGGATGCGGGCTGTAGCCCAGTTCATTGGCGCGGGAATGGCGCCTTTTGCACCCCGCTCCCGTGCCTGGGCGCCTGGTTCCTGCTTACTCAGTGGGGGACTTTCACCTCAGTGAGGGCCTCCGCGGGTCTCCCCGCAAGCCTAGGTCGCAGGCGCGGGGACCTGGGCAGCCGCCATCCCGATCCGCGTTTGCTTTTCAAGCGCGCCGCTTTTCCGCGCAAGCTTACGGGCCGGCCCGGGGCTGTGTGCAGGTCTCCTCCAGAGTCTCTTTGTTCTTCTCTAATGGCGCCCGGAGCCTTTTGCTCACCGCCGCGGTGAATCCTGCAGGGTTCTCCGCAGCTCCTGTTCACGGGGTGTGGTGGCTGCAATAGTTCCTTTCCACTCACAGTCCCGCTTGCTGCGTCGTTTGTTCTTGTGGGCCGTTTTGGTTTGTTGTTTTCCTCCTCTCTGCCTGTCGGAGAGTGCCGCCTCTGTGGGCGGGGGAGGAGAGCAGGGTTCTGCGCTTTCCTCCCTTCTAGTCCTCTTTTATGGCAACTTTCTTCTTCGTGTAGTTTGCTGGCGTCACCCATTTATCTTCCCTGTCCCAGTTCTCACCGGAACCTGCCACTTTTCCTCCCTATTAACTTTTTTTAATGGGAGATCTTACTCTCAGCGTCTCCTCGCCGCCATGTTGCCCATCTCACAAATTTTGATGTGCTGTGTTTTCATTTTCATTCAATTAAATTAAAAAAACCTCCTAATTTCCCTTCTGTTTTTAACCTATGGGTTATTTCAAAATCTGTTATTTAGTTTTGACTTTCATTGGCCCAGATGAGAAGTCTGCTGTAATTTTTCTTCTTTCTTCAGTAACTGGTTATTTCCCTCCAGCTGCGACTATCTACCATTGTTTTTAAGCTATTTGACTATTGGGATTCATTTCTTCAAGTGTCTTGTGCTTGTCTTTTTTTTTTTTAAAACTTCTTGCATCTGTAGGTTTATTGTTTTCATTAAATTTGGAGATTTTTCAGCTTCTGTCTTTGAAAATATTCTTTTCTTATCCTTTTGGGGACGTTAATTAAACCTTTATCTAGTGTTTGAAGTCAAAGAATGCAGTGGTTTCTTTAGTTTTTTCTACTCTGTGGTTCATTTTGTCTCAGGGATTAATGTTCTTTGTTGCCAGATAACTACCATTTTGGAGTGTTATTATTTCATGTATTTTGTCTGTCTTTTTAGTGTTTTCAGGCAAGAGAGTAAGTATTGCTCCTGTTATTCCATATTGGCCAGAAGTAAAAGTGTCTAACTTATTAATTACATAATATACAAATGTATTCTTCTTGTAAAATATTGAAACACGATGATTGCAGTGTCAGTTTCTTCTTTCCCACTGATACTTATTTGTAGTCTTTCTCTCCTCAGAGATTGTACCTCTTTGTAGACTTTATCTCCTCAAAATCTTTTTTGTATGCACAAAAATACATAACATATACCTGTAGAAGCAATATATTATTTTGAAAAGATGTTTTGTTTTTAGTTTATTTTTACTTAAATTGCTTCATCTCTGTCTACAGGCAGCAAAGAAAGAGCATGCAGCTATCATTCTTTGGAATACTGCTTCTTGGAAACAGGTGCAGAATTTAGTTTTCCACAGCTTGACTGTGACACAGATGGCCTTCTCTCCTAATGACAAGTTTTTGCTAGCTGTTTCCAGAGATCGAACCTGGTCACTGTGGAAAAGACAGGATACACTCTCTCCCGAGTTAGGTAAAACAGCTCGTTATTGGGAAGATTATTAGTGAAATAGTTAACATCCCTTTAATCCTTGTTGAGCAACTACTGGGTTAATAGAAGTAGAAATGATAACAGAATGAAGGGTAGAGTGTCATGGTTGTGAAGTTTTTTAAAATTCTGTGATAGTGAAGAAGACTCAACCTCTTAAATACAGTTGATCTTTGGGTTGACTTGTTAATTATGTAGTCAGAATGGCATTGTTCATAGGCTTCATTAAGGAAACATAAAGATACAGATGTAGAAATTTTATTTTGTGGATAGTTACAGAATGTCACCATAAACTAAATAGATGGCATATTCTGGACCAGGATTTTCTGGACAGAAATAATGCGTATACAATTGAATTATGAAAACTTAGAGGGACCATTCATTATCTTTTATCTTTTTCCTGCCCTACCCTATAACTTTGATAATTGGGAAGGGTTTTTTGGCATCCATCTCTGAATAACATGACCCCCAAGCAAGCTACTAACCCACCTACCTGCATTCTGCTCTAAGCCTGGCAAAAATTGAAAAGAAAAAAGAACAAAAGGTTTGTGTTGTTGTAGCAGTGACCTAGTCTGATCCCGCCCACCCCCCGCCCCTTTTTTTAACAATTGAGGTACAATCGACATGTAATAGGACTTAGTTTCATAATGTCTCCCACTTTCTTTAGTGGATGTAATCTAGATTACTTAAAGTATGTTTGGATTGTTTAATCCTGTTTTTAGTTTTCCTTCTGATATAACCTACATGCAATTTGATCTGTGGTATTTCTAGTTTCTTGTATTTTAGAGAATACTGAGGACAATGACACATACAGAGCATATGCATTAGAACAGACTGTTTGCTTTTGCATCTCTAGTGATTTCTTAACATGTAACTTTTTAGTTAAAGTGATAATAAGAGGGTATCCATTAATTAGTGGTATCCTTAAGGATTATCTCATAAGGACTACATGTTATGTTAAATCTTACAAGAAAAAAAGGTGTTTTGTTTTTTTAATATTATTTAAGAGTGTTGAAGCCTATTTTCCATAGTTAACTATGGAATTTGGCTACTTACTAAGGTTCAATTGCTTCAGCTTCTTCCATAGTCATAAAGTGAACCTGCAGTTAAGTGCCTGGAAGAAGTTTGTCATCAGTCACTAGAAAGTATTTCGTCTGTATAAAAGTGTTCCATACTAGAAAAATAACTACATGCCCACAGCCTTCTGGTGAGGAATCAAGTGCCTGGCCTTGCTGGGTCTACTATAAACAAAATTCAGCATATGTAAATTGAATACTAAGTCATTTGATATATATGGCATTTAAATAAAGCTTTCTAAGAAGTCATCACCAGCTCTCTCTGTGAGTAGTACATATGTGTTTCTTTCAGACCCAATTTTCAGCCTCTTCGCCTTCACCAACAAAATCACTGCTGTGCACAGTCGAATAATTTGGTCTTGTGATTGGAGTCCTGATAGCAAGTATTTCTTCACAGGGAGTCGGGACAAAAAGGTAATTTTTTTAACTTAATGTTTTTTCAAACATAAAATAATATATTTTTCCAGGTATGTTTCGATAAAAAGCACATAATTATACCTTTCTGATACAATTTTAAAAGTCAATTTACATATTCCCTTTTGTGTTTTTAATATGCTTACACAAAATAGACTTTTCTGATCTGGTTAATTCTATAAATATATTTCTCTGAAATTTCAAATCTGAAAAGAATGTCCATTAGATCATCCCAGAGGAAAAAAGGAGTAAATGAGATGAATCAAGACTAAGGAGGGGGAAAATACGTTCTGCTTTTCTTTTTCATGCTTTTATGAATTTAAACTTTTCTCTATAATGAATAGAGAAGCTATTTCCATTTCTTTGTAGGCGGTCACACCCCCTTGAGCTTCAGTGGTGGGAGCAGGGTGGGTTTTTTCCCCAAACTTTGAGGAAAAAAAACTAGTTAGCAAGTAGTAGGTTCTTAGCCATGACCCTTGGTCTCTAGGACATGTTCTCCTGACCTCTGGTCTTTACTTTGTTTCCATCTTCTTTAAATTGTCCTTTCCTTTTTCTGCAGTCCCTATAGAAAAACAGTGAGGGAGGCAGGTGAATATCTCCTCTCTTGCCCTCTCCAGTTGTAGTCATGTTACAAACCACCAAGGAGAAGGTTGATAAGGGCATATAGTCACTCAATGAAACACCAAAACATCAGCCTCCACAACACACTCAGGTTGTTGCTGTTCGTTTTCCCTCTGGCATATATTTGCTTATGCTCTGCTAGCTGCTGGAAAAGCAGGGCTGTTTCTGCCATTAACTACAGAAGTAGCAATTTGCATGGATACATCAAAACTGAAAAACATCATCTGCTGCCCATTCTTAGAAATGTACTTCTACTTGCTTCCAAGCAAGAGTCTTCTATTTGGAATCTTGCTTTATACCTGCATTTTGTCCTCTTTACTTCCTTCTCCATTTCTTTGTAGGCAGTCACACCCCCTTGAGGCATGAGCTTACAAGGAGCTTCCAAGTTCTTCAGTGTCTCATGAGGAGTTACGTCCTGACAGATAGGATAGAAGATCTAGGGACTTGATTAGTACTCATACATGTTGTGTGGAAATTTCTCAGGGGGGAACATGAGCCCCTCAGTGTGGACATGATCCATGAATTCATTGGTGTAAAGAGTATGATAGTAAAGAAGAAAAAAAAAAAGAGTATGATAGACACCCTTCTGGTATCTGGGCAGAGGAAGACCATCTTTGTTTGCTTTTGTTTCAACTTCTTTTGTTTCTTTATTGAAGTAACACTGACTTACATAACTGTGTATGATTCATGGAAGTAGATTCATACCCTCAGATACATGTTATCACACCACCCCCACCCTCCAGCACCCATTTGAGAAAGGCTGTCTTTGGACCAACACATTTAGGTGGATGAGGTCTCAGTTACTTGTATCTGCTACATTCTGACTTCTCTGTGATGCTTGAAATTCTCTAAAGTCCTTGAACATTATACACAAATATAAATGCTTTTGTTTTTTAAGTAATAGAACAAATATTTTGTATAATCTGTGCCATTGAAACTCTAATGCTGCTAGAAACCTTGCAAAAAGAAGTCTTACAGAGCTTGATCTGACTCTTAGGTGGTTGCCTGGGGTGAGTGTGATGCTAGCAATGACTCCATCGAACACAGCATCGGGCCCTGTTCCTCTATCCTGGACGTGGGTGGGGCTGTGACAGCCGTCAGCGTCTGCCCGGTGTTTAACCTCTCCCAACGGTTAGTTCTGTATGTTCTCTAAGAAGGGCACTTGGTTTCCAATGTGTAACCCTCTTACACTTTTCATGCATAAAGCTCCTCTTAGCTTCTGAGTTGGAATTCTTTTCATAATGCTTGGGTTTCTCATAAGAATTTTTTTCTACATTTATTGTTAACTGTTGTAATTTGGGGTACCCCCATCGGGTATAACCACCATAATGCACCCACCATCAACTCACCCATATTCACCATCATAGACCATTGTGCTTCCTTTTCTCTTTGTCATTTCTCCTCCCCATGTTCTCCCCCCTTGGTGCTACAGTTCTGTAGTCAGCTATCAAAGTTAGCTTTTGAGCTTATCTTTATCTGACTATTAATTTACTTACTTTATAGTCTACATATGAGTGACACCATCTGGTATTTATCCCTCTCCTTCTGGCTTATTTCATGTAGCGTTATCCTTTTAAGCTTAGCACTCACAAAAGGTAAACTCATACCATTTGCAGCAACATGGATGGAGCCCGAAAGAATTTTTAAATTGATAGAACTCAATATTATTAATAGTGGTGAAAGAGAGACTGATCAAAGGTTCTTTTTTCACTAAATTCAGGACTGTGTTACTTTCTCTGTACTGAGTGTCTGTAGTAGAACCAGGGTCATAGTAGCCAGCTAGGAAAACAGTGGTTCGTGGGTTTTGCCAGCAGGAGACAGGCATAAACCTTGTACCCTCTCTAGAGTGGGGGCTCCTTAAGGGCATGGTGTCTTCTGGGCTGGCACCTTGAAACCCTGCCAGTGACAGTTGGGAATACAATGAAGAACTGCTTTAGAGAGATGATAGAGATATAATTTCATTCTCAATTAATCATTGTCTTCCCTACTCCCTTAAAAACAGATATATTCTGGCAATAGGATTAGAGTGTGGAAAGATTTGTTTATACACCTGGAAAAAGACTGATCAAATTCCAGAAGTAAATGACTGGACCCACTGTGTAGAGACAAGTCAAAGGTATTTTCTTCCTGTTTTTGCTTCTACTACATAAGATAGAAATCATGGAATCTTTAGTGACAAATTTTATGTCATATTTGCATGGAGTCAGACACAAATCTCTATTCAGTATGTTTTCTAAGTGGTATCTCTATGTACTGTTAGTCTGTTGAAATTGATGTTGTTACTATATTGCACTTGTTTTTTAAGTTTGCTTGTTAGTGTAATAATTTTTTTATAGCTCCCATATTTGAGATAAAGGTAATTTTCATAAAGATTTTTTTTTTAAAGATTTATTCTATTTTTATGCATACAAGAACTGGGGTACAGGCCAGAGGTGAGGGGGGTGAGAGGATCCACCAGAGACAGAGCAGGGAACAGAACAGGCAGACTGACTGAAATACACTGCTGAGGGGAGCAGCGGACGAGTTAGGAGAGGTCTGCTGCGCCATGTGGGTTGCTCCCTGGCTGGGGATCAAACTCATGCTGCAGTGGCTGCAGTTAGCTTCATAGGTTGCGTCTTAACCCCATGTACCACCAGGGAGGCCCAAAGATGGATTTTAAAATATGACTATGGCAGATTAATGAAACTTGATTCAAAATGTTGGTGGTTTTTTGAACATTATAGATGTGTTTGGAAGCTATATCTTATGTTTGAACACTTCAACTTAGATCCTGTAATGGGGCAGAAACTCTTGTGTGCCCCTCAAAGTCCCATGAATGACTTTGCAAATATAGTTAGTACTATCTGGACCTCAATACCTGGACTTGGGCTTTTGTCACCTGCGCAGGCTTAGAGCACTGCAGTTTACAGCTTCCTTGCCACCCCCACCCACCTTGGCAACAGGGATCATTTTTTAATCCTTTTTTTAAAGTCATTTTATTCTTTAAAAATGCCTAAAATTTCAAAAAGTCATCAGTACCATTCCATGTCAGATTTTCTTAGGCCCCTTCAACCTTCATATATATATATCCAAATTCAGAATATAATTTCAGATACAACTCCAAACTACAATGTCATGGCTTGATAGAAAGAGATTTGTGAACACATACTTTAGAAAATATTTCATCCAGGAGAGCTAGTTTCCTTATCAGAAAAATACATTAATCACAGTTTTGTTTTATTTGTTAAAATGAGATCTGCCTTTATTATTGCTACCCTCATGGCTTCTCTCCTGCCTCTCTGCTGCTGGGTTTAGCACTTGAAATAGTTCATGCTGTTGGCTTACTAAAGAGGGAAGTACTCCATCCAGTGAAATCCAGGCACTTGAAATTGTCTCTCTGCCTGGGCTCCTCTTCCTTCGTTTTTCTTTTTTCTATCTTGCCTGCCCCTGGTGCTTGCTCTACATGTAACTGGTACCCTCATGGCTCAAATGTGGGACACTAGGAGGAGCCATTCATCTCACAGGGATGTTAAAAGAATAAAATAATATAAAAGATGTCACAAAGTTGCAATTCTTAAAAAAGGAAAAGCATTTAGTAGTGTTGGCTAAAAGACGGGTTTTTTATTTATTTATTTATTTATTTATTTATTTATTTATTTATTTTAAAGATTTATTTTTATACAAGAACTGGGGTACAGGCCAGAGGCGTGGGAGGGTGAGAGCATTCACCAGAGACAGAGCAAGGAGCAGAACAGGCAGACGACCGAAATATACTGCTGACGGAGCAGCGGGCGCGACAGGAGAGGTCTGCCCACATCATGTGGGAATCTCCCTGGACGGCCAGGAATCAAACTGGCGCTGCAAAGGCTGCAGACAGCTTCACAGAGCTGTGCTCACAGCACTGCGCTCAACCCAATGTGCCACCCGGAGGCCCTAAAGGACTGATTTTAATAGCCATTTCATGAATACCTGATCATTAAGACAGTGTTTGACAGGATATTATTAATTACTGTTTTTGGAGATGTTCTTGTCAGTAAGTAAGATACTTAGTGTGGTAATTCTAAGTAAAGAGAGTAAGATATTTTCAAGGTTGAAATAAACTGCTAAAATATTAGTGATGGTATTGAAAAACTTGAACATTTCGTTTTTCAGGTGTTGACTTCCATTTATGTTTATACCAATATGAGCATCCTAATTAATATGTAGGTGACGATCTAGTAAAATATTTTGTCATCATAGCATACATTCATTTCATGATTTCTCTATCTTTGTTTTAGCCAAAGTCATACACTGGCTATCAAAAAATTATGCTGGAAGAATTGTAAAGGAAAAACTGAACAGGATGAAGGTGAAGGTGCTGAATGGTTACACTTTGCAAGTTGTGGTGAAGATCATACTGTGAAGATACACAAAGTTAACAGATGTGCACTCTAGTGGACTTAAAATAACTACAAGCATGTAATCATTGGTGGTCCTAAAATATTTATCATGTAAATAGATAACCTTTCTTTACCTCATACCTCGTTATCTCATTGAGTTTCATTGATGAATCCTGTAGCAGAGGTCCTTGTGTGGATCACACATCCTTTGAAATGTGATGAAAAGTACAGATTGTTTTCTCAAAACCTCACATCCTTAAAACCTTACCCATGCTTTCAGGGATTCACTCCTGCATCCATGTCCCTGATTTAAGAACTGCTGTTCTTTTTCATAACTGAATTTGCCCAGTTTTATGTTGTTCTGGGCCTTTTCATATGCCCCTCTTTGGACATTTCATAATTTATTACCATCTTCAGAGGGAAGACATGAAAAATAAAGAGATAAAATTTACATTATGCAATTTTTATTTTAACAGCTCTGGTAAATAAATAGACCACACAAATGGGTCTTTTGACCCTTTCTTCCCAGAACGCAGCAAACATTCTAGGAATTTGGCAAGTGGAGTGAGTTTGAACTGCAATCAGTCTTGTTCTTTATTCTTTAAAAGTATGGAAATTCTTTTAGGGCTTGACTGAAAGTATTATAACCTGACATTTTAAACCTACAGGTGATGGGGCTGAAGAGTGAAGTTTGGAATCATATGAATGTATATTAAGTCATAGAAACGAATCAGGGTAAAGTCTCTCCTCCAGGGAGAATGAGTAGGGAAGCAGAGGAAAGAAGTAGGTGCTGGAAATAGAATGTTGGGTGGGCTGGCTGTGGTTTGGGAGATGGGCCAGGAGAGTTGGGAGCTCGGGATTTGAGTGGAAAGAGGTTAATAGAGGGCGTGGGAGGCTCTGTGAGGACTGTGGTCTGCAGAATTTTTTTTGTTTTGTTTTGAACATTACGGGTGTAATGGAGCCTTGTTCCCAGCCACATTGTTGATTCTGAGCTGCCCTTTTAGCTTCCATTCACAGTAAAGGGCTCCCATCACTATATGGGTGGGAACTTCCTGGGATTCCTGATCATTCTTTCCACTGCTCTCGAGTTTTTATCAGAGCTGCTTTTCTGCCAGACTTTGGAGAGAAAGCTGCTCCACAGCTGTCTCTTGCAGGCCCGCTTCTGATTTTACTTGTCTAGCAGGAAATACTATTAATTTCATTATCCAAACCTCTTCTGAAGTACCATCCCCCATCACAACAACTTGGCAGGAAATTTGATCTACCATGATTGCAGTCCTCAGCTACCCACGCCTCTTGAGAGGCACTCAGTCAGCTTTAGCCATGAGTAAATGAACGGAAGAATGCATGAATGACTGTCTTACATACAAAGGAGGATCTTGCAAAAAGCCCACTGCCAGGACACATAGTGTCCCAAATAGGAACCCAGGCTCAGGAGCTGGACAAAGGACATAATCTTAATAAGGAGGCATTATAAGTACAGAACAGCTGTCTCCTCTGTGCTCAGTCTGACCCGTTAGCAGCTTTTCTATGATTCTCAGGTGAAAGGGCTGAAGTAGGCTGAAGAGCTGTTTCCCTACAAAGTGGGAAAGGGTGCAGAAGCTGGCTGCCTGGGACCTCAGCTTGGACCAACTCATGATCCTCTGAGGTCTCAGGGCCAGCAGCTGGAAGAGGTAGGATCAGGTAGTGGCAGTGGTAATGGTACAGACAGTGGTGGGGCTGGAAGTTCTGCTTCAGGCAGGATGAGAGCAATCCAGCAATTTCTGAGGCTCAGGAAATCTTGGTGCAATGCACTTAAGGGTGCCAGTTAGAAGGGAGGCTTGCGGTTTCCCCACATACTCCACTACTGTCCCTTCAGAGGCTCATTGCTATGGTCCAAGCCAAAGACTTCCTCCTTTGTGGTGCCTTTCCTGGACACTGGTTGACAGGGTAACCAGCAGCATTTACTTGCCCTCTCTTCTGTAATTCTACACCTGCATCTTTGAAGGAGTGGCCAACTACCCAGCCCCCATCACCTTGTGTCACTTCCCTATTTGGCTGTAGGCACAATACTGTGACATCCTCTTGAGCATACAGTGCCCTGGGCATCGCTAGGACTTAAATTTATTTACTGACTTGGTAGAGCAGTGATTTTTAATAAACCATTAAGAGATCTGCACTGTGTATCAAAGGACACAGTGAAAAAAAATCTACAAAATGCAAGAAAATATTGCTAATCATGTATCTGGTGAGGGGTTAATATCCACAAAGAACTACTATAACTCCACAATAAAAACCAAAAACCCTTTAAAAAGTGGGCAAAGGACTTGACATTTCTCCAAAAGAAACATACAAATGACCAATAAAGTACATTAAAAGGTGCTTAACATCTCTAATCACTAAGGAGATGAAAATCAAAATCACAGTGAAATGCATCTCATACCCAGTAGGATAGCTACTATCAAAAAAAACAAAAAAACAGTAGGTGCTGGTAAGAATGGAGAAGTTGGAACGCTTGTGTGCTGCTGGAATGTACAATGGCGCCATGGAAAACATTGACAGTTTCTCAAAAATAATTACCACAGGGTCCAGCAATCCCAATTCTGGTTTTATATCTCAAAGAATTGAAAGCTGGGTCTCAAAGACATTTGTACACCCATGTTCTTAGCAACATTTTCCCCAGAGATGGAACCTCCAAGGATGAATGGGTAAACAAAATGTGATATATACATACAATGGAGTATTGTATGTCTACCAAGTCAGACTTAAAAAGAAAGGACATTCTGACACATGCTACAAGATGGATGAATCTGGAGGACTTTATGAAAACTGAAATAAGCTAGTCACAAGAAATATACACTTAAATGATTGTCTTCCATGAGATGCCTAGAAGCCAAACTCAATGGTTTTTGTCAGGGGCTTGGGTGCAGAAGAAAAGGAGGAATTATTATTTGATAGGCACAGAATTTGAGTTTTGTAGATTGGCTGCACAGCAATGAGAATGTACTTAACACTGTGAAGTATGCACTTGAAAATAGCAAAGGTGACAGATTTTATGTAATGTATATTTTACCGCAGTTAAAAACTAAATAATGCAGAGTTCTGTACTTGGCCATTCAGATTGTTCCCTAGGCAAGCGGTTCTAAGTAGCATCACTGTGGATTTTGGACTCGTTACTTGGCTCCACAGAACCTTAAGAAGAGGTGCTCCTTACAACCCTAGGGAAATGACCTAAGTCCTCCTTTAGAGTGCAGCCTGTGGATGCCAGCATCAGCATAACTTGGGCTAATAAACATTCTCAGGATGCCTCTCCCCCAAGTTAAATAATCAGCACATGTATTTTAATAGGCTTTCAGGTGATTTATGCAAATAAATGCCTTTAAAAAATGGACCTGAAGGAGATATTCACTGGGAAGAAGGGTGTTAGTAGGAGGGCTGGAGAGCTCACACTGTTGTAGAAATAAATTCCACTTTTAATCTAAGCAGAGGAAGAACAAGCAGTACTTCAGGCATGGTGAGATCAGGAAAGCTTTCTTACTCATGCATGAGGTCCCAGACCTGGGTAGCCCCGTAAGATCTGAGCACCTGTTTAAAGACCAAGAGCTCCTTTTATACACATCTGTGTCCATATCTGTTACGTTGATAACATCGTTTTTCAGCAGGCACAACCATTTGGGCAAAGTCCCGGACAAGGGGAGCAAGGCAAGGGGAGAAAGATGCAGGCATTCAGGGATAGCCTTGGAGAGACAGACCAGCTTGGCCAGCTGCCCAACCTTGTAGATAAGAGTGCTGAGGCCCTGGCCATGAATCTTGAAAGGAAAGGAGCTGTAAGTAAGCAAACTTGTTGATTATGCCTGCATTGGAGTGTTCATTGCACCTGGGCTTGAAGTTCTGCTGGAATCTCTATTATATTCATTTGCTCAATAATATATTTTTGCTTCAACACAGTACACTTGCTGGGAGGACCACCTATGCAGCCCCCAACTTAGAGAAGGGGAAGTGGAGACCCACCCTGTCTTGTACCAGAGAGGTTGTTGAATATATATCTGTGAGGCTCGGGACATTTACTCCCCAAGTGCTAGCTCATCCATTTCTGTGTATCCTTCAGCAAGTTATTCTTTCTGTCTCCACTTTTCCCACCTGTAAGGAGCTGCTTAATCGTTGAATCATGAGTACAGGTAAGAGTGTGCAGTTTCCAGTATGGTGCCTGGCACACAAAGAGGGCTCCATAATGCCAGCTCTCTTATTTGCAGGAAGGACTGCAGTGGAGAGGGGCCAAGATGGCGTAAGTGTCCAAAGTTCCTGCTCTAAGTGTGGCCAGAAGGTGTGCAGAAGGGGGTTGGGGTGGGTGGTGATGCCAGTAAACAAATGCATGCTTTCATTTATCAACACACTCAGTCCTTCCAGAACCATACATTCTCTGGGATTCTGCAGTGAGGAAAAAGACTGGGGTGGTTTCCTGTGGAGGTCCTGAGGCATGGGGGTGACTTGGTGGGCTGCTATTCTAGCACTGCAGTTTGGGAACCTGTCACCTTCGGTCAGTGTTGCCACAAACCCCCCAACCTACTAGCCTGGGTCTTTTTCAAACTCAGTATTTGGGGGTGGTTCTGGAGGGGCAAGGTGTTCACGCCCACCTATGACTCCAACGCTGGTCCACCAGGAGGCACCCCTTGGATTGCTTTTTATACAGGCAGGGGTGGGGACACATCATCACATATCCCAAGGTGCCTGCGGGCCACTGCCGGCAGGACTACTTCCTAGGCAGTGTACTTGTGGCTTCGGCCTCATATCCACATGATGCCACCGTGGCATGCTTCCAGAGCCAGTGGTCCTGGATTCACACCCTGGATTCGCCTACTGGGACCGAATCTGAGTCCCGACACGTAGGTCCCCAACACTTGCTCTCTTCCGCAGGAGATTCCACCCCTGAAAGCGCCCCTGAGGTCTCCCTGCTGGGAACCCGGATCCCACTTCGCGTACTTGCTCTACAGCCCCCAACTCGGCCTCGCACTTTCCGCACGCGGGTTTGGCCTGTAGCACAAGCATGGCGCGGCGCCCCGGGGCGGCGGAACAGTGCAGCTCGACCCCCTGCACCCGGGATGCAGGCCCGCGGGTCGGCCGGGGCCAGCAGGTTCCCTGGGTGCTCAATCCCACCACCTGGTGGATCCAAGTCTTTCCTTTTTCTTAGCTACCCTTTGCTTAGCTACATCCTCAGAGCGCCCAGCACACATCCACCCGGAGCCACAATCGGAGAAGTCTCGTTGCAAACGCCCGCACCGCCGGCGAGAGCCCCGCGGGGGAGCGAGGCGCCCGGGGCGCGCTGCGGGGCTCCTGCCCGGGAGACTCGCTGGGGAGTGTCTGTCGGCAAGTGAGTTCTAGGCTGCGGGGCGGGAAAAAGCAAGGTGTCGCTTCTGCACCGGCTTCTCCGCAGGACCCCAGATGATCGCGAAGCTCGTGTTCAAGTGTCCGGCGTCCCGGAGACGACTCCGACGAGTCCTCCGCCCTCCCACGAGCTCTCCACCCCCGGCGGAACAAGGCTGGGAAAGAAGTGAAACTCCGTGAGTCAGAGCGCCCCGGGGCCCCGGCGAGCCCGGAGAGGCGCCGCCCCTCGGCCGCGGACCCGTTCCACTGGCCGGCGGGGAGGCGCGGCCCAGGCGCGGCGGGGCGGAGTCGCCAGGAGCTGGCCCGGCCTCGCCCTGGGTCCGGCCGGCCCGGACCGCGCGGCGGGCAGGCCTGGGTCATGGCTGGAGAGGCAGCGCCGCTGGGCGCCGAGCTCCTGACCTTCGCGCGGTTCCTGGACTCAAGCGCCGAGCGGCTCACCTATGGCTACGGCCAGCGCAGCCTGAGCGAGCTGCGGGCGCGCGAGTTCGGCCGCCTGGCAGGTGAGGCCGGCGGGGACACCTGCGCGGGGCGGGCGGGGCGGCCGTGGGGGAAACGCGGTTTCTGGAAGCCAAGTGGAAGGAGATTGTGGGCTAGGCGGGAGCGGCGTTACCGCATTGGGGATGCATTTTGAATGGAAAGATCTGGAAGGATGTAGAAATGTGTCCTTTTTTGTGGACGCAACGCCCTGAGGTCCCACCTGCAGCTCTAACGCTGCTCGCACTGTTGCTGCGCAGACATTCCAGAGGGGCAGGGCCACGGAATCTTTTGGCACTTGTTTCGCTTAGGATGCTTTTTGACTTTGTTTACCTCCAGACTCCTGATTGTAAAGGTCCTACTGGACCTTAAAGGTCCCTGCTAGAACCGGGGTTGCAAAATGTAGACACGTCCAGCGACCGTGACTGTTGGCTGCTTGCCGGGGATGCGAGCGGTGCGAGGGCCGCCCGCAGGGGGTTGGCACCTGGGCCCCGCGCAGCGGGGAGTTGGGGCAAGAGGCTGCGCAGCAGGCGGCCGCGGCCTCCGGAGGCTGAGCTCCAACCCATTCCCCTGGGATGGCTCACCAGTAGCTTTTACTTTCGATGCCTCATTTTCCTCGCTTTTGAAGTCAGAAATATGGCTCTGATCTCTTCAGTTCGCTAGGGAGCTTGAAGTATTAGCAAGCCGTGCAAATTGAACTTAAGTACAGGACTAACTCGTAAAATGCACTTAGGTACTGCAATCACCTCGCGCCTTTGAATCCTGCAAGGCGGAACAGACCGGTTAAATTGGAAGTCAAGATCTGCCTGGCCCTTTGGCGCTCACCAGCTCACTATACTGCCGGGTGGAAGGGTCCTGGCCACCTCCAACACACACTAGGCGGCCACTATCCCCTTTTGGCAGGGACTTTGCCCGAGGCACTTCCTCCAGCCTGAGAATTGGTGCAGGCTGAGTTAGGGGGGCAGTACAGGTTCAGAGGGCAGGATTTGAGGCGTTTATTCTGTGCTGAACAACTAGTGACTGCTCCCCTGCCTGTACCAGAATTGCAACCATGATCTACCTTTCTTTAATCAAGTGGTTCATACTGTTATAGGACAGGAAGAGGGGCAGCCCAAACCCCGTAAACCTGCCTATTCTAAATGGGTTCGGCCATCCGCCGCATCAACACAAAACACATGAGACTTTAATGGGAAGGAACTTTAATAAAACTAGGAAACAATACAGGTAAGGCAAAGAGTCTAGTTTCTAAATGAAGCACCCAAAGTTACCCGTCCCCTCGTGGGTAAAACTCCATCCATATGGGATTGGCCCAGAACAAGGCCCCAAAGCCTGCCACAAGTCTAAAGCATCTTCCAGTGGGGACCCACAGAAAAGGGTCACAAACAACCGGACAAGCCCGGAAGGAAAAGAGCAAAATCAACATCAAGATAAAAGCTGCCATGGTCACCTCCCCACGGGTCTCACCCACATCTGTGTCACCCAGTCCACGACCAAAAGACAAGCGCAGTTTCTTCACGTGTCTCTAGGCTCCATGCGCCTCCTCCAGGTCTCCTGGCTCCATCCTGCTTCCTTCCTCAGTCTCTTCTGCCGCTTTTCCTCTTCCTGCTCAGCTCCACCCTCCCTTGGGTGGGGCAGGGAACCTGGAACTTACCCCTTTCCTGGGGACCACCCTGTTACAATACTAGTTCTTTGATACTAGTCCTCATGTTTCACATGGTGACTATTTTTTCCTCTAGGGGCTTTGAGGGCTGTGTCCTCCTGTATTTTCCTTCTGTACTTAAGTTGAGAAGTTCAGGAATGAGACAGGGAACCTTCTGGAGGCCTCTTTCCCTTCCATCCAAGTGGCCCATTCATCTGTTGGAGACAGTCTCTTCCCTCTGCTTCCACCTTAGAGCTCTCTTTCTGAAGGTTTTATTATGAAAATTTAGCTTGTTTTATTATGGAAAACTTACTGATTTTCTTATGGACATTTTACTCAGAAATGTCCCACAAACCGAAACAGACTCATGCAATGAACACCCACAGGTGCTGAGGCATTCTGCACCATCACCGTTCTTTTGAAACAAATCTCAGAGGATCCCAGAGCAAATCATTCAGTAGGTAATTATTTGAGCACCACACCTCTTTAATCCTGTAATCCCCTCCATATCTGATCCCTCACACCTGTCATTGTTTGACCTCCCCCCTCATCACTACCCTGGGAAAGTAGCTGTGCTCTGGGCCCCTTCTTGTCCTTCCCCTCAGGGAACGGTGCCTTTCCCCTCAAAGCAAAATTTAGGCGGGATAGCTAGGAGCCCAGGCTAGACTCCAGAGCCCCTTTAACATCTGCTATGTCTGTAATAGTGTTGCGTGTTTCCCTTTGTACAGAGGAAAATGCGGATCTTTCCTTCAATGACACCCCACGTATACTAGGGTGGTCCCTATGTAGAGCCTAGGTGTGTAGTAGGCCCTACCCCCTAGGTTTGGGGAAGTGCACTCTGTGGTGTTCCCAAAATGACAAAATCACCCAGTGATACATTTCCCAGAAATGACTCATGATGTCCGCATGTATTTGTCAATTTATTTGCATTTCCTCTACCTTATAGCCGAAGCAGATTTTTGTGAACTAAACTCAGACTCACTCTTCACACTGCTGGGAGCCTTGGAACATACTTTTTTAATTTTTTTATTCTCAGAGGGCAGCCAAAATAACATAAGCTTCACTTCTTTTTTCTTCACCTCCTTCCTGCCCCCTCACATACATACAGACATAGTCTTTCTGCAGGTTTGAGAATTTGGCTAAATGTTAGCTCTGGGTATTTAACTTAATCTTTAAGTGGTGAAATATTTTCCTAAACCAGCTGGATTGGAATTTTCTTGTTCTGATGAAGGGAACATATTGAATATACAGGTGTGGTTCAGGGTGCTTTTGAAGATTTGGGGTGCCTATTGAGTGGTGACGGCCACTCACTCTGAGTGGAGCTGAGAACTAAAGAGATCCTGATCTAGAAGACCACGGAATTTTCTTTCTTAAAAGTGTAAGGTCTATTGGTTTGGGGCTTGTTTGCCTGCTTGTAACAACATCCAAACCTTGGGGAATGTGTGCTGTATGCCAGGCACTGAACTGGGCACTGCCATATACCAACTGATTTAAGCCTCATCCCATTTGCAGGTGAAGGAATCCACTGGTTAGTGGTGAGGCCAGATTCCACACAGGTTGGCTAACTTGGATTCTGCATTGTAAACCACTATGCTGGCCAACCTCCTAAATCAGATCTCTGGGTGATCTAACATGACTTCCTTCTCCCCACCCCCACCCTGCCAAATTAGCTATTAGCTGAAAGGCCAAAGTAACCTCCCAGATGGCTTTCGGGCCCTATGAAAGACCATGGGCTCAGTGTGTTGTGTGCTCCTGCACCCCTCAGTTTCCACAGGTGCACGTGGGCTTCACTTGGGCATCTCCCCGGCATCTTTTGGTTTGATTTCTTGGTATTTCTGAATCTCCAGTAGAAGACAACATTATTGTAATAATAATTTATTCAGGGTATATTTATGTGCTACCAAATTCAAAAGGTGACAAAGGAAGGTTAAAAAATGGCCAAGGAGGGGCCTCCCCGGTGGCGCAGCGGTTGAGCGCTGGGTTGCGAAGCTGCCCGCAGCCTCTGCAGCGCCGGTTCGATCCCCGGCTGCTCCCCAGCCACCGGAGGAGGGTCCCACATGGCGCGCAGACCTCTCCTGCCGCCCGCTGCTCCCCTCAGCAGCGTACTTCGGTCCTTCTGCCTGTTCTGCTCCCCACTCTGACTCTGGTGAATTCTCTCACCCTCCCGCGCTTCTGACTGTACCCAGTGCATGTATAAACAAAACAAACAAACAAACAAATAAATAAATAAAGCATGCCTCTATTTAAAAAAAAAAAAAAAATGGCCAAGGAGCTCTCCTCTTGCTCCAGTCACAGACAGCCTGTCTCACCCACAATCAACTGCTGTCATTCATATCTTGTGTGCCATTCCAGCAGCTGTGTATAGTTATGTGTGTGTACATGCTTTTGTTTTTACGCAATTGAGCCATAAGATTTCTTACTATCTGACATAGTTTATATTGGTTTATAGTCTTTGTCTGTCACTATCATGTGAGCTTCTATTTTGTCTGTTGTTGTGCTCCCAGTACTTGCAACAGTGCCTGGGGCATAGTAAGTGCTCAATAAATATTTATTTAATGCAAAACACTCAGTAAGCTAGGAGTAAAAGGAAACAATCAACTTGATAAAGGCCATCTACAAACCCCCTCACAGCTAACATTATATTTAATGGTGCAAGACTGAAAGCTTTACCCCTAAAACGGGGAACAAGACAAAAACATCCATTCATTCTAGTCAACATTGTCCTGGAGGTTCTAGCCAGGACAATTAGGCAAGAAAATGAACAAAAAGCATCCAGACTGGAGGGGAAGAAATAACACTATCTTTACTTGCTAAAACACAGTCTTGTCTAAACAAAATCCTAAGGAAGTCGTACACAAAACTGTTAGAATTTAAAAACAAGTTCAACTAGGGCATAGGATATGAGATCAATATACAAACATCAATTCAATTTTATACACTAGAAATGAACATATGAAAATGAGATAAAGGAAACAATTTCTAAAGGATCAAAAAGAATAAAAAACATAGGAAGTTCTGTTTGCAAAACTAGTTGAGAGATTGCCAAGAAAGATGGTGAATCAGGAAGGTTCTCTTAGGGTTTTAAAGGTCATTAAATGTTTAAATGAAGTTCATCCATTGATCATGTCTACACTTGGACTAGCAAGCACAGATCTAGAGGCTGGGGAAATCAATGGCCTGGCATTAGGTCTCATGCATCAGATGGGCACTGTCAGGCTCATACAAACAGATCTAGATAAAATGAGTGGAATACCTATCGCTAAGTAACTGCAGCTCTGTGTTGTGTTTTCTTTTAGGAACCATCTACCTTGACCATGCAGGGGCCACCTTGTACCCCCAGAGCCAGCTCACCAGCTTCACAAATGATCTCATTGGAAATGTTTATGGTAAAGAAAAGCACATCATAACTGACTTTTCTTTATTGAACATTAACCAATTATTTCCAGTGGATGTGCCTATGTTTAATAAACATTGAACTAATAGACTGGGACTGCGTTGAATAAGCCACATGGAATGGGGAGGGGCCAGGTAAACACCTAGAGGGGTCACTCTATGTAATACTTGTGCTGCCAGGAGGGGAGTATTTGGCTTAAGGACACACAGGTAGCTTCCAGAAGAAGGGGTCAGTGTCAGGTACAAAGGTGCTGTGTTTGGTGGTAGGTTGACCTTGTGAGTATAGAAGGTGGGACTGCAGGAGGAACATTCATTCATTCATTCATTCACATAAATGTCTGTGAAGCCACTCTGGTGTGGGGGGCACCCTGCTGTGATAGGAACAAAGTAGATACAGTCCCTGCCCTCATGGACTGTGGTTTAGTCAAGACAAGACACTAATCGAGTGATAAACTACCACCCTTGTTAAGGGCTGTGAACAAAAGGGTTCTGGGCTCATGGGGTCTGTATCTACAGAGTATCAGGGAAATTTCCTTAGGTATGGGATATCCACCCCATGAGATGGGGCAGGAATTCACTTGGAAAAGAGGAGGAGAAGGGCATTCCAGAAAGAGGGAACAGTATGTGCCAAGACCCTGTGGTGGTTTCAAGAACCAAGCCAGGAACAGAGAGGAAGGGAGTAGAGCACTGGGGCTATGAATGGAGAGTAAGGCAGGCACATTGCTGGCATTCTGTAGAGTTGGATCTTTATTCTAGACAGGTAGACAGTCTTTGACGGTATTAATCAGCAATACAATATAATCAGGAGATAACCTTGGAAAGGCAGTTTAAAATAATAGCAGCAACAGTGAATGCAGATAAAATTAATAACAATAAATGACATCAGGAACTGTTCCAAATGCTTTATCTGTATTCTCTTTCAATGCTCAAGGCAAACTAAGACAGAGTTTCTGCATTTGACAAGCTAAGGTACAGGTTCTGTCATTATCCTGTTGTACAGGAAATGAAGTGGGGCCCCAGAGAATAAAGGTAACTAACCCGGGGCCATGCAGTCAGGAAGTATTGGAGCTGGCAGACCCTGGAGCTGAATGTCCAGGCAGTTGGGCTCCAAGCACTGGTCCTGAGCTCTAAGCAGTCTGCCTCTATTCGTGAGGATCTCAACGGTCCTGTAATGCCACACTAAGGCTTTGGGCAGCAAGTAGATATTTAAATCTGGGGAACTGTCTCTGGGGAAGATAACAGAGAGGACATTTATCTTGATTTTAATCTATGATTTGCAAAGAGACCTGCAATTCTCCTTCTCTAGCCTTTGCAAGAGTCCTAACCATATGGTTAGGACTGGCCTGAGAGATAATTGGAGACTGCAGGTGGCAATGAGTAGGTAGCCAGTCCCACAGGTTGCTAGCTGTTGTGGCAAAAGAACATTGATAGGTTTAATGAACAGGCACCAGTGTGGTTTAAAGAAAAAAAAATTCTTAAAACAAAGAAGCCAAGACCACGCAAATGTGCATATTTGGTTCTACCCCTGAGAATGCTAGCACCCAGCCCTACCTGGTCAGGCCCCTCGAGAGGTCTGTTTTCATTTATGGGGCCTAAATTTTGAGGGAGATGGTACTCTGGTACTGGGGGGCCAGGAGGGAAGAACAACAGTTGACAAAGGAAGAGCCTTTGGCCTAGAGAGTGGGTGGCTAAGGGAATGGGTGGCCCCTGTCACATATTTGGTGGAGGACAGAAATGTGTTTCTGCAGTAACTGTGACAGTAGCAAAGGCATGAACACAGTCTAGTCGCAGCTCTCATGGTCAGGGAAGAGTCAGCCTCTTGAGGTTGTGTACCCGATTCCCTGGAGTTCAACAGAACACACCTGGCTACCTGTCAGGCATCTTGCACAGAAGGGTCTTGTATTAGCTTGGCTGCCTCTGGGCAATTTTCATTTGCAGAAAGCTCTTCCCAGATCTCATCTTGTTTTACTGAAGAGCAAAGGGTTTCTTTAGTTTGCTTATTTAAAAGCTTTAGGGCCTCCCCTGGTGGCACAGCGGTTGAGCGCTGGGCTGTGAAGCTGCCCACAGCCTCTGCAGCGCCAGTTAGATTCCCGGCTGCCAGCGAGGGTCCCACATGGCGCGACAGACCTCTCCTGCCGCCCGCTGCTCCCCTCAGCAGTGTACTTCGGTCCTTCTGCCTGCTCTGCTCCCCGCTCTGGCTCTGGTGAATTCTCTCACCCTCCCGCGCTTCTGATTGTACCCAGTGCTTGTATAAATAAATAAATAAATCTAAAAATAAATAAATAAATAAAAGCTTTATTGATTGATATTTTACATACCATAAAATTTATGTAGAATTCATTAATTTTTACTTACTTTACTGAGTGGTGCAGCCACTGCTATAAATCTGTTAGAACATTTTTTTAAGATTTATGCATGCAAGAGCTGGGGTACAGGCCAGAGAGGCAGGGGGTGAGAGGACTCACCAGAGACAGGGTGGGGAACAGAAAAGGCAGATTGACTGAAATACACTGCTGAGGGGAACAGTGGGCAAGACAGGAGAGGTCTACTGCGCTATGTGGGTTGCTCCCTGGGCGGCCGGGAATCAAACTTGTATGGCAGAGGCTGTGGATAGCTTCATAGTGCGGTGCTTAACCCCTTAAGCCACCAGGGAGGCCCTGTTAGAACATTTTTATTCCCAGTAAGATTTCTGATTCCCAGTTATAATCAATGTCTGTTGCTCCAGCAGCCCCAGGCAAACATGGATTTACTGTTTTCTCTATCTCTATACAATTGCCTCTGCTGGACATTTCATATAAGTGGAATCATATGCGACCTTTTGGGTCCGGCATCTTTATTTAGCATGGTTTTGAGTTTCGTTTATGACATAGTCAGTGGTTTCTTTCTTTTTATTGAGGGACAATTTTCCATTGTAAGCATGTACCACATCTTGTCTATCTGTTCAAGAGCTGATGGATATTTATATTGTTCCCAGAATTTGGCTTTACAAACAAAAATGTTACCAACATTCACAAGCATGAATCCTTGTGTGTATATAAGTTTTCATGTCTTTTGAATATATATCCAAGAGTGGTGTTGCTGAGTCATATGGTAGTTTTATACTTAAAAAAATTTTTTTTAAAGGTCTATTCATGCATGCAGGAACTGAGTGTACAGGCCAGAGGTATGGGGGGTGAGAAGATTCACTAGAGACAGAGTGGGGAACAGAACAGGCAGATTGACTGAAGTACACTGCTGAGGGGACCAGAGGGCAAGTCAGGAGAGGTCTGCTGTGCCATGTGGGTTGCTCCCTGGCCGGACGGGGATCGAACTTGTGCTGCAGTAGCGCAGACAGCTTCATAGGTTGTGTCTTAACCCCCTGAGTCACCAGGGAGGCCCCCTTTATACTTAACTTTTTGAAGAATGAAGAGAGGGTTCTGGAGGAAAGAGGAAGACACTATCAATAGTTACTCAACAGCTCTATCTTTGTAACCTGGCAGGTAATCCTCACAGCCAGAACATAAGCAGCAAGCTCACCCACGACACTGTGGAGCAGGTGCGCTACAGGTGAGTGGCAGGAGCAGGTCTCATGGGCACTGCTAGGTGGGTGGACTTCCTCCTACGACTGCCTGCATCCCATGGACATTTTGAACTGGTTCCTGGAAGATCACATTCAGCTAAATGGCCACACATTCACAGTGACAAACATCAGGGGCGGCAGATAGGGTGGCGAGAGTGAGTAGGTGCAGAGCAGGATATCATGGATAGGATAGGTGTGCACAACCTACTGTGACTCAGGACTTGTGCCAGAGCTCCTGGGGCCAGAGTGACAAGACCAACCAGCTTCCTAAGTCTTGTTTTCAGAAGGAAGGAAAGCAGTTCTTCTAGTTTTTTTTCCTATGTTTCACTGGGCCTCTTGTGTTATTCATGTCCCTCCTTTTACTGATATTTGCATGTTAATAGCTCTTTATATTTTTTCACATGTAATAATTCATTTTTGGCAAATAATTTGTAATACCTGAAGTTACTTAAGTTGATGCAATTTCAAATTATTTCCAATTTGGAAGTGCTACTGTTTTGCTGTAGGATGCCAATACGTAAAGTCAAGTGAAACAAGCTGATCACAGCATCTGTTATGACAGCCAGAGAGCAGACCGAGGAAAGGTATTTGCAACTAAAGTTAGGGTAGGTGGAGTTTTATCTTCCCCAGATGGTGATAGGGACTTGGGAGACAAGGTTATTTTCTTCTGCCCCTGCCCTAACTTCATCATTGTGGTAAAGTCTATCTGGACTCCCCAAAGTCTTTGTCCCCATCTCCTTCTACAAAATATTTGGCTTCCCCACTGGCCTGGGTGCTGTGCTGGTGAATAATCAGACAGCTTCTCTGCTGAGGAAATCTTACTTTGGAGGAGGCACGGCCGCTGCATACCTAACTGCAAGGCTAGACAGATATCATATTTGGTGGAAATACAAATGCTTCCAAACATGTAGCACTGGACTGAGTCCAAAGAGTCGCCATGATCTGTGCTTCTTCCAGGATCCTGGCGCACTTCCACACCACCCCAGAGGACTACAGTGTGATCTTCACATCTGGGACCACGGCTGCTCTCAAGCTGGTGGCAGAGGCCTTCCCATGGGTGCCGCATGGCCCAGAGAGCAGTGGGAGTCAGTTCTGTTACCTCACCGACAGCCACACCTCTGTGGTGGGCATGAGGGAGGTCACCAGAGCCATGGGCGTCCCGTCCATACCCCTCAGCCCAGAGGACATGCGGTTGGCAGAGAAATGGGGTGTGGCCACCAGGGACCCTGACTGCCAGGTTCCACATCTCTTCTGTTACCCAGCTCAGAGTAACTTTTCTGGAACCAGATACCCCCTGTCCTGGATACGAGAGGTCAAGTCAGGGCAGATGTGCCCTGCGAATGTGCCTGGGAAGTGGTTCGTGCTGCTGGATGCAGCCTCCTATGTGAGCACTTCGCCCTTGGACCTGTCGGTTCACCAGGCTGACTTTGTCCCCATCTCCTTCTACAAGATATTTGGCTTCCCCACTGGCCTGGGGGCACTGCTGGTGAATAATCAGACAGCTTCTCTGCTGAGGAAATCTTACTTTGGAGGAGGCACGGCTGCTGCATACCTCGCAGGAGAAGACTTCTATATCCCAAGGCAGTCGGTGACTGAAAGGTAACCTCAGGATGGGAGCAGCTGGCATGTACCACCTGTAGGATTGTGCAAGGGGCCAGGGCTGGGCTCCCGGGTCAGGGGAGAAGGCTATTGTTGGCAGGGATGGAGGCTGGCGGCAGGACTGAGATCTGAAGGCAGAGGTCGGCTGAGGTGTGCCAGGCAAGGTTCAGTGAACTCTGATCACTTCTCCACAGCCGTGGCAGGACAAGGGCCTGCAGATAAGGGCTGTAATAAGGGGAGGTAAAAGGCCTTGAAGGGAGTAAAGTGGGCAGGCCACTGGGCCCACAGCACTGAGAAATAGCAGGAATTAAAGTGGTGATTTTTAAAGATGGTGCTATTTGGAACAAGTTTGCACACATGTTGATAGCACAACTGGTTTTTCAGCTTGGCACCTCGTTAGCAAGGACCAATTAAATCAGAGACCCCCAGACTTGTGGGACATTCTTAATAGCAGGCTTCGTGAATTACATAGCAAGTTTGAGGGTAGGCAGCTATTTGCCCTCAAAGAACTTAGGCTTCTGCTTGAGTGTGTTGGGGTGTGTGTCTTCCTCAGGTTGCAGGGACAGGTAGTGTAGGTCATGCCCAGAAATCTGAGGGATGGTCATGTGTGAGGGTAAAAATGGCAGCTGACCTAGGAGCTTGTCACCCTGCTGGTGCCTGAGAAGGCCTAGGGATCTGGATCCTTCACAGACCCAGGTGTAGACTCAAGGGTCCTATAGATGGGGCCATGACCTTGATGGTAGAGTCAAGGCCCCAGAGTGTAGACCTAGAGTGGGACTCCTGGGGATGAACCTTAGCAGACAGGCCATGGAAATGGGCACATGTGAATTGATCTCTGCACCTTATTTTTTTCTTCATAAGTGAGTTTCTAAAAGGATACCATTCTTTAGAGCTAATATAGGTGAAGCACCAAGATGGAGGTGGCATAAATATGTGTTATAGGCTACTTGAAGTCTCTTTTATTTAGAACTTCTCCGCAGATGGGTTTTCTATAACAGAAATGCTAATGTAAAGCGTTTTGAATCCAGGTGTCAAAATACAGCATTTAATATGATCAAGAACAGAATGACAGGACACAACATCATATAAATTAAAAAGAAAAAAAAAGATAACTCAAGCTTTATTTAGCTAATAGGACCACCTGAAGTCTGAGAGAAGGGGTGCAGCTCAATACAGGCAAGATGTGGTTGGACAGCTGAGCAGGAGCATACTTCTTTTTCTCTCTTTTTAAAATATTGAACAACAGTACTTTTTAACTTTTTTTGAGGTAACACTGATTTACAGCACTGCGTATGTTTCAGAGGTATAGGGTCACACTCCTCAGATGTATGTTACCACACCACACACACCACCAAGGCACCCACCCATAGTCCTCCCCATAGTCCTTTGGGGCCCTTACTTTTTGCTGCCCAACCGCACCCCCCCCCCTCAGACACACACACCACGTTTTTCTAATCCACTCATCTTTCTTTGGTCACCTGGGCTGTTTCCATAAATTGGTTATTATAAAAAGTGCTGCAATGAACATAGGAGTGCATATATCCCTTCTAATTAGTGCTTTTGCATTCTTTGGGTGGATACCTACAAGTTGAATTGCTGGATTGTATGGTAGATTCATTTTTTTATTATTTTTTTAAAGATTTATTTATTTATGCATACAAGAACTTGGGTACAGGCCAGAGGTGTGGGGTGTGAGCGGATTCACCAGAGACAGAGTAGGGAACAGAACAGGCAGACTGACTGAAATACACTGCTGAGGGGATCAGCAGGCAAGGCAGGAGAGGTCTGCTGCATCATGCGGGTTGCTCCCTGGCCAGGGATCAAACTCGTGCTGCAATGGCTGTGGATAGCGTCATAGGTTGCGTCTCAACCCCTGTGCCACCAGGGAGGCCCTGGTAGATTTATTTATTTATTTTAAATTTAAATTTTACTTTTATATTCCCCATACAATTACAACCCCTTTATTTTGACCCCAATCCCTCCTTTCCCCGCCCCCCACACCCCCCATAGAGTGTCTCTGGTTCATAGTTGTTTGTTGATTTTGATATTTTCTTTCTTATAGTTATTCTCTTTCCTGGTCCCTTATTTAAGTTTTCTAGATTCCTGCTGTGAGTGAGACTATCTGGTAGATTTATTTTTAGTAGTTTGAGAAGCCTCCATAATTTCCATAGCGGCTGGACCAGTCTGCATTCCCATGTACACTCCTTTTGCTCCACATCCTCACCAGCACTTGTTATCTTTTTATATGGGCCATTGTGACAGGTGTGAGACCATAGCTCATTGTGTTTCGATTTGCATTTCCCTGATGATAAGTGATGATGAACATTTTTTCATGTGTCTGTTAGTCATTTGTCTTTCTTCTTTGGAGTATCTCTTTGGCTCTTCTGTCCATTTTTTGATTGGGTTATTCATTTTATTTTTGTTGAGTTCTTTGTCAATCTTGGATATCAGCCCCTTGTCAGATGTATGATATGCAAACATTTTCTCCCATTTAGTAGGGTGTATTTTTATTTTAATGTTCATTTCTTTTGCTGTGCAGAAGCTTTTTAGTTCGATGTTGTTCCATTTGTTTATATTCTCTTTTGTTTCTCTTTCTTTTGGAGACAAACCCACAAAGACATCACTGAAGCCAATGTTGTGGAGTGTTTCGCTTACATTTTCTTCTATATGTATTTTATGGTTTCCAAGTCTCTAATCCATTTTGAGTTAATTTTGGTATATGGTGTGAGATAGTGGTCTAGTTTCATTCTTTTTTTTTAATCTTTTTTTTAAAATTTATTTATTATTTACTTATTTATACAAGCACTGGGTACAGTCAGAAGCGCGGGAGGGTGAGAGAATTCACCAGAGCCAGAGCAGGGAGCAGAGCAGGCAGAAGGACCAAAGTACACTGCTGAGGGAGCAGCAGGCAGCAGGAGAGGTCTGCGCACCATGTGGGACCCTCCTCTGGTGGCCGGGGAGCAGCTGGGGATCAAACCGGCGCTGCAGAGGCTGCTGGCAGCTTCGCAACCCCGCGTTCAACCGCTGCGCCACCGGGGAGGCCCTAGTTTCATTCTTTTGCATGTGGCTGTCTAATTTTCCCAACACTATTTTTTTTGAGACAGTAATTTATTTTATATATTTTTACATCATTTTTCATTTTTGCACAATGTATGCATTTTCATCTTCGTTATAGTCCCCATACAATTCCCACCCCCCTTATTTTGACCATAATCTTGCCAACACTATTTATTAAACAGTCTTTCCTCTCTCCAATGTATATTCTTGGTTTCTTTGTTGTAGGTTAACTTTACATATAATTGTGAGTTTATTTTGGCTCTAAATTCTATTCCATTGGTGGTGTGTCTATTTTTATTCTAGTACCATACTGTTTTGATCACTATAGCTTTGTAATATAATTTGAAGTCTTGATGTATGATTCCGCTGTTCCTTTTTGTCTGGATTGCTGTGGCTATTAGGGCCTTTTGTGGTTCCATATGAATTTCAGTAACGTTTGCTCTATTTTTTTGAAGAATGCCATTGAAACTTGATAAGGATTGCATTAAATCTCTATATTGCTTTGGGTAAAATGACCTTTTTAATAATATAAATTCTTCCATTCCATGGACAGGGAATACATGTCTTTCTTTGTGACTTCTATTTCTTTGAACAATGTCTTACAGTTTTCATTGTACAGGTCCTTCACCTCCTTCTTAAGTTTACTCATAGGTATTTAATTCTTTTTGATGTGATTGTAAAAGGGATTTTCTTCAGTCCTCTTTCTTTGGTTTCAGGTGGGTGCTTTACAGCAGGTGCTGCACTAAGATTCCCAGAATGCAGATTGTATTTGCTTCAAAGTCTAATTTTCCTTTTGTCAACTTAGGACTAGATCTTAAGAGATTTAATACTAACCCAAATGTTTATTGACTATGCTCTTGGACCTTATTTTTTAATCTTTTCTATTTTGTAACCCAAATAAGATACATTCTTGATGGAAACCACAAGACCTCCCTTTCCCAAGGAATCTATTACTTATTGACTAATAAATGTCTATTATTATTGATCAGTTAATAACAAGTCATCATTGGCTAATACTGTTTAATTTATTAAAGATTAAAATTATTTGTTAATTCATCAGTGATTAATCAACTAATAATTGATTATCTTTAATTCTATGTCTATTAATTGCCATTAGTAATACTGTAGTAACAGTATCTTGAACAAATCTTATCCCTAGAGTATTAAAATACAAAGAGAAATATTTCCATTATAAGCTTTAACCTGGATAAGGCTGTTTATCACCATTCTTGTGCTTCGGAAGCATCTTAGATGCTTCTGAAACTTCTTCACTATCTCCCCTCTTCCCCCTTACCCTTCCAGCAGCCAGGGAGGTCTTGTCAAAGCCTGAGTCCATCCTGTCCATCCTCTGTTCAGAGCCCTGGAGGCCCTTTTCTCATCCAGTGCTGCGTTCTCTGACTTGATCTACCAGTTCTGAAACCTGGGCACTTTCCTTTGAGTACTTGACGCATAGGCTTTGGAAGCACCTGAGGAGCGCCTAATGCCCGAGTCCTGACAGCTTTGAAAGTAAAAGTGTAAGACAAATCAGTCATTCATTGCTTTTACCTTTGCCCTGGCAGGTGTGGCGGTACATACGGACTTGGTCAGGTTGAAGCATGACTTGGGGGAGAGAGAGGAATGGCTGCAAGCAACCGCGGGGCTACAGAACACCCCACGGCGGGTCTGTGCTACTGCCCGCGAGGCCAGACCCACGCAAGACCCCAGGCGGCCGCGCACCTGCCTTAGACTGGTTAAGAGCCTCACAGCAGCGGCCATTGATCACACTGATTGGTTGCAGTGAGGGTAGTGCCCTCTTGCGGTCGAGGACAGCATTTCAAGAGCCCACAGCACTTTGAGGTTTTATCAAGTCTGCGGTCTTCCTAGAGGCAAGGCAGGATTTCTCAAGGTGGTCAAGACAGTTAGGATCTTTTATCATCTCTGCGGCCCATTCTGAGAAAACTGCTGAGCGATCAGAGCCAGATGCAGGCCTGTATGTGTAGAACTCTTTGTCTTGAAAGGGAGCACGATAGGGGATGGTATTGATAGATTATGGCTAAGTCTAGGTTCAAAACCTGGTTACATACTCAAAACACACATGGAGGTCCTGGCCATACCTTGACCTTGTTCCTTCCTGTGGTTGCAGGTTCGAAGATGGCACCATCTCCTTCCTTGATGTGATAGCACTTAAACATGGATTTGATGCCCTTCAGCATCTCACAGGTCAGTGGACATTTCTATACATCTGTATTTTCCTTTAACCATCAAAAGGTCTAAAGTACTTGAATGTTTAAGTAACATTATTTAAAAAAAAGAGGATGGCTAGAATTCCTATGGGAAGATTCCACAGAGACCACAATGGCAAACTGTTGTTCAATACCAAGGACAATGTCTAGTCTGTGTGCATTTGCAATATAATATTTACCTGTATTTAAAATCATTACTATAGGGAGCCTCCCCCGGGGCAAGGGGATGGGATGCAACCCATGAAGCTATTGGTAGCCACTGCAGCACCAGTTCGATCCCTGGCCAGGGAGCAACCCACATGGTGCAGCAGACCTCTCCTGACTCGCCTGTTGCTCCCCTCAGCAGTATATTTCAGTCAGTCAGCCTGTTCTGTTCCCCACTCTGTCTCTGGTGAATCCTCTCACCCCTGCACCTCTGGCCTGTACTCCAGCTCTTGTATGAGTAAATAAACAAATCTTTAAAAAAAATAAAATCATTACTATAAAGTTCAGGATTAGCAATTATCATGATCTTGTTTTCTTAAAAACAAGTGAGTGAATTTTACATGAAGTTTATGACTCTCATTGATGTTTCATAATTGTTTTTGAGGTGGAATGGAGCATATAAGGCAGCACACCTTTACCTTGACGAAGTATACCTACGCCGCCCTGTCTGCTCTCCGGTACCCCAATGGAGCCCCTGTTGTGCGAATTTACAGTGATTCAGAGTTCAGCAGCCCGGAGGTTCATGGTCCAATCATCAATTTTAATGTGCTTGATGACAATGGGACCATCATTGGCTACTCCCAGGTGGGTTTTCTTTTCACCTTGCTGACCTGTCCACAACAGAATCTCTCCTCTGTAACTCTGCAGCCTTCCTGAGTCCTGAAGTTTGCAATGAAAGCCTCTGGTGTCCTTGCAGGACTATGAGAAAGCCCTTACTCCATGGGCGCTACTGCTGGCCCTAGGGAAGGCACTCTTTGCTCTTATTCACATCCAGTTCTAAGGAACATGCCTATTTAGTTCTTCAGCCCTCATTCTGCAGTCATGAGTGGTCAGTTTCAGATGGGGAAAAAGTCTATTCACTGATAGCAGTAGATGGGGAGAGCTGACAGCTTCCTAGCAAGGGAAGACATCCCAAAATGATGTAGACAGAAAAACAGTGTAGACAGAACACCACATCTGTGGTCATTTCATGCACAAACAGGTGGGTGGACCCAGTAATACCATAATACCCTTGGTATTATGTAAAATCATAGGCCTGCTGACATCATTTGTTTGCTTGCTCTGAATTGAAAGGACTTGGTAGATTGGTTGTAAAATATATCCTTTGTATGTGTTTTCCCTTGGAAGCTATGCAAATAGTGGTTTGCAGACTGGGAAATTGCTTGAGATCTTCCATAATTGACTAAGCTGCTCACATTCCATTCCGTAAGAAAGTTCAGAGTTGTACCAAGAGCTCAGAAATGGTGGTGGCAGGTGATCACCAATTGGAGTGTTACCGACTGGTCATAGGAAAAAACCTTCCCAGAGTGTTGGGAGGGAGCAGATCTGATTGTCAGATAAGTTCGGAAGATAGTGCTCATCTTTTCCTGAAAACCACCATTGCCATTCACCTTATTAAGCCTTGAATTTCTCAAGCAAAATCCCTTTCTCAAGGAACCATGTTTCCCCGCATCTTCTGTGTACCCATAAACTTCCTGAGGAACAAACAAGAGAAATATTCTCCTGGGGGAAATGTCAGTTCTCACCAGTAATGAGGGGTGATGCTCTACAAACACAGGTGTCCCTTAATTGTGCACACCCCCCCTTAGCTATACACCTGCAGAAGAGGCCTAGACATTGCTCAGGAGTGTGCAATTAAAAAATTTTTTTTGAGTGGGGAAGGTTGGAAAACGCAAGGGAGACAAAAGGTTTGCCTTCTAAAATATAATTGGAGAAATAAATTTCTTTTTTTTAAAGATTAATTAATTTATGCATACAAGAGCTGGGGTATAGGCCAGAGATGCGGGGAGGTGAGAGGAGTCACCAGATACAGAGTGGGGAGCAGAACAGGTAGAGCTACTGACTCACCCACTGCTGAGGGGAGCAGTGGGTGAGTCAGGAGAGGTCTGCTGCACCATGTGGGTTAGCTCCCTGGCCAGGGATCAAACCTAGTCTGGAGTGGCTGCTAATAGCTTCTTTAACCCCTAGTGCCACCAGGGAGATCCCATAAGTTTCATTTTTGAACCTAAATAAGTTTGATTTTCTGAGAGGGTTGGATGGGGCAACAAGTGAAATGCAATAAGCTATGGCAGGCAGAGTGGGGAAAGAATTCCTCATTAGCCCTGAGCACCCTCAAAGAGAAGGAATCTCCCAGGCAGAGAACTGCCTGTCCATGTGCCTGACTGAGCTCACCAAGGACACAGGACACATTTCTCCCTTTGTATGTTTGCAGAAGCTCCTTGCATGAGTGGAATCTGGGGCTACTTCATGGTGTGGGAGTTCTACAGGGATTTGGGAGGACTTTGGAAAAATAATATGGCATCATAGTTGGGTGTGGTTGTTTCTTTTCCAAAGGATGTGTGAAAGAATTTCTCCTTCTAGGTGAAGGCTCTAGGTTCTTTTTTTAAAAAAAGATTTATTTATTTATGCATACAAGAGCTGGGGTACAGACCAGAGATGTGGGGGGTGAAAGGATTCACTAAAGACAGAGCAGGGAACAGAACAGGCAGACTGACTGAAGTACACTGCTGAGGGGAGCAGTGGGTGAGTCAGGAGAAGTCTGCTGAGCCATGTAGGTAGCAACCTCGCTGGCCGGGGGATCGAACTCATGTTGCAGAGGCTACAGAGGTTGCGACAGCTTCATAGGTTGCGTCTTAACAACTGTGCCACTAGGGAGGCCCCAGCTCTATTGTTTCTGATACCCAGGACTCCTAATTTCATTCTCCCCTCTGGCGGGAGTCACTCTACACTGTGGTTAAGAGTGTGACTTCAAATTCTGACTGCCCTCTTGCTGTGAAGTTGGGCAAGTAAACTTAAAACTTACCAAGGATAACAGTGTCTCCTGCTGACAGTGCTGTGATGAGGCTTGAATGAGATGCAGTACAGGCCCCCTTAACCCAGGGCAAGTATGGAGCAAGTGTTCCGTAAACACTGAGCACAGAGGCTCCTGGCTGGGAGGCTGCCTATGGTCAGGCCCGTTCTCACGTGCTCATCTCCTGCAACAGCCCCTTCCCTCACCTGGCTGGGCACAGGCCATACCCGTGTGTGGTTCTGCAGGGCCAAGGGTGAAAAGGAGCCTGGGTCCTGAGGGGAAATTAGGAAGAAGAGTATAAGTGTGGCCGGAGCAGCAACTCTTCTGGAATCTCTGTGGGTTTGTGACTCTCAGTAAAATGTCATCGAAGGTGATGGTTTGTGAGTCTAAGTCTGAAAAGACCCCCAATGTCAGCATTGTTCCCTGGGGCGCTCACTTTTGGAGCCTTGGGTGACTGTTTGAAGTTCTACCTTGAAACTGCCATCCTGAGTGGAAACCAGTCACAGGCACTGGGGTGGCCATCCATTGTGAGTCCTCCTGCCAGGGGCCCAGGCCCCCGTGAGTAAGTGAGTCTCCAGGTGATTCCCACCAGCTCTCACTCCAAGACTTAGAGTCTTCCTGATGAAACTTGGGAAATCATGGAACAGCATTTCTGTGACCTTCCTGAATTCCTGACCCTCTGTAGCTGTGAGTGCAATAAAATGGTGATTATTTTATTCCACTAAATTTAGGAGGTTTGTTTCCCAGCAGTGGTAACTGCAAGATGGATACGGGGTAGGTTGGGGGAGAAGGGTAGTGTGGTAGGTAGATTTCTAATACATCTTGGCAGGAATTGGGGTGCAGGAAGTAAAGAGGGCTTCTCTAGGAAAGGAAACTACTGGACTCTGAAGATAGGGTTGGCCAGATCTAGTGGTGCTGCAAGGTTGTACCTCAGAGAGCCAGGAAATCCCTGAAATTTGTTAGTTGGCTTCCCTATCACTGAGCTGTCAGCCAAGGGTGAAGGAGCAGAGTTGCTTTCCTCAGTTCAACACAGAGAATGGCTTCTTCTCACTCTGACAGTCCAGAGGAGATGGCTGAAGTGAATTCAGCCTGGTCTTCACAAGTGTGTGGAGGAGGCACCATTGTTTCCTCATGCCCAGCAGGAAGCCGGGCTGGCTGCATGGTGACCTTTGGGCAGCAGAGGGCACCACACTCCTCATGGCTGCTTCTGGCCACCCGGAATGTGACTTCCCAGGGAGAAAAGTTTCCAAGGCTTACCTGCCAGGCATGGTGTTGCTTTCCTGAGTTTAGCCTTCTGGGTTTAGCCTCCTGGGCTAAGAGGAGAGGAACTCTTTCAGGGGGTGTCCTGCCTCTCTTGGAATCCCCCATTCCCTCCCTCTGCCCCGAGGTGAGGCTTTTCACTTCAGTGTACTGCCTGTTTTGAACCATTTGATAAGAATAGTTAGAGTAGCAAAGGCCTTTGGGGGAATGGAGGCCTTGCCCCACAGCTGGAGATGATGGACAAATATCTCCGTGGGCAGCCCTACCTTTGAGCCTTGAGCGAGTGAGGATCCTTTCTCCCAACAGCGGTTTTGCGATTCTTCTCAACATTCACGACACGATGGAAGCAAATGGGTAGTGTGCAGTGTCCACACAGCAGTGCTTGCAGCCTGGGGCTCTGCTGCCCCGCAGCCATGGCCCACCTGCTCTCAGTTCCATTCTTCTCACTCTGGCTTGAAACGTGGTCTTTTCACTGGGAACTTGGCCTGACTTGGTATTTTCTCAAGCATATGCCTATAATCCAACTGCCTAAGTTCTGCCTCTCAGTAACATTTTATACAATGTGCTTTGTAGCATTGCAGAGCAAAACTCCAGGTTCACATCTTCATTTTATTGTTAAGAAAGAGGTTAAAATGTTAATCTGAAACTCCTCCCAGGAAGGGAGGCAAACTGGACAGTCCTAACACTGGTTCCATGTCATGTCATGTTAAACCCTCAGGTGGATAAAATGGCCAGTCTTTACAACATCCAAGTGCGAACTGGCTGCTTCTGTAACACCGGGGCCTGCCAGAGGCACCTGGGAATAAGCAACGATGATATCAAGAAGAATCTTCAGGTTAGTACATGTGGTCCCAACACTGGTCAGCGAGAACCAGTGGTGATGCCGCCAACTCCACTCAGGCCTGTCGGGTGAGGGCTGGTTCTGTGGGCCCGTATCTCTGCGCCATCTGTGATGTGCAGGGGGGAAGGAGTCTACTGAAATGGAACACCTTCAAGAGGGTGTCTCTGTGGCAGTCAATTTTTACTTTAAGAACACAAATGTAAAGCAGGAGAAGAGTTTTATTATTTCTATAATAAACTATTTTTTTCTTTATTGAGATCACATTGGTTTACAGCACTGTATATGACTTAGTTGAACAGGATCACATTCGATGAATGTGTCCACACCACCCCTACCACCAGAGCATCCATCGCCTTTACCTTTGGCCATTGGACACCATCTCTACTTTGTCCCCACTCCATCCCCCCTCCTCTTGTAGAAGCCTCAATAGAAGGAGAGTTGTAACAGGGGGCTGGCAAATGTGGGATGTGCTCATACATACATAGGACCTGTAACTGGTTCTTCCCCACTGGTAACATTTCCATGCTAGAGCTGGCTTATCTCTAGACAGGATGAGGAGAGGAACTCTTTCAGGGGGTGTCCTGCCTCTCTTGGAATCCCCCATTCCCTCCCTCTGCCCCGAGGTGAGGCTTTTCACTTCAGTGTACTGCCTGTTTTGAACCATTTGATAAGAATAGTTAGAGTAGCAAAGAGTCTGTATTTATTCCTGAATAGTTTCTAACTTGAGTTTCATTTTGGTTTCCACTAAATACTGTATATGCTGGACTCCAGTTAACCATTAGCAAGTGAACGTGCTAAATCAAACAAAACCAGCTTTTAGTCTGTAAGAACAAATTAGTGGTTTCCAGAAGGGAAGGAGAAGAGCAGTAGGTAAGTCAAGTGAAAGGGTCACGTGTATGCTGATGGATAGAAGCTGGAATTCTGGTGGTGAACATAAGGTAGTATATACAAATATTGATTTAAAAGACTGTACACATGAAGCCTTTACAATGCTACAAACCAATATTGGTTTGTTTAAAAAGAAAATAAAGAGAGAGGCTTAGAAAACAAACAAAGCTCCAGATATAATCTTTGATCCTGTGGAAGGCCTGGGGCTCTGTCTCTTGGGGTAACTGATCTGGTTCCAGCTCTGGGATAGGTGGGGGACCAAGGAGTGCCCTATACCAGCTCTGGGCTTAGGGAGGCTTGGAGGCCAGATCCTCCTATCTTTACCTCCTCCTGGCGGGGCACTTGTGCTGCCTTTGCCTTCGTGATGGCTTTGGGCCACCATGGAACATCCATGTGTGTCTTGCCTCTTATCAAGGAGTAATTCTCGGGTCTCCTTTCATTTCTGAGAGAGGCTAAAGGGAGTTGGCAGCATGTGTTGCTCCTGCCTCAGCCCTGGGCAAATCAGGACGCAGACCTCTTCATGCATCTGAAACACTGGTCTATCTTTGGACCCCTCTGTAGGTCAACACCATGCCCAGGTCTGGGTAATTGCTTTCCATGAAGTATTTCCTCTAAATTTTTTAATGACCTCATTAGATTGGTACTCACCTCAATGTACAGAGGAGCAAAGTGAGGTCCAGGAAGTGACCGTTGTCCTCGTGGAACTCATCTCAGTCACACAGCACATAGCAAGGGGGCAGTTCTGTTTTCCTGGGTTAATTTTGTTTTATAAAATTGTTTCCAACTTACCCATGGGAAGTGAGTCACTCTGGCTGACTTGTTTCCCTTTTATTCTAGGCTGGTCACGTCTGTGGAGATGAAGTGGATCTGATCGATGGAAAGCCCACAGGGTCTGTGAGGATTTCATTTGGATACATGTCTACACTGGAGGATGCCCAGGCCTTTCTCAGGTTCATCATAGCAACCCGACTGTGCCCATCCCATGGCCAGTCTCTCCTACAGGTCACCCCCAGGGAGGCTGGAGCCCCACAAGCCGAGGATAAGGCTGGGAACATATCTGCCACTGTGGACGGATCTAGTCCCTCATTTCAGGAAGACACCCCCACATACTCCCAGGTTTGGAACAACCCGCCCACTACTGTGGATGTGGTGGGTTTGCACCCACCTCTGTCTGAGGCTGTCAGAACCCAGGAGACTCCTTCAGAGAAAGCTCCAGGAGTCCCAGATAAGGTCCTCGGGACACACATCATCACCAACATTTATCTCTACCCCATCAAATCTTGTGCTGCATTTGAGGTAAGGGTTTTAATGGCAACAGAGACTTCGTCTTTTTTAAAAATTTACTTTAAAATACTATTTTGATAAAGTGGAAAAAAGTGCAGTGAAGAAAAATATGAAAAAAATCAAAATCTTATTCAGAGTATTATGACATACACTTGATCTTAGCCAAAAGACAGAGAAGTGATAGTACTGTGACATGAAGAACCATTTTAATTTTACCTTTCTTGGTTTGGGATGACTTTTGAATGTGTCTCTGCTAATGGGGACCTCTGAGAAGACTTTATTTCTGCGTGGTGAACACCTTGTTACTGTGATGAAGCAAGGAAGGCTGGGAAAAGAGCAGGTCAGCAGAGGAAGTGGGAGGTCATTGTTGCACACATAAGTTCTGGGTGCTTGTGAGTTTGTGGAGTAGGCAGATGCCTGTGTGAGTCTGCTACTTGTAATGCCTGTGAAAAACTGGCTCCCCTTATCCTCAGTGAATCCTTCTTTGCTCAACTTCCTTATGTAACCAGAATCTCACCTGCCCAGCTGAAAGCTCCATCTATACATCTCCAGTGTCTCTCTCTCTTTACACATACTTACTGGCTGAAAGCGTGGCTAAGACAAAGAGGAAAAGGAAGTAGGTAAATTAAATTTTTAGGTGACACATAAGATGATAGAAAACTATAGTCATGTTCTAACAAAAACTATCCAGAACTGTGAGGGGCTCTGAGATTTTTGTCTTCATCAAATTCAGTTAGCTTTTGTACTTGTAAGCTAACAGACTAGCTTGTCATAGTCTCATGGATGCTGCAAAACCATAAGACTCCTGTATCTAGAGAGAGGTCTTTGTTACTCATAACACAGCAGGCAGCATTTGTGTTAGTTCCCTTTGCTCCCAAGTCCAAGATGGGGTACAGAGGGGCCCAGGTGAATGCCATGCACAAGCTGAGGAACCCCTAGCTCAGGAACCTGATTCTTATAACAGGCTGCCAGTAAGCCTGCTAGGAGAAGACATTGTCTTTATAATATGGGTCTGTAAGCAAGTCTGCCTCCCACTCCAGAGGGCTTAGCAACTGTTTCCTATGCAAACATCCCTGATAAGACCATCTGGAACAAAAGGGCAGTTGATGCCTCTGCTCGGTTAAAATAGACTTGTGGAAAGATAAGAGAACCATGGAGAATTGCTTGTAGTAATAGATTGTCTTCTAAAGTGATTTCTTGTTCAAAACATGTTTCCTACCATAATTTAATGGTACTTTCTGAGCTTACCTTTTATGGTCATTATGACTTGTGGAAGTTTCTGGGCTTACTACCTAGTGTGGCTTATCTAAAGCATAATATTGCTGAGCTCTTATGCTGTACCAACAGAAGCAGCCATAACCTATGGAGAGAAGTTATTTGATACATAGGAACAATGAAGAGAGGAGATAAAGGGATTAGCCTCCATGGCTCATTTGCTATATTTTAGTTGTTTTATTTCATATTTCATTTTAGATTTCAGTCAATCATATGAGAACTGATAATAATTTACCTTTTATATATGACAAAGCCAAGACTTTGGAAGTTAAGTAAATTGTTTAAAATGAATGACTGACTGAGGAGGGACTTAAACCCAGATTTTTCAGTCTCCAAAGCCCCTGCCCCTGCACTACCACATTTCTGCTTCCTAGATACAAGGTGCCCCTTGCCTGAGCTAAGCTTATCTTTTCTTTCTTCCTCCTTGAGTTCTGAGCCTTTCCTTGTGCTCTGCAGCAACTCTGCTTCACTTTCCCTGGTGCCTCCACCTTCCCTGAGGTCCCCCACTGGAAGACTCACCCCAAAGTGCCCCTAGATTAAACACTGCTTCTCTTTCTTCATTACCCTCAACTGGAGTGTTCAGTTTCCTTCGGGTAGATGAAATGAGCACTCAGAATGGTGATCTCCTAAATATTTCAAAATTTGGGTCTTTCCCCTATACCCTTCTTCAGCAGACAGCTGGCTCCAGAAGAGCCCTCATCTGTGGGGCCTCTGTAGTTGTGCTCTGCTGCTGGTTGCTAGAGATTAACCTCGGACCAATCTCCTGCAAAGACTTGGTCAGATTTTATTGACATTTGCTTCATTTTTGCCTAGAGTCTTTTTTCTGCTCCAGGATCCCATCCAGGATGTCAGAGTACATTTAACTGTCTTGTCCTCTTATGATTTTTGGGGCTGTTCCAGTTTCTTAGACTTCCTTTATTTTTGATAACCTTGATGTTGGTTGGGCTAGAATGTTATAGAATGTTCCTCAATTTGGGTTTGACTGATGTTTTTCTCAGGATTAGACTGGTGGGATTCTTAGGAGGAAGCCCATAGAGGAAAGGCATTATTCTCATTATCTCGTGTAAGGTTACATCCTGTTAACACGACTTATCATCATTGATGTTAACCCAGATCACCTGGGTGAGATAGTACTTGCCAGTTTTCTTCCCTGGAAAGTCTCTTTCCCAACTGTGTTTTGGGGAAGCAAGTTGCTACATGTAATCCGCACCGAAGAGTATGGTTATGCGCCACCTGTATCTACATCAACTACTTGGGATTCTTCTATATAGGAAATTTGATTTTTCTCCCTATCTATATGCATGTAAGCATGTATGTATGTATATAGGTATTTATGTTAGTTTGGCCTCATGGACATTTAGTTTCTATTTATGGATTATAGTCCAATACTACAGTATTAATAATTTTGCTCAAATTGTTTCCATTTTGACCACTTTCAGTTGACTCCTGCATCCCTTGGACACATGCTCATCATTTGGTCATCTGAAAATTTCCTTACTCTTTTTGCACTACAAGGTGCTCCTGGCTTATCTTGTATAGTCCTTCACCTAGCCCTGGAATCAGACATTTCTCCAAGGAGTCCCAGTTCTTATTGAAGAATGGTATTAGAATAAAAGGTCTGGGCATTGGATATGTTTGTATGTTTGCAGAAATGTGAAGGAAATTTAAACACATTGAAAGTGAATCAACTCAGTGACCTTTATAGTGTGGCCCTAATTAATGCAAGAAATATGTCCATGTCTGTGCAGGGAGCTACCGATGTGGTAGGATACACAGAAAGCAGGAACCATGAAGACCGGTGGGGAGGCAGCTGAGAGACATATCTGTGCTTGGACTCTGAATGTTGTACCTTGCACACACATTACCCATTTAAAAAGCAGGTTGAAGTAGGAAAGGGTGAAAAATGAATCTGGAAGGTGAATGAAGGTTCCTAGATCCCACACTGTCTCCTCTGAATGGTCCTTTTCATTCTGCTTTATTCTTTTTTTCCTTCCTTTGTTCCTCCAAGAGTGTGTGCTGAATTGGTGAAGTCATCTGTGTTTGTGCAGTCCTTGTGTTAACAACGTTAAGATTGTTTTTGAAGAGCCTTGGCCTAAAATATATTTTCCCTTTTTCTTTAGGTAAAGACCAGTTGGCCTATAGGAAATCAGGGACTGTTGTATGATCGGAACTGGATGGTTGTGAACCACAATGGCATTTGCCTGAGTCAGAAGCAGGAGCCCCGACTCTGCCTGATCCAGCCTTTCATTGACTTGCAGCAAAAGATCATGGTCATCAAAGCCCAGGGTATGAAAACTTGATTGGTGTGTACAAAGCAGCAATGCAGAGTAGCCTTTGTATTCATATGAAAGTAAAACAATAGTGTGTCCCCTACCAAATATTAAAATAATTCTAAAGTAAGTGAAATGATGTCTAGCAGAGATTAAAATTTGTTCCCCCAGTTTTGAGAAATTTCTGGGTAAAGATCTGACAGTCATTTCAGAAAACAGAGAAATAATAGATTTTGATATTAGATGATGTCTTTTTACCTACATTCCTTTTATTTTTTCACTCATCATAAAATGTACTGCAAACTTTCATTCTTCCTTGTTGTTTGCTTTTTATGAAATATCTAACATATAAAACTATCTATACATAAAGTATAGACTAACTCTGTCCCATGGAACTTTTACGATGATGGGAGAGTTCAATACCTACCTTGTACAGCTTGGTAGCCACCACGTGTGGCTACAGGGCACTTAACTTGTGACTAGTGGGCCACAGGAATGAAATTTACAATTTAATTTAATTTTAATTAATTTTAAACACTTCTTGTGGCTAGTGACTCCAGTGTTGGATAGCACAGGTATAGAGAGCAATATAATACATAATGACAGCATCGAATTTTAACTCATCTTAACATGTGGCCCTATTTGTTTCAGATTCCTCCTTTTCCTCCCTTCCCCCACCCCCAATCCCCTGCCCTTTCATCTCTCATCTTTCTTCTTTTAAGAATACACTAGGGCCTCCCTGGTGGCGTGAGGGGTTAAACACCATACCATGAAGCAATCTGCAGCCTCTGTAGCATGAGTTTGAAACCCACATGGCGCAGCTGACCTCTCTTGTCTCACCCGCTGCTCCCCTCAGCAGTGTGTTTCACTCAGTCTGCCTGTTCTGCTCCCTGCTCTGTCTGTGGTGAATCCTCTCACCCCCCGCATCTCTGGCCTTTACCTCAGCTTTTCTATGCATAAATAAATAAATCTTTTTAAAAAAAGAATAAACATCCATGAATTTTTTTTAAAATAAATTTTATTTTTATATTCCCCATACAATTACAATCCCCTTATTTTGACCCCAATCCCTACCCTCCCGCCCCCCACCCCCCATAGAGTGTCTCTGGTTCATAGTTTTTTGTTGATTTTGATTTTCACTTTCTTATAGTTATTCATTTTCCTGGTCCCTTATTTAAGTTTTCTAGATTCCTGCTATGAGTGAGACCATCCGGTATTTTTCTTTTTCTTTTTGGCTTATTTTGCTGAGCATGATCCCTTCCAGCGCCATCCATGTTGCTGCAAATTGCATGTATTTATCTTTTTTGAATGCTGAGTAATATTCCATGGTGTATATGTACCACATCTTCTTGATCCAGTCATCTATTTTTGGGCATTTGGGTTAAACATCCATGAATTTTGTTGGGGGGAGAGTTGAGTTCAACATATATAAAAATCCCAGATTTTTTTTTTTGCCTTAAAATGATGCCTGACATGACCCTTTTTTAAATTTTATATATATTTTTACATCGTTCTTCATTTTTTTTCACAATGTATGCTTTCTCATCTCCGTTATAGTCCCCATGAAATTCCCACCACCAATTCACCTGTGTGCCATCACCATAGTCCCTTGTGCTCTGCCCACCCCTGTTTTGATCCTACTCCCTTCTACCCCCTTGCAGAACTGACATGACCCTTTATAAGGCAAGCGGGGGCCAGAGACCCTGAGTGATTCACCTAGAGACTCCAGTAAGGGCAGAAAGAGTCTGAGAATAGCTCTCCTACCAGCTGCTGATGGCACATTTGTGCCCTGGTGCTTGTCCTCATACTGTCTATCCCTGCTCAGCCATGGTTACCACATCATAACCAATGTCAAGCTCATTTTACTGTTCTCTCCTCTGGGTGCATACCTGGCATTTATCATTCTTCCATATACATCCTTTGACACAGCAACATCTATAACCACTCAGTACAGCATATTCCTTCTGTAAATTTCTGAAACATTCGGATCAATTCCTCTTCTGGCCTTCCCCATACAAGGACAGGGCTGTGGAACTGGCTATTCATGTGTAAGATGCAGAGAAGCAGGGGAATAGTTCATGGAATAGCTGTGACACAAATTGTGGCTTCACTGACTTTGCTGTAGTGAAAGGTCTGTGGTGATGGGCACAGGTCTGGGCAGCAGGTGTGATCTGAAACTCCCGGAATAGATGGACCAGAGTGCTGTGCTGTGCTGTGTGTGATGAAGCAGGACCGGGATGAGAAGCGATGCAGGTGGGACTGACATGTGGTTGCCTGAGGGACAGGTGGGGTCCTGACTGGTAGCAGTGCTGAGAGAGCTGGAGGGCACAGGTGGGTCACACGGGAGGAGGTCCTGCTTCTGGTGTCCACAGAGAAGGGGCCTCCACAAATTCTGTTGAGGGTCTAGACTTCATGCCTTTCCCCAAACTTTTAATGACTCACAGTAGATAAGGTATACAGAATAGCAGGGACCTCCGCAATTTCAGCTTTTATCATATGTCTTTCTTTCCTAAATAGGATTGGATCAGTTTCCTTTAGTTTTGCCTACATATTTCACTCTAATCTTTAAAAAGTGAATATCACTTTTGCTGGGAAGTGGGTACATGAGTATTATTATTCTTCAGACTGTTACTCTGGGGGCCTCCCTAGTGGCACAAGGGGTTAAAGACACAGCACTATTAAGCTATTGCTGGCCACTGCAGCATTATTTCAATCCTGGCCTGCCAGGGAGCTGACCCACATGGCGCAGTGGACCTCTCCTGTCTCGCCCCCTGTTCCCCTCAGCAGTGTATTTCTCTAGATCTGCCTGTTCTTCTCCCCATTCTGTCTCTGATGAATCCTCTCACCCCCTGCTCCTCTGGCTTGTACCCCAGCTCTTGTATGCATAAATAAATTAAAAAAAATAAACTGTCACTATGAATGTTATATACTTCTTTAGATGTATGGTACATATGTCATACTGTTAGCTTTGTTGTGAGAATGATGATTGATGCAGGAGTTTAATTTGATGCTGACTCCTAGGGGCTACTGAGAATTGACAGTCTACACTGATATTTTTACAGATGGGCCTTCACTCCTGCCTGCCCATTTCTAGGATTTATGAGAGCTTAGGGAGCAATGACTTCAGGAATTGTAATCATCAGGAGGTAGAGAAATCTTTCATAGGAACTTATGGTATTCCAGGTACTATAGACGTGACAGCTCTGGGGCAGGAGCCTCCATGAGAAAGTGTCTGGATGCCTGGACGTTTGTGGGACTGATAATGATGAAGAGAATCTCTGTGTTGAAAAAAGAGCTCTGAGACCCAGTCAGTTATTTGATTCACCCAATTTTCAGAGTCATTAAAATTCTTAAATATTTCACAATCATGAACAACATCGTTGTTCTGTGTACATGATGTTAATTTTTTCTCTCACTTTTGTTCATTAGGGATGGAGCCTATAAAGGTGCCTCTTGAGGATAGCAATGAACCAACTCAGATTTGCCAGAGCAAGGTCTGTGCGGACAGGTGAGACTGCAGCAGGTGACGTGACAATCTCTGGTCCATATGCCGGGGAGAGGAGAGCAAAGCCCTGTGCAATTTCAGTCTGCTGTCCAACCTCTAATTCCCCTTCACACACCCAACTCTAGCCTCACTGGCTCCTTGCTCTTTGAAGCCTGCCAAGTGTTTTTCCTTCCTCAGGACTTGCACTCACTGTTCCCTCTACCTGTTAATGCTCTTCCTCTATTTATGCCTCCCCTGGGAGAGAGTCTCACCTCTCTCACTTCCAGGCAGGTCCCTGCTAAAAATCTCCCTCTTGGAGGGGCCCTCTGACCACCCACAGGAACAAGCCCCTCCCTCTCTGTTTGTCCTCTTTCACTTTTATTGTCTCCCCAACATTTATCTTTAGTTCTTACCTCCAGAGTTGGCTCTGAGAGAGCAGTGCTTAGCCTGGAACAGTGTGGTGAAGTGGGGAGCAATTTGGAGAAAGCGTGGTGAAGTTTGGTGGGATGGTCACAGTGGAATGGGGAGGGAACAGACCTGATTCACATTTTGAAAAGACTGACTGGTGGGTTTAGAGTAGTGGGAAGGGTAAGTACAAATGGGAAGGCCAGTTGAGCATCTGTGAGAGTAACAGATGAGACAAAATGAATCATGATCAGGGTGGGAATCAGGTGGGCATGAGATATGTATTACAATAAGCTCAACTAGCTGATGGACTGGATTTAGAGAATGTGGGGATGGGGGTTTCAGGATGTCTTTCAGATTATCTAACTTTCAGGTGATAAATCAGGAATTATATTCCATATACTTGTGGATTATTACCTAATCTGAGCTATTGGTGATTATCTCCACAATTCTAAGAACTATAGAACATGAGGTTAAACATGAGAGCATTTCTATTTCATATTGAATATAGCAAATTCTGGCATTTATAATCTGGATCTGGAAACTTGTGGAATAGTAAATTTTCTCATTGTGGGGGAAAAAGCCCCAGAGCTAGTACAGGCTCCCTGTGCCTTAGACATCTCCCCACATCTTCCTAAGCACCTGTCACTTTAGCCTTCCTCCTCCCTGGGGTTCAAGGCTTTCCTGTCCTATCCTATCCTATTCTATCCTATGCTATCCTGTTCTATGCTATCCTATGTTAGCCTATGCTATCCTATGCTATGCTATCCTATCCTATCCTATCCTATCCTATCCTACCCTACCCTACCCTACCCTACCCTACCCTACCCTACCCTACCCTACCCTATCTTACCCTATCCTATCCCATCATAAAATCTAACTTTATGTTTAGATAATTATTTGAAGAAATGCATTATAGCATTACCACTCCTTTCTCCCTCACACTCCCCCCCACCTTTTTTTTTTTTTTTTTTGCCAGGGTAAATACTTATGATTGTGGAGAAAAAACTTTCAAGCTGGTTGTCAAGGTTTTTTGGCCGCCCGTGTCATTTGATTAAACAAAGTTCTAACTTTCAAAGAAACGCAAAGAAGAAACATGGCAAAGGTATCACATTTTGGAGCACTTCTTAGGGGACAGGAAGTTGGGTTTACCCTTGCATGTGTCAGTGCTTGGACTAGATTTCCAGGGTGACTTGCTCATGTATAGAGAATGAGATAGTCAGTCTTTGGCAGAGAGTGCTATGGTGGCCTGCCAGATCAGCAGGACCATATGGGTGGTCCCAGGATAGCTCTGAGAGGTTCAGGTGGGCTTCCAGCCAGCTGCCTTGCCTCTGCCCAGGTGCTCTATCTCAGTCCTGCATGCTTAGAAGAATAATGCAGTTTTGCTAAATAAAAACACTGGTGGTTTCCATGTTCTTAGAAAATCTGGGTACCTAGTCTTGGTACCCAGATAATCTGAGACCTTGAAAAATCTTTAACTTTATGATGCCTCATCTTCTGTAAATATCAATTACTTAAACACTTAAGTTTTTTTTTTTAAAGATTTATTTATTTTTATACAAGAGCTGGGCTGCAAGCCAGAGGCACGGGAGGGTGAGAGGATTCACCAGAGACAGAGCGGGGAGCAGAACAGGTAGGCAACAGAAATACACTGCTGAGGGGAGCAGCGGGTGAGGTCTGCCGCGCCCTGTGGGATTCTCGCCAGCTGGCAGGGATCAAACCGGCAATGCAGAGGCTGCAGACAGCTTCACAGTGCGGCGCTCAACTGCCTGCACCACCGGGGAGGCCCTAGACTTTTAAGTTTTGACCATTTTTTTTTCTGCCATAGGCTATTGTTAGGATGAAGTGATACAGGAGAGAAGAAAGTACTTTGAAAGCACCTGGCACATTGTAGTTGCTCAATAAATGCTAGATAACTAGATGGGTGGATCCTGGCTGCATTACCAATTTGTACAGCGATGACTTAGTCTAGTGATTAGCTCTCAGAGACTTATTACGCAGAGTAGCATTCTGTCCACTTTGGGAGTTGTAACCAAGTCCAAGGGGAACTTATCACTCCCAAAGATATGTGCTAGAGAAAGTAGAGAAAGTAATCTACTTATACTTATCTACTTATACTTTTACAAGTTTTGACAATTTTTTCAAATCAAACTAAAAGAATTTGAGTAGCTCTGTGATGGATAAGAGGAGTGAAATGGTCATTTAATCAAGGGGTTAAGTTGATAGCGGACATGGATAATTTTAAAGACATGATTAAAAGGGAGAAAGAAAGTATTTCCCTGAAGAGAGACAAGCAAAGAACAGGGTTCATCAGGACCTGCACCACCCCTATAAATGATCTGACTGAATATAATCCAATCATCCACAGTGCCTACTGTGTGTCTGAGGCTTGGTTGGGTCTTCAGGAGACTGGCTGAGATGATAAACAATGGTCATGGTCCTTTGGGATCTCAATTTAGGGGCAATGACTCAGCAGACAGTGACACTACCACATATGGGACATAATGAAGGTTTGTGCAAAGGGCATGAAAGTGGGGGACGCATCCCCGCCACCTAGAGTGTGTTGCAGAGGGATTCAGGGAAGAGATGAGTTTGGAGTTGCATCTTCACAGGAGAGTAGGGGTTTTCTAGGCAGAGAGCAGAAAGTTTACTTAGGAGCAGCATGGCAGGGCTTGGCATTTGGGGGCAGAGAGAAGGGTTTAGATGGGTCAGATGTGACAGGGGAGTGATGGATCTGAGCTGGGAGGAGACAGAATGGATGTTGATGGAGTCAGTACTATCTAGTAGCAGGGGCAGCTCACTGACACTGCTTGTGTTTAAAACACACTCCTGGTGTGATATGAAGCTTCATCAGAAAGGGAAAGAGGAGGTGCAAAGGGGCCAGGCATGGGGCTCCGGTGACTGTCTTGGTGGGAGATGGGTGGGCAAATGTAGGCTTAGAGGACAGAAGAAAATCTATTGCTTGCAAGCTAGAGGAGCAAGGAGTGTCAGCTTGAGAATGGTCACACATCAAGGATGCCCTTTATGGCGGGGAGGCCTCCAATGGTCTAGTTCTCTGGTCTTTGAACATTTTTCTGTTGGTATACCTCAGAGGAAATTTTTTAAAACTACTTTACTTCCTTGTATGTTTTTACATTATCATCTATGTTTAAATATTGCAAAAGATGTTATTTCCAGCATAGTGTAAATTAAATACTGTCATTTTCAATTAATTCCTGCACATAGCACTTTTAACCATTAGCCAGTGGAATCTCTATACCATAGCAATTTGGTTCTTGTGACTTTTCGTAATATATATGTATATATAAGTGTGTGCTAATACATATGAACAAGTTGCCTTTTAATGGTCAGAAATTTTCTTTCCTTTTTCTTCTTCAACTTAAATTTCTATTCTACTTCCTAGATAGACATTCACCTTAGTGTTACATATTTTATGCTTGAAAATCTTTCCTTGATGTAGCTGAAGCTACAATGGTATAGAAATTGAAATGTATCCGTATTTTAAAAGCTTACTGTGAATATAAAGTCAAAGTGTTAGAAAATTTCTTTTAGGTTGAGTTCTTATAATTTGCAACAGCACACAGTTGAGTGGAGCAACTAAAGTATATTATAGACTCCAAAACATAGTTATTAAACACAGAGAAAACATTGTTGAAAATGAATCTCCTAATGAGATAGCTGAACTTACACCTCAAACCCCCATGTTCATGAATGACTGTCACCCATGACCAGGGCGGTGGTGCTCAGCCCTTAAAACCTATTTTTTTTTTATTAAAACCTATTTAAGTCAACAGAGTGGGTGATGAAAGGAGTTTGGTTCACACACTGTCACTCAAACCTTTTCTTTGAGGCTCCTGATAGAGGCACAGGGAATCTCACTTTAAGGTGACTTTAATCATCTGTCACTTGACAACTTAATTAGATTGGGCAGTTTGGTGGATAGCAAACTGACCTACAGGAGGATCATTCACCCAAGCTTTAGAGATGTGTGATTTCTCATTTTCTCAGTTGGGGTGTTGAATGGGACTTTTGTTTCTCTTCCCCACCCCCAGATGCTTAGCCCCAGGGGAGTTGTGCCCCTTTTTCTCTGTGAAGCAGAAGAAGAGCCTTTTGAGAAGGGGGCTGGGATTGCATCTCCCTTCTCCAAACAGCCATTTTAGCAAAGAGGACAAATGGGACTTGGGGACCTGGAAAGTGATCTCTTAAAAGTATCTATCGCTGTGGACTTTGAGGTTCGCCAGAACTGAATTGGAGACAGCTCCCTAAGTTCTGGCCCAGTCAACCCGTTTTATTGACATCATCCATGAAGACAGAGATGATTTGCCCCAACAATGGGAGACAGAAGCAGGGTAACAGGCTGTTTACAGTTCTGAGTACACTTGATATTTTCTTTCAATTTTTTTCCTTTTAGTTTTAAAACTTACATTGTTTATGTCTAAGGTCAGTATTTCACACTAGCCTAAGACAAAAAACAACTTCACCGGCCAGATTCAGAGCATCTTCCTGTCTGCATCCTCAAGGCCGCTCACCCCTGCCTTCTTCTTGAAGGGCCACTTACTGCCTCATCTCCCATCTTCTGTTGCTTCCAAGTCATCTTTGCTAGAACAGTTGCACTTCAGCATTTTATTTTTCAGATTATTAATTGAGTGTTCTAGGAGCTCCCTTTCTGTTTTTGAGATGTTCGAGCCACCTTAAAATATATTTATTATTTTTGTTAGTGGGCAGGTTGAAGGGTTCCCCGGAACCCTCAAACTTGCACACCCTACCATTTGCTTCATGAAGACAAAGCATACTCTTAGTGTGAAAGAACTTTAATAGAATAGTGTGCATAGAGAAAGAAGGGAAGAAAGGATAATAGTTTCCTAGTGGAACACCCAAATTTACCCATCACCTCATGGGTAAATACCCAGATAAACAGGGTTGGCCCAAAGTAGGACCACTGAGGCCCAAACACTTGTCACAAATCTAAGGCACCTTCTTGTGGGGAACCATAGAAAAGGGGGAGAAGGGGCCAAGCAGTCTGGAATGATAGGAGCAAAATCAAAGTACAAATCAAGGTAATGGCTGCCATTGTCAGCCTTCCCACAGGCCTCTCATCCATGTCTCTTCCAAGTGTCTCTACATGTCTCACCTCCATGGTCTCCTTCCATGTCCCCAAAGACCCTGGTGCCAGTCCATAGCTGAGAAGCAAGCGGAACTTCTTTACAAGTCTTTCGGCTCCATGCATCTCCTCCAAGTCTCTGTGTCTCTCCAAGTGTTCTCTAAATTTTCACCTGGCTGCTCAGCTCCACCCTTCATTAGGTGGGCCAGGGAACATGCAACCTCCCTTTTTATGGAGCTTACCCTCTGTAACATTTCCATGTTACCATTTTTTTCCCTTGTAGAAAAGTCTCTACCTTTGAAAAGGCAAGTCAATGAAAAAGTGAGTCATTTACATTCCAAGAAAGCAACTCTTCTTTTAAATAGTCCATTGTTTTCCAGATCAATCTGGTACAACAGCTGCCCTTTCTCTGGTGAATGAAGCACAGTATCTGCTGATAAACAGATCCAGTGTTTTGGAACTTCAGCAGCAATTAAATGTCAGGTAAGATCCTTTACCTTGAGCATAGCAGACAGGTGTAACCCGTACCCCCAGGTGTCAGTTCACTTAGTGCCGAACTCACTCGAAAGGGGAGAAAGGATTCAAGAGTTAAGGAGTTCAGACCATTTACAGATGAGAAAGAGTGACACCAAAGAAGTCACTAAGCCTGGTGAGGCCAGCTCCCATTAATCTTTTTGAGGATTTTCTCTTATCTTTCAAGATCCTTCTTGATGCTCTAGTACTTAAGGAGACCCCCAACTGTCATTCCATTTCTTAATATTTTCTTTAATGGAATGCCCACCAACTTGACTTAATTTCATTGCCCATCCTCCCACTGTCCTTTGTTCCCTAGAAGCTTTGCCCCATTCCAGTCATTTTGAGTGAAAAGTAAAGTGGTTTCAAAAGTTTTTAAAGCTGTAATTATAAGTGTTGCTTGTTTTACCTTCAGACAGAACTGGCACCTGCTTAGTCTCCCTGTAGGCCTTGATTACATTAGAAGTTGGCTTTAGAAAGGGTCTTGAGTCTGACCTTCCTCATTGTTCTTTAAGAGGAAATTGAAGTCCCAAGGTAGTTAGGCAGTTGGGGGCTGTGACTGGCTGCTTGTTTCTTCTCCACACGGCAGGGAGCACGGTGAGCTGGGATCCTGTGACTCATATGCCATCTGATTGTGTGTGTATGTGTGTGCGTGTGTGTGTTTGTGTATGCATGCTTGCAAATGTAGCTTAACAAAAATGTCAAAGATGGACTGTTAGTACTTCCTGTTTAGAATCATTGGCAAAAAACATGCAATAATCGTATTCCTTTGGCATAATGCAGCTCGCCCTTCCTGGAAGAGGCTGGTGGTTCCTGGGTGGTCACCGAGTTTTCCCCGCACTGGATGACCCTCCTCCTCAGGAAGCCAGGGCCCAGAGAGTGCAGGGCAGCAGGCTTGGGGGATTCTTGGTGTGGAAAGACAGGAGGTAGGGACAGGCTTGCAACAACCATGGCTCCTACTGGGAGGAGGCTTAGGGCCCTAGTTTCTTACCAGTTGGTGTAGAGCAGGTTGGAAAACAGGAGTGGGCAGAAGTGGTCAAAGGTAAGAGGAACAGCTTGTGGCTGGTACCTGGCAGGGGTTGCCTGTGGCCCTGGTTGGTGTGTCTTTCTGTTCTATAATTAGATTTGATGGACTCTATCAAACATACTGATCACATTAGATTTTGGATATAATATTTTCCCTGTTACAAAATACAAAAATTTAACCTGGAGTATAAATGCCGAGAATTTAGAATTTAGAACTGGAAAGAACAAGCCTCTCATTTCAGATGAAGAAACTGCATTTCCCCTAGTTCCAATAGATCACGGCAGTTGCAAAGATAGATCTGGTAACTCTGATTGCTGGCTTTTCATAAACCAGTCACTGCTCAGAGGGGAATTGAAACCTCCTCTCTTCCCCTAAAGCTTTTGCGGTCTCTTTCCAGAGAAAATTCCATCATGTTCAAGGATTTCACCATCAGCTAATTAAAAAAAAATTTTTTTTTAACTGAAGTACAACAAAGTGTGAATATTGTAAGCACACAGCTCCGTGACTTTAAAAAAATTTATATATTCATGTAACCAACACCCAGATCAAGTAGGGAACATTTCCAGTACTCCAAAACCTTCCTTGGACCTCCTTTTAGCCAACCCCTCCCCCATCCTGTCAAATGAAGGCCACTGCTATTCTGACGTCTTTCATCTGTTCTTGGATGCAAAATAATGGGATGACACAATGTGCTCTTTGTGGAGTTTTCAGATACTTTTTATGGTGTTTTTTCCTTTGGGGGAAGGGATGTGTAGAGGTGCAGAGAGCCATTTTATGGGACCTCATGGCAGTCAAAAATTTTTTTAAACAAGAGTTACAAAAATATCACATGCTAGTTAAAACTGCAAACAGGATGAAAGTTAGGAAATAGATATTAAAGCCTCCCCTGTGGACATTACGTTGCTTTATGATCTGATCTCCAAAGAGTATGAGCTCCAAAGAGTATGAGCTGTCTTGGTCCCTGTTAATGAAGTCTGTTGACCATCTTTCTGTCCTGCCTGACTCACCTTGCAGAATTGGTATTTTTCTCTGAGGAGTTTTTCACTTGGTTTCTTTAGCTAATATCTACTTACCCATTGGACTGCCTCTTTGAGCCTCTCCATGAAATGGGACTATCTCCCAGGAGAAAGCATGAAGGTCTGTCTTGCATGTGGTTGTCTCTTGGCCTATATCATGGTAAAAGCTTATTCTCATCATCCAGACCTCAACTCAGAGTACAGTTGAGAAAGTCAGGCATCAAATGGTTGATAAACAGAATTATTACAATGATGCAGTAATCCATCTCTCTTTCCCATTTTCTATGTCTTAAACAGTGGTGAGAATGGAATGGAGGAATTATTCCCAGTGAAAGACCTCATCCCACGATTCCGTGCCAATATTATTACCAATGGAACAAGGCCTTTTGAAGAAGAGAAATGGGATGAGATTTCAATTGGTTCTATGCGTTTCCAGGTGAGTTCCAGGAAGTTCTATCACCCTTCTTTGAGGATTGCTGATGGAGGTTGACCTCTGTCCTCAGCCAGGATAGTGGCAGACAGAGTTCTTCCCTCTCTGACTTGTACCTACAAAATTTCAGCAGGAGGGCATATGACATCTCCATTTTGGGATCCCCCTTGGGATGATCCATTGCTTGTTCCCCACACAGGTGTCCACAGTCTGTTTCACATGTGGAAGAGATACTCTGCCTATATAGGTGGAGAGCTCAGCGCCATCTCCACCGCATCACTCTGTCTAGGTTAAAATTCTTGTTGTTGTTTATTTTTGAAATGCTGTGTCTATGAGAACTTCATTCTCCTGAAACTTGTTGGACTTTCTGGATATCTGGAGCTCATGGAGGGGGACCCAGATGTCTAGCCATGGAACTTCAGTGCCCATTGCCATTCCCAAACTTGTTCAGTTGTTTTGCCTCACTGGGAGCTGGGGAAGCTCACAGTCAGAGGCACAGCCACAGGGATGCCCTATCTGTCTAGGCTTTGGGCTCCCCAAACCCATGCTGGGAGCTTCAAAGATAGGAGAAAGAGGTGAGATCGATGGTCCATACTGGGGTGGCCTCCTGAGACCTGACCTGCTGACCTCTGACTTCTCTGAGCTCATCAGCTCTGCCCCTACCTTTTATATGACCTCTCCACTCCCTTAACAAAGCCAGCTTTCTGCCCTAACACCTTTGCCTTTGCTGTGCCTCCCACCTTGGCATGTTCTCTCTGTACTACTCCAGGGAGTATGTTACCTTCTTGGAAAGATGATCCCAACCCACCAGGTGGCCATGTTCTGCAGAGTTTACAAGGGTGGAGACAGAGTCTCCTGTGTTCCCACTATATCACTGGGGCCTGGAACAGTCCAGAGTCAGTGCTCAATAAGTAATTTTAGAGGGAACCAATGGATACAAAGAATGAGGAATAGCTAGGGACAGAAGGATGGGTCATCTGCGAAGAATGTGCTCTGTTCTTCAGTGGGGAATGAAGTCATTTAATAATAATAGTGTTATTAACCAGTTGTATAAACTGACTGTAATATGCCTACTTTATGTCCAGGCTCTGCCCTTAAAAGCAACACCAGAAAAGCAGTAAACAATGATTTAAATCTTTGTTGAAGAATTTCAGAGTTCAGGGTGAGGGTGAGTGATAAATTATATGGCACACAAAAAATGTCCTAAAGATTCTTTTTATCCTCTTGACTCCCTGAACTTTCTTTTATCTTGGAAGCTGCTTTCCCTTGAAAACCAATCTCTCCCACATTGTCTCTTACAGACTGTTTCAGGGACCAGTATTCCTGCCACTCCATCTCCTCCTTCCATCCGGACATAGTCTTCTCTTCCTCATTTTCTCCTGTAGAATATGTTTTAAAAACATATGTTTCTCCTGTAGAATAATGTTTTAAAAACACCTGCTCTTGCATATCCTATCTGATACAGAGTAGGCACTAAGTATGTATCGTCTGATATGTGGAGAGAGGGAGAGAGAAATAAAGGAAGACAAGAAGGAAGAGGAAAGAGAGAGAAGCAGAACTAGACTAGGACCACCATTAGAAATTTACCTTGCAACAGCAGTACCTGTACTTCTCCAGGTATTTGGGGACATGGATATGAGAAAGACTTTTAAAGGAATTTTTCTAAGGTGCTTTGATTTATTTAGTTTGGAGTTCTTAACATGCAGCAATTAGTAATAGTTAAAATATGCATGCTCTTTGACCCAAAAATTTCACCTGTGGAAATTTATCCCATAAGAAATACTCATAATATTTAAGAAGAAGTCAAGGAAAGATACATTACAAAATTGCTTATTGTAATACTTTTAGAAAATGAAAAATTGTAGAACATCCTAAATATCTATAAAGCGGAGATGGTTAAATAAATTATGCTATATCCATACAATATTGTCCTGTGCAGATATGAAAAAGTATAAGCTATAGTTAATACTATGCTTTCAAAAAGTAAATGCTTAAAAGATGTTTGTTGATGATGATAATCAATGCTGAAGCCTTTGCAATGCCAAAAGATCCTGCACCTCTCATTTGGAAAGTAGTTTTTCCCTGGGTATCATCAAGTCATAGAAAGTTTATGAGACTTTATAATCTCATTTTGGTAGATTGTTATTAAAAAAAATTCAAACGGGAAAGAGGGCTATATAAATTAACATCTTTATTGCAAGATTGTTGACATAGCAAGAAATTTGAAACTATGTGACTTCAGATAGATACATTAACCCACAGGAATGTCAGGCTATTGTGAAAATTGCCAAATCCCCGGATGAGGTAGCTGTCTGTACAGACAGGGAGGGATGTCCAGTATGTATTGTGGAGTGATTAAAAAAGAAAGAAACCCAGTGGCTTCTTAGATCTCTGTGCATATGTGGCACTGGTGCATGTGCGGTTGCAAACGGCTACACGCCACCTTCTGGAATAATCTGTAGCCATGATGATCACACCTCTTGTCTGTGAGGATGGGAAGGGGACCACTGCTGAGTGCTTTCTTTTAACTCCTCAAGTTCCTGTATCGTTTGAGTTATTTTTCAACACATGCTAGTAAAAATTTTTAAAAATACCAATTGAATGCTAACAAAAATTAATTGCAATGTTTTAAGAAAATTGTTATCTTGATACTGGTATTTGAAAAGAGTGGCTGGAAATTGTCCTTCCTCCTGCCAGTTTGAGAAACTTTTAAGAGAGCCTTTGCCTGTAAATGACAGGATTTTTACTTAAGGTGGCATCTGTCAGGAGCAGCTGGGGTTCTGAGCCTGGGGCTGATTGATGCTTCTATGGAACACAGCTCCAAGGGGGCAGAGAAGGTACAGGGTTTGTTGGCATGCAACTAAGGGGTACACTGAGACCCCCCAAACTTGTACACTCTAAAAGGGTCCAGCCTTCTGTGCACATAAAGACAAAGGAGACTCTATGCAAAAGAATTTTAATAGAGAGAGAAGAAAAGAAAGGATATAGTTTCCCAGTGACCCAAGTGACCCACCCCCTTTTGGGTAAATACCCAGTCAAACCAGATTGGCCCAAAGCGGGGCCACTGATGCCCACAAGCTTGCCACAAGTCTCAGGCACCTTCTAGGGAGGAACCATATGAAAGGGGTGAAAGGGAACAGGTAAGTATGGGAGGAAAAGAGCAAAATCAAAGTACAAATCAAGGTAATGGCTACCATTGTCAGCGCCCACCTTGTGTCTGTCACCAGGGTCTCTCCCATGTGTCTCTACAAGTCTCTCCTTCCACGTCTCCCAAGTCCCTGGTGCAAGTCCAAAGCCAAGAAGCAGCGTGACCTTCTCCATGTGTCTCTCCCCAAGCCCAGCTGCCTTCTGTGTTATATGGCTTTACCAGGCCACTCAGCTCCATTTCTCAATGGGAACATGGTACCTCTCCTTATAGGTTCTTTCACTGAGAATCACACGGGGTCCTCCAGGGCACAGTGAACTGGGATGTAGAATCCCCTGGGAGAATTGTAATAGTTTCTATATAGTAGTATTATTGTAATTTCACTTGTGAGCACCACCAAGTGCCAGGTCTGTGTTTCACTTTCCAGAACGAGCATCTGGAATCATCACCAAATTCAGCTAAGAAGCTGGATAAGGAAATGAGGCCTTGGAAGGTCAGGGGTCAGCCAAGCATCTCCAGGCCAGTACTGGGCAGTCCCTTCCTAGCACACTCCGTACACTTCACACACCAGCTGTTTAGGAAGCCTGGAAATATTGCCTTTAGGACCAAAGTGAGGTTATCTGTGCCGGTTTAATGCCTGCCAGCTGGAATGTAAGTGTTAGGAACAGGCCAAGAAACATTCAGTTTTAATTGAGTTTTCTTATTTCTGTATGTACTTCCTGTGTGCACAGGAGTGAGCAGAGGAGAAAATGTTTGTGAGGAAATCCAGTTATCTTTGTACCTTTTGCATGTGCAATGAAAGAAGCATCTGGTCACTATTGAGTTGCAGACTTTCTTCTTTTATGTTAACATTTATGAGGGAATTTTTTACTATAAAAGCCACTCATGCTCATGACAGACCTTCCAGAACAGAAGTGCTTCCACCATCTTATTTGGCACTTGTGAGAAGCAGTGTGCTGTGTTTCATGTACTGTGTACATATGTCTGTGTTTATATAATAGACATACATACACACACACCAGGATTTTGTTTCCTGTTTAGTTCATTTATAAAATATTTTTCATTTTAAAGAAAAAGAAAAATACCGGATGGTCTCACTCATAGCAGGAATCTAGAATACTTAAATAAGGGACCAGGAAAATGAATAACTATAAGAAAGTGAAAATCAAAATCAACAAAAAACTATGAACCAGAGACACTTTTGGGGGGTGGGGGGGCGGGAGGGGAGGGATTGGGGTCAGAATGGGGGGATTGCAAATGTATGAGGAATATAAAAATAAAATTTATTAATTAAAAAAAATTTTTTCATTTTATTTAAAGCCCTTTATGGATTAATTTTAATACCTGCATGATATTTATATAGCTATGGCATCTTTGCACAACCACTCTTCTCTATTATTTGATGTTTTAGATGTTACCAGATTTTTCCTATTACAAATAATGGGAGAAATATACTTGTACATGAATCTGTGTTTGATTCTGTTCTTAGGTTGATTTTCTTGGAGTTAAATTTCTGCGTCAAAGGACATGAACTCCCTACATTCTTTCTGACGACTTTCTCTGTGTTGTTTATCATCTTCCAGTTTGTCTTCCAATCAGTTTTTTTCCTTGGAGGATCCTCAACACTCTCTGATAACCATGTGAGATTCACAAGCCCTCTTTTCTCTCTCTACAAAACCCTGAAGCTGCAGCATTTTTAGCTGACAAACAGTCATCACTGTGAAGAGGCCCCCCTGGTCAGCACAGCACAGGAAACATTTCTGTGTGAGTCTGATACTGACTGGGCACGGCCTTTTCCAGCCAATCCTTCAGGACCCAGACTCCTGGCTGCAGAGTGGGGGGCTGGCTCACTTTCCTTCCTTTCCTCCCAGGTTGTGGGACCTTGTCACAGATGCCAGATGATATGCATCGACCAGCAAACAGGGCAACGGAACCAAGATGTTTTCCAAAAGCTTTCTGAGAGTCGAGAGAGAAAGGTAAGCATGCTTACAAAATACAGTACCTTGTTTTAATGCTTGTGTTAACACACCAGCATTGTATCCCTAACAGTGCTGAGTAATTTTTAGAAGCGGGGACCATTCTATGATGGACCGCCATTAAGTGTCTGACCTTGTCTGTGACACCATCTTATTTTTCCTTTCCATCCATTTCCTCACAGTTTGTTTTCTCAGTCTAGTATGTGCATTTTTAATGCTCTCAAGTCTTATTGAAGAGATAAGAAATAAGTAATTAAAGTAATTCTGTTGCCTCAGTCACATTTTCTTCAAGTCAGAGATCTCTTGAAGAGTAAAGTGCCTTATGCTGAGTAGAATGCCTGCATAGAAAGATCCGGTAAATATCACTATACTAAACCATCTTCTAGAGGGTTGTTGTGGATTCCAGATTATAAAAGCTGAAATAGCTAGCAGACTGGTTCTTTAAGGATATTTATTTCTAGACTTGCACTTTCTTCTAGGACTTACTGTTTGCAAAGAATTTTAGTAAGCCAAGTAAGCATCAGCTTGCATGTGGCAATTCTTAAAAACTAACTGAAATAATATAAACTTTTATCTCCTTCCAATAAAAAATTGATAGTCTAAAATTTATGATATTCTGTTTCCTGATTTCTCCAAAATTAAGGTTTTGTTTCATATTTGCTTGACACAAATCTCTTTACAAATATATGGTGGATGTGACCTGCAGAGGTGTTGCACTTGAGTGTCATGCCAACATATCTGTCTGCTCAGCTAAGCCAACCCATGGCAGTGGGGGGCACGGGGACCTCGAGCTCCAAAGGGTTCCTGCTGGCTTGCATGCATTGATGACAAACCTTGAGCAGACTTAAATAATTCTGGACAATTGGAAAACATCACACATTCTGAAGGAAAATACACAATTTGCCATTAGTTTCACAAAATGGCTTTTATATGGGTATTGAACAGAAATTGAGCTGGCTGTTGCCAGAGGTCAAGAACAAGAATAAAATGCTTCTGCAGGAAGTCAGGGTATCACAAAGGAGATAAAAGGAATGGGGCCAGAAATACCAAAGCATGTGGTGATTGTAGAGAAAGGACACTTTAGAATAAGAATCTCTGGTAGCTGAAGTTTAGAATTCCTACTTCTCACTACCTTCCAGGTGGGACATAACCCAGTAATTGTCTTTAAAGATTGAACTTAATTTTCAACTAATTAATTCAGTTGAACATTGTATACAAAATTATTGCAGCTGCTAAAGCAATCTTATTGTTTTGTTCACAGGTGAACTTTGGAGTGTACCTGATGCATGCCCCTCTGGATCTATCTTCTCCAGGTTTCCTGACCGTGGGATCTCAGATTCTCCCTGTGTTGAAAGAAAATATAGACCACCACAATTTACCTGCTTCTAAGAAACATCAGGATGTTACTTCCTAAAATTTTTTTCTGCATAAGTTAACATTTCTCTTTTACAAATATATTTACTCTTATTAAGGTCTGCAGTGTGGTTCATTGGAATTTTTTGCCTCGAGTGTAGAGAACGTGCTCTACGCCTCACTCCCCAGTTGCACTGCTCTACCTCAGAGAAGTCCAAGGTCTCTGCTTGGACAAGTCCAAGGTCTGTGCTTCCTAAGAGACAAATTCAGCACAAGCGCTTTGCTGATGTCTAGCAAGGCTTCCATGTATATTGGGAGTGTGAGAGTTTTGACTCATTGGGAAGATTTAACCTTTATTTTGCCACTTTACCATATGGTTAGTTTGTCTTTAGCAAGAATCTCTAGGCTCTCTTCAAATCCCTTTGTGTTGAGGAAGGTAAAGAGTGCCCAGCAATCCTGAGAGAGTGAGAATGTGCCACTCAAACCTCATGTGCATGGTGGATGTGGCTTATGTTCAGGGCCCAGGGTGTGACTTGTATCACATTCCTTAGTGGAGGTTTGACCAGGATATATATGTGTTGAGCAAAGGCACAGGCTGGCAACCCGCTTCCCCTGGCTTTCATTCTTGCACACCATTCCTCTGCCCCTTTGAGTGGATGCACCGCGGAGGGCACACAATTTTGCTCTGTGATCGTGGAGTTATGTCAGCAGTGTGCTCCTCTCCACAAGCCCATCATGTGGGGTTGCTCCATCCACTCTAGAGCCTCCAAATCCCATTCAAGAGAGAAACTGTGGAGGCTGAGGGATCTCATCTATCTGTACCGTCTCTGACCACACATCTGCAGCCTCCCATTGAATATCTCCAGTGCAGGAAATCTCATTGTTTAATGAAGTTACCCAGACCACTGGGTTGCCCAAAAGTTCCTCTGTGTTGAGCTTGTACCTGACTCCTTGTGACTTCCAGCCATGGGTCTAGCCCTGTCGTCCGGAGCAATGTAGTGTGAGCTGGTGCACCCCTGCATCCACTATGCCTGAGTCCAGCTTAAGCATGGGGTCTGTGGGAGAACACCAGGACATTGGTCAGACCTTCAGTACTTTGTTATATCTGTCCAGTTACTTCTTTTCCCCAAACCTTTGCCCACCACTGCCCCCCACATCTTCCTAAAGCCAGTGTTGCCATGTCTCTCTGTCACTATCGTTTAGTGCATTATACTCAGGCTTCCCTGCCTGATTTATTCAGAGCCCTCAGGATTAGGGGTCTGCTTGTTATATTATCTTATTTGTAGCATGTTATGGTATTCCCAGCACAATACAAAAAAAAAAAAAGAAAGAAAAAGAAAAAGAAAAAATGAGCTGTGCTTCTGTTGTCAAATGTTGATGAGGTGGAGCCATGCATGGTACCTTTGTTTGCTGTGAGGATCCAAGTGTAAAATCTGGCCTCTGACTCAGTGGTTCCTGAGGTCAGTAAAAGAGTAGACAAATAGAGTTAGTTGGGAGGGGGTAATTTATTTCAAACTGTTTGTTGAAATTGAGCCTCCTCCGAGACCCAGCATTTTTACATTGTATGGACGGGCCCACCCTTATCAGCCAGTGTACTAGAGCCCAGTGCGCTCAGGTGATGGACAGTTTTCTGCATGAGGAAACAGCTCCGCTCAAAGATGGCATGCTGCAGAATTTTCCAGGAAATTGTATCCCGTTAAATACAATGGGAACCAAGTAAGAAAACATGTTCTAAAAAAATGGGAACACCTGTGTCGTCAACATGTTTTCAGGTGCAAGTATAACTCATTCTATTCTTAACAACACCATGACACTTTTTGTAATTGTTGCTTTTATGACTCATTTTTGACATTTTAATGCAAACTACTCTTCTTTACAGGACAATTATTTAATTAATCACTTATATTTTTTGATTTAATATTGATCTGTCTCCACCAGACTGGAAGGTCCACGAGGACAGGGCCTGTGTCTATTTGGCGACCTGTGTACCCAGCGTTGGCAGATAATAGGTGTTCAATAAAATTGGTTGACTAGTTGATTTTATTAAAGCAGGTACTGTTTTTATGATTAACCATTAGATTGTTTGATTGGTTGATTTTAAAAGCAAATTGTCCTTAGTGAATAATTTCAGTATATGAGGTTGTATCTAAAAATGTATTTTGTATGTTCTCTGGAGTGGTTTCACATTCAGACTTCTTGTGCAGGTATGATTCTGTGTAACTTCCTTGGTTCCCACCTCCTGAAGTTCAACCCTGTGCTCTTCAAGGGCACTGTCAAATTTCAAATTCAAGGGCAATGTCCTCTGCCTTGAATTTAATTCTAATACCAAATCTCAGAGAATCATAGGAAGTTCAAATTACGTTTTTTAAATGAGAATTTTGTATTTAGCACATGGCCTCAAAATAATGCCTGAGTAAGCCACGCCTACCACCTGGTGGCTGTACTAGGTAAGTGCAGGTTGTTGTGTCAAGGCTAAAGACAAATTCAGGTTGGGTCAGCAAATCCTGGAGGATGGAAAACTAGGGTCTTCTCTCTGCCTAGCTTCCTTGATAGAGCAGCTCTGAGAAACTTCATAACTAATGTTGGAGTACATTAAAATTTAGTTCCAGAATTATTCCTTTGTCATTAATTTTCAACTGACATTCTTTTTTGTCATATTTATTGCACTGAGCATTCAAGTCTCCCGTACTTAAGAATTTTTTTAATTAAATTTTATTGGTTTACCATTCATTTTAAAAAATGATATAATCTCCTGAGGACAGATTCATACCTTCATCCCCTTATCCCCAGGGCATCTAGTGCCATCACACGATCACAGTGACTGCCTCTCCATTTCCTCCCACTCCCTTCCCCTTTTCCTCTGATAACCACTGTATTTTTCACAGTTTAGGGGTTATATATGTTGTATTCTGCCACTTTTTTTTCCTATGGCTGTTTATATTCCACATATGAGTGAAACCATCTGATAATTCTCTTTTATTTTCTGACTTATTTCACCTTGTGTTAATCCATCTTATCCCAAAAGGCACAATTTCATCCTTTTTGATAGCTGAGTAGTATTCTGTTCAATATATATAGTACCTATTCTTTATCCAGTCATCTATCAATGGGCATTTAGATTGAGTCCATGTTACTATGAACGCAAGGGGTGTCTGTATCTTTTCGTATTAGTAATTTCATATTCTTTGAATGAATAGGAGTAATGTGGCTGAATCATGTATTTCCATTTTTAGTTTTTAAAGGAATCTTAATTTTTTTTTTAATGGATGCTGTTTTGAAATGGCTGATTTGTCAGCTGGATATTTCTCTTTCTCTCTCCCTCTCTCTAATATATAACACTTGGTTTCAGTAGCAGATACAGTTTTGTGAACCTGAAGCTCATGCAATATTAAAGGCATCTTTAAAGAGAAGAAAAAGATTACAAAATAAGATACAAAAGTGAACATTGACTTGTATGAGAAAAGTATGGGCTTTGGAAGGGCTCTTAGCCTCCCAAGGATTACTTTGTTTCTGCTTCTTGCAGTTTACAAAATAAACCACACTTTGTTCACTTTCTAAAATGAACAGCATATAAAGATCTGTTCTGGTCTTTTCTCTCCCACCTGTGGGTGCAAGTTAATTGTTTCATCATCACTCTGTAACAGCCATTCCCCTGGAAACTGTCTCCTTCCCAGTGTGTTGTCAGAACTCTCTGTTGCAGGAAGTGTGTTCCTATAGACAGAATGTTTGTGTGCCCCCCCCCCCCCCCCCCCGCCCCCATTCATATGTTGAAACTTAATCCCCGGTGTGAAGGTATTAGGCTGGGAGGCCTTCAGGAGGTAATTAGGTCATGAGGGTGGAGCCTAATGAGTGGAATTTAAGTGCCTCAGAGAGTTCCCTCCCTCTTCTGCCTTGTGAGGATACGGCTACAAGACTACTGTCCAGTGAGGCAGGAAATAGACTCTCACCTGACACCAAATCTCTTGGCACCTTGAACGTGGACTTCCTAGCCTCTAGAACTGTGACTAAAAAACACCTGTTGATATTAGCCACTCAGTCTGTGGCATTATCTTACAGCAGCCTGAATGGACTAAGACAGCGATGTTGTTATCAACAAGTATTACTTGCTCATCCCATCCCAAAGCACAGGGCAATAATTTGTCATGTTTATCCACAGTTTGTTAAAATATAGGTTTAATTTTTAGCTAACTACATAACTAGTTAAAACTTTCTAAGCAGAAGAGATGAAAGAAATTGCCTCAGGAAAATAGGTTGAAAATTTGACACCTCTGCTCCCATATGATTACTTTCCAGTGGCTGAGGTCACTGTGCACTGTTTCTGTGCTCTGTGCTTTACTTTTAACATTTGGCATACTTCAAAATGGCCTTTGTAATTGTATAAAATGGATGCATAGTAGCCTTTGTGTATTATAAATAGTTAGAATATACTCCTGTTGATAGACATACAAGTTTCCAGTTTTAATTTTATAGAAGCATAAACTTTGCTTTTGGACATGACTTTATATATTTACTTATCCATTTAATTTTGCTTCTGCTAAATTATTTCCTAGGAATATGATTGGGCTTTCAGGGTAATAGTTATAAAGATATTGCTAGAAATACTTATGTTTTTCAGTAGAAAACTACCAAATTATAACTCCAGTATTTCAATAGCGAATTGGCCTAGTCATTTCAGGTTTCCTGGGCATGGACTCCCATGTGTAACATAAAAAAAAATACTCCATTTTTTGGATAATTTTTATTTTATATATTTTTTACATCATTTTCATTCATTTTTGTACAATGTATGCATTTTCATCTTGGTTATAATCCCCGTAAAATTCCCACCACCCTTATTTTGATCCTTCTTTCTTCTCTTCCCCCCACCCCCCCTGCAGTGTGTCTCTGGTTTATAGTTGCCTGTTGATTTTGATTTTGATTTTATTATCATTAGTCTTTTTCCTGATCCCTTATTTTGGTTTTCTAAATTCCTGCTATGAGGCCATTGGTATTTTTCTTTTTCCTTCTGGCTTATTTCACTGAGCATGATCCCTTCTAGCTCCATCCATGTTGTAGCAAATATACTCCATTTTTAACTTGATGTAGCTAATGTATGGCAACTTGTGAGTTTCAAGGAGGCCATAGATATCCTCTGAAGAACATGAACCAGAGTGGCTGCAGGATTTAGAGAAGGAGAGTGTATTTGGCAGTGAGAATGTGTGGGAGTGGGTAAGGGAAACTCACAGAGTCAATGGAGTGAATCTGCTCCTTTCCCACACAGTTCTAGTGAGCCTGTGATGATGTAGGTGCATCTCAACATCTGCACAGCCCAGGAAAAAGTTGAAATGGAGGTCCATATGCCACATGTGGACATCTGAGCCTGTACATCCGAACTCCATTTATAGCAGCTATGAGCAGTCACTCCTTAACTTGTTCTCAGGCCTGGGTATGTAATAGGGTCCAACTTTAGGAAATTTTTAAAAAAATATTTATTTATTTATGCATACAAGAACTGGGGTACAGGCCAGAGGTGCAGGAGGCGAGAGAATTCACCAGAGACAGAGTGGGGTTTAGAACAGGTGGATTTACTGTTTACAGGTGGATTACAGTGAAATACACTGCTGAGGTGAGCAGAGGGCGAGACAGGAGAGGTCTGCTATGCCATGTAGGTTACTCCCTGGCTGCCCGGGGATCAAACTCATGCTACAGAAGCTGTGGATAGCTTCACAGTGCTGTATTTAACCCCTTGCACCACCAGGGAGGCCCAGGAAAATATTTTTAACTTAGAATTATCTATCATATTTGTGCGATTGTTGCAAAGGTAAGTACAGCAGTATCATGTGATTTTATGTGATTTTATTTCTTCTCCCACCAGGGATTGTAATCTATATTCTGTTCCTTAAGGCTAGGCTAGGTTGACCTTGACACACTTAGAAAAAAAAAAAAAGTGGTAACAAAAGACATAGCTATAAATCCCAAGCTCAGAGCTCAAGAAAATAATTTTGTTCTTAAACTCTTAGAATACTACCCTAAAGTGGCCAATGAGAAGGAGGAGCCAGGTATTATCAGAGGAGAAGACACATGGAGATATACGTTGTCTCAATTGAAGGCACCTAGACCAACCAGCTGATGATAGCAAGCATACATTCCCAGACAGGGATGGAGCCTATCTGAGTCTAACCAACCCCAGATAAGCTTCCAGATGACTGCAACTACATCAGTGACCCCAGCTGAGCCCAACCCAAATTGCTGACCCACAGAACTGAGAGCAATAAAACAGTCATTTTAAGCTACTTTACATGTTGGGATGGTTTGTTCTGCAACACATACTAAATAAAACAGAAATTGGTATCAAGAATCCTATTACTGCCATAACAAAACCCTAAAATGTATGGTATTTGGAACCAGGCAGGGGGCAGAAGCTGGAAAACTGGTAAGGAAAGTGCTATTTGAATCTGCGTGCAGATGAGGCCTTTCAAGGGTAGCTCCGCAGATACAAGTCCTCTGATCCAGAGACCTGCGACCTAAATAGGCAAATTTTCCATCCTTTAGAC